GGAACCCCCCCCCCCCCCCCCCCCCCCTATCCCTTTTAGAAAAATAAGCGACCCTATCACCTGATGTTTTGTAGAAACGCCACTGAGCGATGACATACACAACTGTCTTTAAAGACAACATAGAAAAAGGCCTTAGTTACGGCTCTATGTGTGTCTTTGAAATAGTTAAAATCATGTTTATTGATAATATATTAAATTATGCTTAAAATATCGCTTGCCACTGCCTTCAAAGGAAAGCGAGCAGTTCGATGTGGTAAAAAATATAATGTAGTCTTTAGTCAAATTAAGGAGTGATTGAAATTCGTGTAAAGACAATAATAAATTATAAAGCTAGGGTTTTAATTTACTTACATCATATAATATTAATTAGTAAATACATACTTCAAAGACGCCGACAACCCTAATTGGAAACTTGTAGTATAAATAGTTGAAACGTAGTCTAAAGACATCGTATCACGAAACGAGTTGCGTTTCAAGAAAAGATATAAATAGTAACAATACTGAAATGGTAAACATTATTATTTCTAGAATTATGCATTTTGAATTTTCCTTGACGTTTTCTTATCCAGTCCTTCGAGTCCTTTTTCCAGACGTTTACTTTCTTTTTCCTATCATTTTCCTTTCTTTTTCCAGTCGTTTTCCTTCGTTTTCCCGCCGTTTTCTTTCATTTTCAAGTCGTTTCCGATTATTTCCAAATCGTTTCCTTTCATTTTCCAGTCCTTTCCTTTCTTTCCCTGACGCCCCCTTTCATTTTCCAGTCGTTTCCTTTCTTTTTCCAATCGTTTCCTTTCGTTTTCCTGTCTTTTACTTTCATTTTTCGTTCGTTTCTTTTCATTTTTCGTTCGTTTCCTTTCTTTTTTCGTTCGTTTCTTTTCATTTTCCAGTCGTTTCCTTTCATTTTTCGTTCGTTTCTTTTCATTTTCCAGTCGTTTCCTTTCTTTTTTCGTTCGTTTCTTTTCATTTTCCAGTCGTTTCCTTTCATTTTTCGTTCGTTTCTTTTCATTTTTCGTTCGTTTCCTTTCTTTTTTCGTTCGTTTCTTTTCATTTTCCAGTCGTTTCCTTTCATTTTTCGTTCGTTTCTTTTCATTTTCCAGTCGTTTCCTTTCTTTTTTCGTTCGTTTCTTTTCATTTTCCAGTCGTTTCCTTTCTTTTTTCGTTCGTTTCTTTTCATTTTCCAGTCGTTTCCTTTCTTTTTTCGTTCGTTTCTTTTCATTTTCCAGTCGTTTCCTTTCTTTTTTCGTTCGTTTCTTTTCATTTTCCAGTCGTTTCCTTTCTTTTTTCGTTCGTTTCTTTTCATTTTCCAGTCGTTTCCTTTCTTTTTTCGTTCGTTTCTTTTCATTTTCCAGTCGTTTCCTTTCTTTTTTCGTTCGTTTCTTTTCATTTTCCAGTCGTTTCCTTTCTTTTTTCGTTCGTTTCTTTTCATTTTCCAGTCGTTTCCTTTCATTTTTCGTTCGTTTCTTTTCATTTTCTAGTCGTTTCCTTTCATTTTTCGTTCGTTTCTTTTCATTTTCCAGTCGTTTCCTTTCATTTTTCGTTCGTTTCTTTTCATTTTCCAGTCGTTTCCTTTCTTTTTTCGTTTGTTTCTTTTCATTTTCCAGTCGTTTCCTTTCATTTTTCGTTCGTTTCTTTTCATTTTCCAGTCGTTTCCTTTCGTTTTCCAGTCGTTTCCTTTCGTTTTCCAATCGTTTCCTTTCGTTTTCCAGTCGTTTCCTTTCCTTTTCCACTCGTTTCCTTTCATTTCTCGACCTTGCCGGCGCCTATTGTCTTTGATTTTTGTGTCTTTTCCTTTTTCGTTTTTTTTTTTTGCTTTGATTATCCTTCCCGGGGAGTTCTGTTTTACAGTCCTTCGCTCCGGTTTCTTGACATTAAAGCTGTTTTTCTGGTCTTTCAATCTGTCCATATCGATTATCGTCTGTCCTTCTAATTGGGCAATGCTTCAAACCCCCTCATATAAATTTATTGAGGTCGTCTTGTTACAGGAAAGCAGCAGAGATTACAAGCTGAATTAACAGTCTTAAAAATGGCGGATTACATGTATTCGTATTCAAAATTTTGCCAAGTTAATCAGCGTTATCAAAGTATTCAAGGTTGTTTGATATGGCTAACGATCTAACTGATAGAAGCGAATATTATTTAACTTTTTCATGTACATTTCGTAGAATCCCTACATGAACATGGCGCCAAAAGCAAGATAACAGGATTTGATATCTTTATAGAAAAAAGGTTTCCATGGTGCCACAAATAAAATTAAAATAAATAATCATAATAAATGAAACGAAACATTTCTGATGAGATATGCAAATTACTTTTTCAGTGTGAAGTCCATTTTTCTTAAATATTTTTTTTTATATACAATATTGCACATTTGTTGACTTTTAAGCAATGTATAGTACGATATATATGGAACTTGCCGAGGATTCGAACCCATGACATCTAATCGCCTAGCATACAACAATTAAACTCGGAACCGACTTAGCCATTCCACTGCATTATATTTAATAATATTTAATAATGGAGCACAAATGTTTTTGGGGTTTTGTTTTAGGGGGGTGAGGGTATGTGGGCGAGTTATTGTACGCATCATTCGTACCATTTAATTGTGTTCTATTTCCTAATTCAACGGTGTAGTATAGCCGATATAAGACAAGGAGTTGCTACTTGCCCCTTCCTCTTGTAGTATAAACGAATTAATTACCAGAGTGTAGTTTCTACTACAGACCTTATTATGAGAATTTAATCGAAAGAGATATCTAACGTCTTATTAATTAGCTGTAATTGGTTGAAGTTTATTTGAATAAAATCTTAAGAGGATGGGTAAGAGGAGCTGAGGAGCACCTGATAAACTCGTGGTACTCTCGAGTTGATGCTCGTTATTCGAGTTCATATGTTATGCTTATCTTTGCCCTTATCAATCAACAGATTCTGTCATATTAATTGAGGATGAACCACTTGGTCTGATATCATCAATATCTTCAAATGTAATATGAGTGTTTCAGTTCAATATTTGTCGGTTTCTCCAATTTAAAATGGTGGTAATATCTTACAAGACCCACAGTCAAAGGGGTTTTATCATAAACATTGTCAGGAAAATTGTTATTCTGTCACTTGCCAGTTATATGCATTGATCAATATTTTTAACACTTTCTTTAGAGAATGCTCATTCTTCTGGAAAACCCGATGCCACTGAAAAAGTGAGTTTTGTCAGGTCGACAACCATTTCGGAGCATTCCCCAGTGGCGTTTCTATGAACCATATAGTTATCAAAGGGGACTCACATAAAATGATAAGCGTTTTGAGAGTGGAGGGGAAGGGGGCAAAGCCGGGGCAACACCAATTCATGCCACCCACCCCATCCTCTCCCGTAGAAACGGCACCGGCGTTCACAACTAATGTTGTTCATATGATATATCTACAATATACGAGATATACCAGAGTAATATTATGACATGTTAAACATCTATTAATCTCCAGACTCGAGCTGTCTTATAAACTGTTATAAACAACATGCGTATCGAATATACAAGCGGTGATGTTGATATGGTTTCAAACACAGACAGGCGTAAAACTTTGTCGTAAGACCCGGAAAAAAATACAAACGAGCTACTGTGAAAGTTCCGCTGGTGCTTAGAAGCTGTCGAAATTTCGGAATGGATGTGAATTAATTCATTGATTCATTCAAAAAATAATCAGTGCGTGTCTGGTAGTACAGAGTTTTTTTACCCGATCAAGAATGAAATTCCTAATAGATTTGTTGCTCCTTGTTAATGAAATATGCCTTTGAGAGTATAGTAGACACATAGAATCACCAAATTACATTGCTGACTATCATAAATCCGACTGTCGGCTGCTGATAGCGTATAGTGTAAAGTTTTGAAATATACCATACTTAAACTGTCAAAATATTAGATAACCTTACAGATATAACTGTTGATTGATAAACCGTTGTCAATTGATCCTTCATCCTTAACTGATTTGGCTTATCGACTGTTGCTAACGTCTGTATGTGTATTTTGGCGCGAAATCTTTGAAATCTTTCCAAGTCGTAGTATCATTTGGCGGGAAATTTGTCTTTCTTAAATTTTCTTTCTATTGGTTCAAAAAACTAATTCATTCCTGTTTTTTATTAATATTTGGGCCACCCCGTCCCACTTTTCAAGTCCGTGAAAGGTCTTATCTTGAAGTGAAAATTAAGCCATCAAAATGCTGAAAATTCATCGATGGCCATCTGACACTCCATGGCTTATGAGGGCTTCTGGACTCTATTTTGACCTCTCCCTCAGACAATTTCTAGATACACTCCTGACTTTACGGGTAAACGTTAGAATTTAAACGAACGAATTCCAGAATGTTGTTAATGATCAGACCATTCTGTTTAGAGATAGAACAGATACTGGCTGTGTAATGTAGGCTACATGCACGTTGCATAGTGTACAGCTATAAAATACAGATTTCTCATTTTACAGTCGAGTATAGCAAATAAAAATAAGCTAAATAGCTATTAAACCTATCAGATTTATTAAATACAGTAAACATATCGTTCAACTTCTTACTGGAATATTTATTTAGATGGAGTTAGGAATAATTTCATTGCTTTAGAATAATAACAACTTGCCGATTAAATACTCTTAACTTTAACAGCTGATGCAAGATGATATAGACTGTAATTTCCAGCAGTTGTTTCCAAATGGTAGAATGTTTGAGTCAAAATCAGCGAAATGTATGGTTTCGAATCGGCGGCGACTCCGTGTTCTAAGGATCGTCTATCAGACGGGATGCTTCGTTGTTTTTAACAGTTTCATTATGTCAAAATTTAGCAATATTGTCGCAAAATGTGCATAATCAATCAAAATGCAACGAGTTGAAAATATATACGGAATGGTACAAGGAAGTTTTCATGAAGGTAACAGAATGAGCCAATATGAAATCAAGGATTGGTCCAGGTGAAAATTGTCAGTTTAAAAAAGGCTATCAGGTGATCGACGGCCGTCACGTTTTGGCGCGAAATCAAATCACTATCTTGTATTGGCAGACGAACATAAAAGATAAGCAGACGAGAGTGGTAATCTGGGCTCGATTGGTCGACTCTATCTTAATCGCCTTTCCTCGTGTAGTTTACAAACAATTACGATTATGGTATATAAATATTTTGACAATTCCATCTTAGTCTGTCTTAAAATGCTGTAATTATATTGTTTATGTAAATGTCAACATTTGCGCCAGAGCCAGGCGATAGTTGGCTTCCATAACTGTTCGACAAGTGGACAGTTTCAGATTTGTAGGCTTACCACAGGGCCATAACTGGGGTCTTATTTCATTAAGACAAAAATCCTGAGTATTTGATGCTTCGAATTGCCTATCATATGCCCAACTTCGCAAATTCCCGATTTTCTCACCAAGAACAAACAAACCTGCAATTTTTTTTTCTCGCTGCTCATATTGAAATTCAATTGAGTGAAATTTTCACACTTTGTAATAGTTGTATGTTTCATCGACGTGTAAAGTGCTTTTTCTTCTTTTGCAAACATAAAGCACTTGATTTCAAACAGAATAAACAAAGAGAAATATAACGATTACCTCCCTTTCATTGCAGATTTAATGGATTAATTTAAGAAGCGCATTGATCTGTATTTCCCGTCGGTAATAAGGGTGAATTGGTTGACTATCTAAACAGATATTCAATGGGAAATGAACCGCTTTTATGTAAGATTACATAGCTCATAGAGCAAAAAAAAATATGTCTTGAATATGAATACCTGATTCAAGGCCAACAGATTTATTCGTGGTATAATGCGCGTAAGTCGGCTTCCAATAAAAATGTAAAGAAATGAAATGAATGGATACGTCTGGTGTTCTTGAAATTCCACTAAAACTAAGCGTTTTATAACGTCACTATCACCAACAGTTTTTATTATATCTGCGAGCTTTTTCGAAACTACGTCAGTGTGACAATCGATACCCAAAAACAAAACACAACCATCACCCCCTTCCTTAACATTGGCCGACTTTAAATTAGTCTATGATACATTGTAGGCAAGATTATTCATAATTACCTAAGTTGTAAAAACTGTCAAACGTCATGACATAATATATTTTATCTTGTTGAATTTGAATTGGCAGCATTTTCTAATAATTTTGATAGGTTATCAGTGAATTATTACGTCTATAAATTGCTTCTTGGTGCAAGTTATTGGCCACCCCGTGTGGATACATATAAATACGACTTGAATGTCGGCAAAATGTCTACAAACATTTTTAGTTATTTACACAAATATTCCATAGGTATCGCAGCAGGTAGGATAAGAGTTTACGTCTTGACGTCCAAGACTGTAATAACCGGAAGTGTCAGAACTTAGAATTTGGAAACCACTGTTTTGTAAACAAAGCTACGTTTATATACATTCCAAACCGTCTTGATGTGTTGTCGAGTTGTTTATTTCTCTTTTGGCATGATTAAGAGGTCTTTTATGCTTTTGTCATACTCTTTTAACCCCCCCCCCCCCCACCACCCCCAACCCCTTTTATAATATCCCCTTCCGTGTGACCCACCGTACTCTCTTTAGTACTGAATCCCTGCAATATTGATAGTACGAATTGCCAGAACAAAACCCGAGATTTGTATGATTTCACGAGTTACGTCCCATTGTCGAAACAAAATCTACTTCTTACTGCTGCCAGCTCTTTTCTTCCTTAATTTAAAACAAATGAACGTATTCGATGGGTTACTGCTCTTAGTATAGTATAGTAACCTACTGGATTCATATAATTTTGACGGTCATCTGGGCGTACGTTATCAGTGGCATGATCCCCCAAGAAAAGATGTTGACCCAGCTTTGGCCCCACTTACAAAATTTTTATCATTTTACATAGTGAAAGAATGGCCTGTGGCCTCTGCTGGGCCCCACCACCTGATTTACCTGGAAACACCACTGTACGTTATCTCGAGGTAAACGCTCACAAAGTATTTCCAGTCTAAAATATCTCCAGTTTCGTCAAACAAAGCAATTGGGCATGTCTATAATTGCCCAATCTCAATTCATACGAGTATATATCTCAAATTTAACAAGATAACGTGCATTATGAATGTTAAAGGTGGGAATATCAAGGTGTTAAATCAGCATAAATCTTATCTAGTCTTAGATTTCTATTTTTTATCTTTTCGTATTAAAAATGTTAAGGTGGCTGGTCTGGTCGTCTGCTCTCTTGCTCTGTGGTACGTTTTAGATTTTTGGGATTTGATACATTCTGACCACTGAAAATAATTTAATTGTGCCAATTATGGCTTGTTATAGCCTTCCATCTTTATGGCAGTGTCTGGGGCAGATAAGCTTAATTTTAGGCTGAATGTATGCTTATATTGCGACATGATTATTTTTTGTTGTTTGAAGGAGAAGGTGTCAATAAGGTTAATAAGACGTAAAACTCCACATTTTGTTTTCACAGTTAGAGCATCTCAGTTTACTGACCCACACTGTACTAATGGTAGGAGTGCCATAACTCATCTGAGTGGAAATGGTCAGATATAGCAGCCGAATGTGAGCGATTTTTGGCACCACATGGTTATTGTGGAGTTCAGGTAGGTACAAAGGATGGTATCATGAAAAGCAAGGATTATCATTGAAAGGTGGACAGAAGTCACTATCTAACAGACCTATCATTTAATCATTTTTTCGTTTCATTTTTTACACATTCCATTATCTGAATCTTATATCGAGGACTGAATAAAAAAAAACGAAAACGCAAAATGAGATTTACCGTTATCTAACTAATCAGTTCAGTTGCTGTTTTCAGACAGACGCCTTCTCACTATTAAAGTTATCATTTTATTTTAGATTAAGATTTAAGTTAAGACTACGTGTCGGTTATGTCCTTGTATTCGTAGATTTCTCCTCCGAATGAAAACCGTATCGTCACAAACCCGAACAGACCTTGGTGGGAGCGGTATCAACCAGTCAGCTATGAACTGGTCACCAGAAGTGGAAATGAGCAGGATTTTAAAAACATGGTGGAAAGATGCAACAATGTTGGCGTGAGGTAAGAAACACCTGATCGTCGCTTACTTCTCGATCGTTAGAGGAGACCACTACTATACAATTATTGCTCCCGATTTTTCCATGTTGTGGAGGAGATTGTGGTTTACGGAATTGTTTTGGTTGTAGAGATGGTTTAATGGAAGGATTGTAAGAATTGTTAGAGACCCCGGAAGTCCGATCTTTTTTTGTCTGTGCAGCTTATTAGAAAATCTGGCTTAAAAAACGCATCGTGTCGTTTGAATGGGGCGAGGGCGATATCCAATAAGCTAAAGATTTGGATGTCCTTAGATGGAAAACAGTTCTCCTCATTGTACACTGCAGTTGTTATAGGTGATACTTTTGAGTTATGTAGAGCCATCCCATGGTCGAGAAGCGTATAGTAGTTATATTCCATCTTTTCCCATCACCTTGTGACAGCTTTGTCCGCTTCTCTTTTCAGAATATATGCGGATGCTGTTGTCAATCATATGACCGGGGTCGGTGGTACAGGATACGGGACAGGGGGGACACATTACGACGCCAACACTCTCCAGTTTGTGGGAGTTCCATTCGGTGGAAACGATTTTAACGGAGTCAGTGAATGCCACACCCATGATCTGAACATCCATGATTACAACAACGTGAACGAAGTGAGGAATTGTCGTCTGGTCGGATTGGCAGACCTGAAACTCTCCTCCAACTATGTCCGTGATAGAATCGCTGGATTTCTGAACAAGTTAATCGATATTGGCGTGGCAGGACTGAGAATAGACGCCTCGAAACACATGTGGCCAGGCGATATTTCAGCAATTCTTAGCAAAACAAAGGATCTTCGATCAGACATCTTCGGTACCGAAAAGAAACTGTTTGTCTTCCAAGAGGTCATTGACCTGGGCCATGAACCCATCAAAGGCGACGAATACGTTGAAACTGGTAAAGTTACCAACTTCAGATTTGGCATCGAACTTGGGAAGGTGTTCAGGAAACAGAATCCCTTGAAATATCTGTCCAACTTTGGAGAAGGATGGGGCATGATGGATGGTCATTATGCTGTGAATTTTATTGATAATCATGACAACCAACGTGGACACGGCGGAGGTGGTTCCGTACTGACTCATTGGGAACCTAGACCATACAAGATGGCGACCGCTTTCATGTTAGCTCACCCGTATGGATTTCCGAGGATAATGAGTAGCTATGAGTATGACAGGCAGTATGACTGGATAGGACCACCTCACAATGGAGATATGAGTACTAAAGATGTCATTATCAACAGCGACAAGACCTGTGGCAACGGATGGTCATGCGAACATAGATGGCGCCAAATATACAACATGGTCGCATTCAGAAACGCAGCAGGTTTTGAAGGTTTGACAAACTGGTGGGCCGGCTCTGATTATCAGATTGCGTTTTCGAGGGGTAGCAAGGCCTTCATTGCGTTCAATCTCGAAGACTGGGATCTCAACACATCGTTAAATACAGGAATGCCATCAGGAACATACTGTGACGTCATATCCGGAAGTTTGGTTGAGGGTCGGTGTACCGGGCGGACAGTTCAGGTAGACAGTGGAGGAAATGCTAATATACATGTCAGTAACAGCTGGGAAGATCCAATGGTAGCTTTTCACGTGGGTAAGTTCCTGTAGTATGATTTTTCCCAAAATTGAAAGTCGCACTTTTTTCAAAATTTACCATTAGGATAGTATCTACTTTGCCCTTATCAAATTTATACAATTGATGGAGTTAACGAAGAGTCGGATGATTTTTATTCAAAATGGGATATGGTTAGTCACAGCCTAAAAGTCACTCTGCAATTGATCAAGTTTGTACAGTTATTAATTCATAGTTTCTAACCAAATTATGCAGAGAGGTAGAGCAGACAACGAACAATCAGATTATGCAAAGAAAAAAGCAGTCGGATGATCCCTTTAATGGGTTTCCACTTAAGCTATTATACATTTTAAGAAGCCGTCATAATCTCATATACTTCTTGTTCAAGTAGAGCTGCATTACGTAATACGTGATATCATGTACATTAATATTCCTTTATATTGTCTTCTCATGGAGCTAATAAGATATCATTATACACATTGTTTAAGTAGGGCTGTTTTACTATACGTAATTACGTAATTCTCTACATTGTGATCTAATGAAAGACTAACGGGATGGTGTGTAGCATTTAAAGGTATGGTGGGACTGATGGAATAATTACTCCAAAGCAATCAAAGCAATTGCGGTATAAATATTCAAGTATTTCCCATACTTGATTGTCTAGAATGTTCAAAAACCAAAATATGAACTTCCAAATGAATTTGACTTGTTTTTCATTATATTACTCTATACTTTGAATTTGACATTTCTCGTACTTGTATATACTACACACGCAAGAGTATTAAACTGTTGTTTATTAGACCTAATGGTGGACCTCAAATCACTAGGTTGAAGGTTTTAAGGCTAACAGTTCCAAAAGCCTGGGGATAAGATCTGTCACGAATTTAATTCAACAATTATCATTGTAAAAGAATAAAGCAGTTCGGAGCTCTATGGAACTAAAGTCAATTCATTAATTGTTTTGCTTTTTTTATTCGAAAAAGTGATAGTAACAGTTCGATGCTCCAAGACATCTTAGTTGAATATTTCACCCCTTCCTGCAATCGACCTGTTCAACTTTTAACCTTTATCGTTCCAGGTGCGAAACTGAACTGAAAACAACAAGAAATCTAATTTTAGAAAACAAACTGTATTTATATAAATCAAATTTGATTTGCACGGTGAATGGTATTAAAAAAAAATTAAACAGTTTTTAACTGTAAGTGTTCATTGTTTACTACAAAACATCTGCCTCTAGCCTATTCCAGCCTCTAATAGATATTTTGACAGATGTCAGCTGGTGCAATTTTTCTAACATAATATTAAATTACCTTTACGACGATTGCAAATTAGTGATGGTCACCATCGTGACTTTCGTTTCTTTTTGTACCACGTGACTTTGAGACCTTTGAAGTTTTGGCTGCGCACGCAGTTTTAAATGGTCGATGTGAGATCAGTTTCGTGAAAAAAAAATTGATGGAACCGGGGACGTAACATAAATGGTGTAGGGAGAAAATGATGGCATGACTTAACTACAAAAAACATTCGTCTTTCCACATATAGCTGGGTTTTGCAGATCCGGGATATCTTAATAGGTTTTAAACCCCCGCACCTGCGGAGATGCGGAATGTCTTTATGTAACAGGTCCCTTTCTTCTTTCCCTACGCCAGCCTACATTCTGTCCAAATAGCTATTGGAGGCTGGAAGAGAGACAGATGTTTCGGTCTGGTCATAAGAAAGTCGTAGTACTAAAATGCATATGAATTTTACTCAAATTGTGATAAGGGAATTAGCTCACCTGTATTCAGATGGGCGAAAGAACGAGTTCACGCGCGATCATCGTAAAACTCGATAAAATTGAGATTAGTATTATGACGAAATTATTGACAATATTACGGGCCAGTGCTATAACAATGGGGTCATTTAGGCATTAAGAAACACCCCATTGCTTGCACCAGTCAATATAAAGGGGTCGAGATATCAGTGACCTTCATAGTTGGAAAAAATTGATCCACAGTTAAGGCTGTTCAGTTTTTATTTCTGTCCATTACATGCAGCAGACATAATGCGAGCTATAGAAGTTTTTGTCCTGTTGATTCTTGTAGGATCTCTTACGACTGCCAAATTAGAACGATCATCTAAAGGTGAGTTAATTTTTCTATTTTACTCAATTTTTGCCCAAACATTTGGACCCTTGGATGAAAAAAAGCAGAATTCACTCGACAAATTTCGATTTACCTTTGAATGAGCGAAAACTGTAAGCTTCAATATGAGCGTAATTTGAAATGTTTAGATTGATTGCAAAACAAAATCTTTTTATGCTTCAAAAGTATTGTGATATTAAGGTATTTGTTAATATTGTGAATTTTTGAGTGTTTTGTTTCCATTGATGTCTTTAGAGGAAGTAAATTTGTGTTTTTTGAATTTTATTTCGTTATAAGTTTTTCGATAATAGCACAGTATCTTGCACAATACTCTATAAATTGGTGCACACTGTCACTTTAAAAGGCAGATGGTTATTTTTGTGATCCTTCGTTGTTACGAATAAAAACAGAAATGTTTTGTACATCTTAATTTCAGGTGTAAGGGGTCAACGAAATCGTCCAGGACAGTTACAAAATGGTGGCATTATTTCCCAAGTTCCGTTTTTGTCACCTAAAGAACGCAACTATATCAACAAAGCTGGTCAACGAATCGTAAACTTCATGGATGTTTTTCACGGCGTTTTATTCAATCGAGGAAAACAGTCATTACCTGCTATAACCGGAAGTGTCGACGACAATATGAAAATGGCGATGGCGAAAGCCAGACGAGCATATTACAGTTCAGCAGCTCAAACAATTCAAGGTTTAAAATTGAAAACAAATAATACTTTCAAAGAACTCAAAGATTCAGTCAAATTGTTACCAATTTTCAAGGTTCAGGCTGCTAGGAGATTCAGGAAACCAATGCTGACCACAGGGACAACCACAGAGATGCGACCCCAGAGGCTATCACATGGGCATCACATCCTCGATCAGTGAAGCCGGAGAGACAACAGAATCAGTTTCCCAGAAGGAAACCAAACAGACCCAGAAACAATTTTCAACAAGGAAACAGAAACGTTCAAGCTGCTGGGAGATTAAGGAAACCAATGCCGACCCAAGAGGCAACCACAGAGGCGACCACAGGGGCGATCACTGAGGCCACCACAGAGGCGACCGCAGAGGCGACCACCACAGAGGCGACCACAGAGGCGAATGTTACACAAATGAAATAAAATAAGAGCGTCCAGCGAGTGTCGTGTCAAATTGAAACTCTTTGAGCAACTGCTAAGTTTGAATGGATGCGTGACATTATTTCTTTTCATGTGAAATATTTTAAGACGAAAGCTACATGAAATTGTGTTTAACGGGCCTTATATGCCAATTTTATCTTTTGATTTTCTAGATTTCTTTTTATCAAAAATATTGTATATCAAAATTTAGATTTTTGTGTGTTAATAAATTTAGATTTTTGTGTTTTAATGAATTTAGATTTTTGTGTTTTAACGGTTTTATATGCCAAACATAAGTTTTGATTTTTTAGATTTCTTTAATTGAAAATGTTTTGAATTTTGTGTTTTAATAAATTTAGATTTTGTGTTTTGATAAATTTAGATTTTGTGTTTTAATAAATTTAGATTTTGTGTTTAAATGAATTTAGATTTTTGTGTTTTAACAGGGCTGTGTATGATAGTTTACAACACGTTTAGTGATGAATTATTACACAATGTTGGTGCAAGTTTACACTATATTCTGGGTATCTTTACGTAAGGCGAAGAGGTGTAAACTTTGAATAGATTTTATTAGGTGTTACTGTTTACACGGTTGTTGGTGTAGGTTATGAGTGTATACACCTGTTATGATTGTTTTACACACACTCAGTTATATACGCGTCTGAACGTGTCGCTCAAACAATCCAATAAGAAAGCTTAATAATAAGGCAACTAACTTATTCTGGAGTTTAAACCTGACTGACAAGGTTGTCTGATTTCTACAAACATTGTAAACTGTAAACCTAAATAAAAGAACATATTTCATAATATATACTTAGCTAGTTTTAATCATGTTATATGTTTCAAATAAATATCTGGTATCCATTTCATTATTAAAAGACAAACGAAAATAAATAATGATATAATTCTTTCAGAAAACTGTGTTTATCAATAGTCAAATCAATAACAATGTAGAAGTTTTCTGATGAATGAAAATCACCAATGCTAGCAATGTAAGGAGATGGAGTTGCTGGACTATCAAGTATATTGTCTCATGAATGAGTTCCTGAAATACATGTATATTAAGATATTGAGTTAACAGTAATAATCATGAGTTTATTTACTACATAATAAGGACATTCTTGTTTTTACATTTTCTATAATTGATAAGATTAAATAATAACAGCTAACATCTGGCTCCTTTCAGTAATATTTGAGATGTATTTGCACACAAAATTAGGTTTATTTTAACGCTTTTTGATATCTAACTCGTTAGCGAGACAAATAAACTGTACATAGGCAGCTTTGTTTCAAATTAGAAATTTAAATAAAAGTTTGACAGATTGAAAGACCACCAGCTGATATGAATGATCTACATTACCATTTACCAATATACATAAGCATGCTCGGTTATCAAGGCAAGTTTTTATACAGACAGGTCTACCTGATTGAACACAAACTTTTAATTATCAAAATAGGTCAATAAAGGTATATTTATTCATTAGTGGACTTACCTGGTGTCATAACCATTTACCAGAATCCCTGTTTAATCCAATTAAAATCCATATAACTAAGTTATTATCAATAAACCAACTACATTTAATATAAAACGCTTAATATTTCCTGAATAGTAAAATCACTGCAAAGAGAACACCTGTATCTTATTGTTTAAAGGGACCATTCCGCTTTATATTAGGTTGAATATGTTTTGCTCAAATTTGAGAGAAAATGTGCCCTAACTGAAAAAAAAAAGATACAGCCGTTGATTTTAAACGCCAAAATTAAAAAAAAAAATTACGTAAGGCTTCTAAGTTCGTTATACTTTTTGCAAGCTGTTAGAAAACTATGTACGGATTTGTGTAAAATAAACGCCTAATTGTAGAGAAATATGTCTCCTACGTTTTCTAAAGGTTTCAACTAATAATAACGAGCCATTATAAAGTCAAACACCGAAACTAGGTCAAACTGCTTCATTAGCAATTAGTACTCTCCGTTTTTAATTAACCCTTTAAAACAAATTCAGTTTGATCAAGAAGATTCAAAGACATAAATAACATATTATAGAAATATTTTCAGGTATAATTTACGACGTTTTTAATAATGAAAATATTTCACAAAAAAGCGGAATGTCCCTTTAAGTTTGAATTAAAAAAAATTACACTTTAGTTCCCTCTGGGAGAGATAGGTCAAGAAACAGACTGCTGTAGAAAGTAATTCTAAAATGATAATTTTGCCAATTTGCGCTAATAGTCTGAGCAGAGCAACGGATTTTTTTGTACATTTTCTATAGTTTTTTTTTTTTTAAAATTGGAATATCAGCCTCAAAATAGTACTATTAATCTTAGAATCTTGTTGATTTTCACGGGGACCCACTTTCAGAGGAGGTGACAGGGGGTGATCCAGACATCTAACTTAGTGGTAATTATTTTGAGCCAGTGGTTTCGTGGATGTGGGTGAACAAAAGAAGCTGATTAGGGACCAACACCACCAACCAACCATAACTCCGCCCACCTACTATTTGTAAGAGGGTGAATTGAGATTAAATGTTGTATTATGTAATATTTGTACGTCTGCTTTTCTTAACCTGATAGGGCTAAAACTGTGAACATTGTTACAGCTTGAACTCTAACCTTTATTATTAAAGGTGCTAAACTGAAAACAATAAATCTAACGCTATTAGAAAACAAACTGTACTGATGTAAATCCAACTTAGTTTTCACGGTGAACGGTATTAAAATATTTCAGTTTTGAACTGTAGTTGGTCATTGTACTAAGTCCGTCATAGTACTAAAATACATATGAATGTCATTCAAATTGCGTTCAGTGGATTAGCTGATCTTTATTCACGTGGGCTAAAGAACGGGTTCACGCTCGATCACATAAAAACACGATAAAACGTGTCCTTGAGATAAGTTTTATGACGAAATTATTGACAATATTACGGTCCAGTGCAATAACAATGGGGTCATTTAGGCATTAAGGGACACCCCTTTGTTTACACGAGCCTATATAAAGAGGTCTAAATATCAGTGACCTTCATTGTTGATAAAAAGTGACCTGTGGTCAAGACTGTTCAGTTTGTATATCCGTCCACCACAATGCGGGCTGTGGAAGTTTTCGTCCTGTTGATTCTTGTAGGATCTCTCACGGCTGCAAAATTAGAACGATCATCTAAAGGTAATTTTGTTTCTGTTATTTACTCATATCTACAGTTTTCGCACATTCGTCGCTAAATCAAAATCTACCGCCTATTTATGAAAATTGGAATAGCAGCCTCAAAATAGTACTTTTAGTCTTGGCTTTGCATTGAATTGAAGACAAAATTAAGAGCATGTGTTCACATTGAAACTTGTTTATAGGAGAATTTTAAATCAAAATTGGGCACTTGTCTATTAAACGTTAACTTTAAAAATGATAATATTTTCATCAATGTAAAATCAATATCGATTTACCGATAAATGTGCAAAAATCAATAACTTTCAAAATGAGCTTAAATTTGAAATGTTTAGATTGATTGCAAAACAAAATCTTTTTATGCTTCAAAAGTATTGTGATATTAAGGTATTTGTTAATATTGTGAATTTTTGAGTGTTTTGTTTCCATTGATGTCTTTTAGTGAGTAATTGCTTTTAGTAGTAGTTCGTGTTTTCTGAATTTTATTTCGTTATAAGTTTTTCGATAATAGCACAGTATCTTGCACAATACTCTATAAATTGGTGCATTTTGATACTTTAAAAGACAGAAGGTAATCCTTCATTATTAAAGGGACATTCCGCTTTTTTTGTAGGTCGAATACAGATTTTGCTCAAATTGTGAAAAATATACACCAAAATCTAGAGAAATGTGCCCTTTAACGTATCTAAAAGTTTTAACTTAAACAATACAGCCGTTAATTTTTACACGCCATTTTAGAGTCATTGTAAAGCCAAACACCAAAACTAGGTCAAACTGCTTAATAAACAATTAGTTCTCACCGATTTTAATTAACCCTTTTAAAGCAAATTCAGTTTGATCAAGAAGATTCAAAGACATAATAACATATTTTAGAAATATTTTCAGGTATAATTTACGACATTTTTCACAATGAAAACTTTTTACAAAAAAGCGAAATACCCCTTTTAGAATAAATGGATTTTTCATTTTCATTTCAGGTGAAAGAATAAAGGGTCAACGAAATCGTCCAGGACAGTTACGAAATGGTGCCATTGTTTCCCAAGTTCCGGTTCTGTCTCCTCAAGAACGCAGCCGACAACGAAACAACTTTATCGATAAAGCTGGTCGACGAATCGTCAGATTGATGGACTTCGTTCAAGGTGTTTTATCCAATCGGGGGAAACTACCATTACCAGCCACGACCGGAATTGACGCAGACAACAAGAAAATGGCGATGATTAAGGCCAGACGAACATTTTACAGTTCAGCAGCTCAAACGATCCAAGGTTTAGAATTGAAGACGAAAAATACTTTTAAAGATCTAAAAGATTCAGCCAAATTGTTGCCAGTTGTTGAAAATCCACGACCATTGAAACCTGGGAGAAAACAGAATAAGTTTCCCAGTAGAAAGCCAAACAGACCCAGAAAAAAACAAAACAAATTTGCAAATAGAAGAAGAAAAATGAATAAATTTCAACAATTTCGTGCCAGAAAAGCAAACCGAAAAGTTCAAGCTGCTCGGAGATTCAGGAAACCAGTGTCAACCCCTAAGGCGACCCCAGAGGCGATCACAGAAGCAAATGGTACGCAGCTGAAATAAAATATAAAGCGCCTGTGAGATTATTGTGTCAAATTGAACTTTTTAGCATGGCTGCATGATATTCTTTCGTTTGATGCCAAATATTTTAAGACGAGACCTCCGTGAAATTTGGTTTCAAGGGCTGTGTATGCCAAATTTAATTTTTTGATTTTTTAATTTTTTATAGCAATAATGTAGATGTCATTTTATCAATAAAATAAGATTCCTTTTGAATATTTCACAATGTCCATTGCAGTTTACAAGATGGACAATTTAGTATTCAGATCATCGGGAAACAGAAGAATTGAAAATGCCTTTGCATACGAAATTTGCACATATGTTTTTATCTGGATATAAAACCATAAACCACATCTATCTTCCTGATAAGAACGTTGTCTTGGTTTCTTCGAATGCTCCGACACTCTGTCAAGCCATTTTCAGACATAGGATACATGGACTCGATTGAAATCGAATTAGTTCCCCAAATACAAACAATTAAAGTGTTAATTGACCGAGTGTATTCGTTATACAAATATTGAAAAATAAGAATGAATTTAGAAGTTGTAACAAAATCGAAAGAAAATGTCGAGTTTTCAAGTGCAATAAAAAAAACCGTGGTTTAAATTTAGGAAATATATAAAGATGTTTCGAGGTTTTATATTTTAGCGTCGGGTGTGTTCACAACTGGTTTTTACCATCTCATCTAAGTTTCCTTGACCATTTTAGTTAAGTTTTTGAATGAAGTTCATGAAGGTCTGAATATACTTTATCCACAGTGTTAAAGGTTCGCCATCCGTTTTACCAATCGTTCTTTAGTCTAAAAAACGGGAATTGTCTAGCTAAGCAAATTAGTTATATTGTTCACAGCTCAAAATCTAAGCCTTCAAATCCATCCAGAATTATCCGCGTTTCAAAGTTAAAATGGCGACTCGTCTTTTCCTGAGACTTTGTCATAGAAAAGACTTAAAAAGTGGAAATTCTAGTTTGCGGTATATTTGAAGAGATTATGCGATGTTCGATCTTAAACTTCGCCTCTAAGTATAGCGATAACTGAACACACCGAGGGCCCAGTTTACTGAAAGAACCGTAGTTTAACAAGGACGATAACCCGCGTTAGAAGTCCCCTGTTCTATTTTAAAGCAAAGCAAAGCGATCCTAGCATGAACAGACTCTGTCATTGGTGAGGTTAGAAAGTTTCAGAGTAAGTCTCTGATAATGTATTTGTCATAAAACTCTTAGAGTACTGATACATTCGTTTGTAAGATTTGGCCTAATAGTTTTAGCTACAGCGATGTCATCATCCGGTCAAAAAATCATTTTGATTTTTGAGTCAGAGTACATATGCAACGAACTTTGGTACATACGTCCATGTAATATATTTGGCCTTCATTTTGCCACCGAATGTTTATAATTAGTTGCGGTTTGTTGATTTCCTCCGTACAATTAACAGATAAAATTAATCAACGTATTAATCAACTGTCGGTTACCCACAACTTGGGGCCACACCAAGAAAATAGCTCTATTAACAATAACACCTCATTTTCACGTACACTGATAACTCACAAAACCTTCCGCGGTCAATTGGGTGTCGACTCTTATTCTCACCTAAAATAAACTTAACACTTCTCCGCATTTAAAAATTATGAGAAGAAATAATTCGTCCCAACGTTTCACCACCCAGCCATTACGCAGCTTATTTAATCACCGATTTGATTGGATGCGTCAGAGCGCCGACTGTGTTTTGGGAATATATAATGAAGTTCTCGATGCAGAGTCCAGTAACATTTTTGACCATGAGTCGGTGATATATTTGTTATAATTTGACGATATTTATTTGGATTAGTGCGTACTCGAGATGAAATTGGTTATTGTTTTGGTATTATCTCTGACTGCAGTCTACAATCAGGGATTTCAGTCTAAACCTCCTGTGGGTATGTAAGGTTTAATTATTTCAGTAGCTTGAAGGTACATGTAATAGATCATTCGGCTGGTGGACGGATCTCTTCTTTTTTCAATTTGTGACAGAATAACGTTAAAAGGAGTTACAGTAGAGATCGATTTAGCAGCTGATGATGTTCTGTGTTAGTTAAAAAAAATACCAAGTTGGACCTCACAATTGCAAATGAATGAAAACAGGGTGCTATGTTGCGAATACGTGATGTCTGTTGAATTCAATTCCGGTTTTCCAGACATTTTTGTATGCGGAGAATGAAAACGCCATTTGGCAATTTTCGGCAGTTCCCGTAGAACTTCCACAGAAAATCGTTAGTGGTATTGCTTATTGTGTCTGGAAAATCAAGAACACATTATTGGACTTTACAATATTAGCAGTCCGTGTACATTTCATCCTGAAAAATGCTAAGAGTAGCTGAAAATAAGCTTTATCTGCCAGAACGAATAGTGAACGACCTTTAACAATAAAATATATCTCACATCATGAACCGTTTCAAGAAGGCCTATTCGGTAGTTTCATGGTATCATTATATTGTCATTTCAGAAAATATTGGTAATCCAGGGTCACTAACAAACATTCAGAATCCACGCATTCGTCGCACACCTAATCCCTATTATGGGTTATACAACTATTTGTATTCTTCGCCCTATTTCAACCGACCAGCAGCAATGACCAGACGGATTGGAGCACCACGCGGTGTTCTGAGAAACCCACAACAGCAGGCTAGACCTGCGCCTACGAGAGTCCAGGCGCCTGCACCGGGTCCACAGAGAGCTCAAGCCGTGCAAAGAAATAGAGCTCAAGCGGTACCGAATAATGTCAATCCTTATGGCTTTGGAAGAAGACTCGGGATGCTCGGTGCATTGAATGGTATGCGAGATCGAAGTCGATTGGGTAGACACGGTGGTCCTGATGATCTGAACGGTCTCGTTGGTCGGAATCAGGACCGCAGTCGTCATGTGGATGGTATACGAGGGATCGGACTTGGTGGTGGATTGTATAGGGCTATGTCCGGAAGTGGTTGGAAATCTTATGGAAGCAGCAGTGGAGGCAAGGGGTCGTATTACTACCGACACACGGGCTCTTCCGGTGGCTATGGGGGTAGTTACAAGGGAAGTTACTATTATCGAGGGGGGAGCGGTGGTGGTCATGGAACCGGTCACGGTCACGGTCACGGTCACGGTCACGGTAACTCCTACTGGAGTAGAAGATGAGGGTTATCGCCCTTAAATTTCATGTGTTTTTTGAGTTGACATAAATATTTTCTTTTTGTTTTTTTTTCTGTTATTGCTTGTGTGATGCCTGTTCATAATTGAAGCTGCATTTTTTGCGTATTGGTATAAAACTTTTTAAGACTCTGATACTTTTTATCATTCAAGATGGCGGATTAAACCGCTCGTTATCCGATAGACGGTGGACTCAACCGCTCGTGATCCGATAGACGGTGGACTCAACCGCTCGTGATCCGATAGACGGCGGACTCAACCTCTTGTGATCCGATAGACGGGCGGACTCAACCGCTTGTGATCCGATAGACGGCGGACTCAACCCTTTGTGATCTAATAGACGACTGACTCAACCGCTTGTGATACGATAGACGGTGGACTCAACCCTTTGTGATCCGATAGACGGCGGATTCAACCTCTTGTGATCCGATAGATGCCGGATTAAATGACTCCTGACCCTTCAGAGATAAACTCTGCTGCTTAATAATGCACTTTGTTATAATATGTTTAATGTATTTCATGATAATGTGTTACATGGTTATGGTTCTTAATGTTCAAATATTTTTTCACTTATTTATTTTCTTGCTGTGTCTGCTTTTTTGCTGTAATAAACTTTGAATAGATTATTATTCTATATTTTTTCTGTGTGGGACTGTAAAAAATGACGATAAATTATTTTCTTTAGAGTACGCCCTTTTCTCCTTCTGTTCATTCTGTGCAAACGCTGATATGACTAAACTGAATCAACATTGTTTCCCAGGGGATGGGGGGCATGTCGGATCAAACCTAAATAACCCATGGTAGGCTAATTGCACAGATTCTGACTTTCTAAATAAAACGCTCATATAAAGTATTAGATTCGATTGAGCCTACGTTCGTAAAGGTTGCTGAAGTGCTATAGGGCGGGGGGACTAAGCTGGAGAAGCCTTAGAAACTTTCTGATGAGAATATTGCAATTATAGAGTGTCCAGTTAACCAAGACTATGTCTAACGTTTGGGCAGATAACTCTTTACAAGAAAAATGTCAACAACAATGACGAAGCTTTCGGAATATTTCTTGATTTGTTCAATGATTTTTGTCGTATTTATGCTTCAAAGAGGAACATGTGATGATGTTGTAACAGAAGAACAAATTTCGTACGCTAAAGGCTCTGTTTGTGGATATTGCTCTTATTGCAAGGTAAAAATTCATCATCGGTTTTTTTTTTCACATAAATAGTCTTGATTATCACATTATAGTTGTTGTTGTTGAGTCAGACTATTTCAACTACTTGGTTTTACAAGTAGGCTTTTTTCTCAAAAATATTGTGTTATTACCTTTGAGCTTACAAAATGAATATATCTCAATCAATCCAGTAAACGGAGAGGGTGGGAAGGATGGAATCATCCATCCTCAAGCTGAAAACATGACTCACTACTGAAATTGATTGAGATACTATTGCAAAAGACATGGGAGTAAAGGTTTAACTTTGTACTAATGAAAAAGTTACGAAAGCACTGGCACAGGACTTACAAATTTTTCTTAAATTTGAATTAACAAACTTTGTGTTTATAATTTGATGTACTTGGGGGTTATGATAGATCTATGTCTTAGGATTCCCTTTTTTACTTCTTCTTCTAGTTTTGCAAGCTATGTGATAAAGATTGTCCATGTGAAACTAGTCCTAGTAAACCCAACTGTAAAATGTGCAAGGTGAGATATCCTATGTAATATCATAGAGGCTTTAGAGGCTAATGAATTAATTGATATCCATGCTGAGAGAAATGGTAATATGGTAATACATAGATTAACTAATCTATAGCCGGAGAGGCAGATCTTATCACCCTTTCTGGAACACTTGAAATTAGACAAGATCAAGTGATAACAAAGACATGATAAGTTCGGTTTGCCAGCTCTACATCGCCGCAGGAGAACTCTTGTCATTTTCATGTCTTGAGTAGGATTCGAACACATTGCACCTGGTGGCGTTTCTACGCGGGGGGTCTTTGACCCCTCCATTTTCAATTTTTTTATCATTTAACATAGTGAAAAAATGGCCTGTGGCCCCCTGGAAAATTTTGTGACCCCTGCTCGGCCCTCTCATGGCCCCATCACCTGATGTTTCCTAGAAAATACCACTGATGGCACCTAATCCGATTTTACATGACAAGTGGAGTCGCCCACGACAAAAACATGAAATGTTACATCCAAATGAAATGAGAACTAATTGCTTAACAGTTCCAACTACTTAATGAGCTATTCCATTGCCACAGAGTATTACTGTACAGTATAAAAATTGATAATTTCTATCTGATTATATTTTTAGTATTGTAAATATTGTTATATATGTTCTGGTGTATGTGATACCATTTGTCAACCAGGTGAGAATAAAATTAATTATTAGAAGGTATTTAAAAGGAATTGTAGAGAGGTTTTCTAAACCTGCTAATGATATCTAAGGACCTTTCTAATAGTGACGTCATAAAACCCTCAAAGTGGACGTCAAATTGATACTATCAGTGTCCCCGATACACATAAAAAGTCACGTCAATGTAAGACCTGTGAAACATTGTGTTCTACTCTATTTCTAGGTGGTATGATAGATAAAATATCAGCTGCTATTGTAAAGTAAGTACATGTTTATAACTTGTAGATTAATTATTAATTATTAATGTATATAACTGAAGATTTCAATGCTACTCACATATCATCTCTTTGAATAAGTTATTGATATTTTCACAAACAGTTATTACTCATGTCGGGGGTGTATCTCGAAAATGGACTGAGGGTGGGAAATGAAAGGTTTCTCTCTGATGTCAGGCCCAAAACCTCTTAATCCTTCAGGTGCCAGAGGCCCACGGAAGGCAACAGATTTCTGATGGTCTAAGACATATTTTGAATATTTAGAGGGCTTAATTTTCTCTTCAGAATAAGACCTTTCACAGGCCTGATAGAGGGTCCCTGGCCCAAGGGCCCACCCCCTAAACCTAACCACTGACTGATTTAGTGATTTTATTAGTAATGATAGCACATGGAAATATAAAAAATAGTTTGTATGTGACTATAGCCTAATTGGAAAAATCGGCAGATTTTATTTATAAAAAGTGATATCTGAAATTGAGGTCTATCAGATATCAGAGCAAAAATTTATATGATGGAATCCATCAAGAAAAGTGCTTACCCAGACAGTATATTTTTTACGTCACCTAAAAGCTTTATGATATGATTCAGATAGCTGAAATATAATGCTATCAGAGCAAATATTTATAGAATTGTATCCCTTTTTACAAGTTTTGCGTCGCCTAAAAGCTTTATAATATGATTCAGATAGCTGAAATATAGCTCTATCAGCTTGCAAATTTTTATATAATTGTTTTCATTACAAAAGGCGTTTGCCAAAATAACATTTTTAAAAGTTTTACGTCACCTTAAAGCTTTATTATATATTTCAGTGCTCTACCAAGTTTTAATAAAGAAGAAATTGAAGATGATTTAGAAAGTGTTAAACCTTGGTTAGATAAAAAGGATGAATTATGATTGCCAAAACTTTTAGTCTGTTGTGTGAGCTTCTTATTTAGACTTTCCTGCCACATATTTTAACCTCACTAGCTTTCTTACTATATCTATAACCTTATCTGTTTACAAAGCCATAGTCCAATCCAAGTTAAAATTAAAATGACGCAAACGGTCTTGTGGATTTAGACAAAGACAATGAAGTTTGTCACTTAGAATTGCCTTATTTGCCTCCATTACACACAGGCTTTGGTCACAAAATATTACACCAAAAAAGATACCCTTGTCAAGGTTTGCTTTACTTGCTGATTTGAATCCTTTCACCCTTTCGAAAATGATAGTAAAACATGAGGTTCCACAGCAATTAAAGAAATTTAGCTTAATGACATTCAAAAAGGTTGTTCAAAACAGATAACTTAATGGTGATGTCCCTATAAATGCATTGAGATAAAAAACAATAGTTGGAGAAATTGTCAGGAATCTTGATTGTGTATGTATTATATTACATTCCATTTGTATCTTATTGTATTGTGTTTATTTATCTTCTGTTTGTTCTGCATTTACATTGTATTCATTTGTATCACAATTTGATGTTTGTATTAAATTTTTTAATTTTTAGATATTTTTTGTTACATGACTAAGGATAGGTAAACACATGTTCCTAATTTAAAGAAATCTATGAATATTATCTTTCTCATCTGAAAGAGTCTCATTTCAACTATCTGTGTTATTCTCTAGAATGAAAATCCAATATTCGTAAAGCCGCGAATAAACGAGGACACGATTCGTTCCTTCTATTTTTGTTTGTATTGATTATCCCTCAACGAAAACCGTACCGGACACCGTACCTCGTCTATTCTCATCTTTAGAACAGTGTAAATTAAAACACGAAATAAGATGTGATAAGAATTGATGTGCATCACATTTTTTTTACATCCAGAAACAGCAGATACAAAAATCATACAATTGATAATAAAAATATAAACATAAAAAATGTCGTCGTGATTTATTAGGTATGTAAAATGTCGTTTGACTCGAACACACTTGAGATCAAATCATGAGATCAATCTACACAAGAAACTGATAATCATTAGGCCTATTATATTCTTGATTCTGTTTCACAAATAAAACTTACAATCCAGTTTAAGGTAAATATGGTATTTTTCAATCTAAATTTCTAAGCCTAAAGGAACACCTTCACTATCTGTTCGACCAATCATACCTTGGTTTCAGAATTTTTTTTAACTTATATAATCAGTAATAGTTTTCACAGCTCAGCATCGAAATTTGAGCCTTCAAATCCATATGTATACATAATTATTCACGTTTGAAAGTTAAAAATTCGACTCGAATTTTAGTGAGATTATGTTATGGATAACACATATAAAGAAATACACAGTGAAATTCCTAGTTTGAGGTATATTTGAAAGGATTATGCGATTTTCGTGCATTCTAGTATTTTTTAAGACTATTAAAGTACATTCAAGACCCAGATCAATCTCCGAAAATGACGACTCCACGACATATTCCCACATTAAGATATTGTGTGACATTGAACTCTAATCTCTTGGTGTACATGACTGTATGATTTAAGGTGTTTCTGGTAGCGTAGCTAGTTCAACACGATGCTTTGTAAATGACAATAATGTCCAACCGTTAGCTACATGGTTTCTACAAACGGTTTATCCTTGAACACGATGCTCCAAGCTATTCATCCTGAGAATCGACAGAGCTTCTTCTAGAACTTACATCAGAAAACGCAACGCTGTGTCGCTTCCTCAGACCCTGACCTTGGTAACCTCCAGGTCTTTCTTGGTCACTAATGGTACTTCTGCGTCTTAGAATTCCAGCCTTCGGACTTTTAGGCCTATCACGAGCCACAAATGTCTTTGAACGCACAAGATTCATTTGAAAATCTCGCGTCTCATCGTTTGGAATCCGGTAACTTTTTATTAGACTTTTATGACGTTTCAAAAGTTTTTCTCTTTCCCGCGCTTTCCAAGACTCGTACTGATCGCGATGTTGACGCATCCAGATTTCAGTTGAGGGAGTTCGTTTGTTGATGTGGTCTTGTTCTTGTTTTAATCCTCTTGTCGTGCGTCGAGAACACCGGTACTCTTTGTGAAGTTCCTTATCTAATCGGCTATTGTTCATTTCCAATAACTTATCCTGAGCACAATTCAACTGAAGGCTTCTCATTTCCCGATTCATGGAGTCCACATGAGATTTTCTCCGTCGTGGACTCACCTCCGACTCTTTCAAAATTGCTACATTCATTTTCTAGTTCTGACTACAGCTATTGGCTGTTCCAGTTCGTTTGTAACGGTCTGAAAGGTATGGTATGGTAATGTGTCCTTACAAAGGAAGATCCTTCGATTTACAAGGGAAATAATTGGTCTTTGAAAACAAAGATATCTTTATATTTGACTAAAGTTCTGAAATGTTCCGTCTTATTTCAAACAGGGTTATGAATTTCGGACTTATCAATTTTGTAAAAGTTATTACATCCAATTAATTCCTCATGTTTTATTTAATTTTGTCATTCTGACCACAGAAAACTGTCATTGTGCCAATCAAAACCTGCTTACGAGTCGGACACAATATTTCGTGTGAAAGTGATGATTTCCGTAGCCTATACACCGCTTCAAATAATTGATCCTAAAAATTAATTAGACTCTATAATGGATTAGCACATTCACTTCAAACGAATTTAGAGTCTATTTCAAAATTACAAAACAGAGAGTTTTCCAAACCGTTCCTTAACGTTGAACCGAAATTTCATTACTGACACAGTTCGGCCAAACGGATCTGATAATTCAAAATAGGTCAATTATTCTTTCTATTTATTTATTTGTATTGTATTAGACCTAGATAAAACGTTTCATTTTTCTATTAGTAATATTTTTCATAGCTTTTAGCCTTTTGTGTTGATCTTTTGACTTGTAACAAATGGGCCAGGACAAAAGGGCAATATTAACAAATATTTTGGTAATAAGTGCGCAGTTATACAGTTGTATAGGGAATATGGGTCACCAATACATAAATAGCTGGGGATACAGTGAACTGGAGTTTTACTTCCATCTGTATCCGTAATAATTAAGGAGTTTCCATATTCTTCTGTTAAGAAAATACTGAGGGACTTTCAGATGGAAGGGATCCATCCCACAAAAACACTCTGAGCTAGAGCTATCGCATCTTGATCTAACTTGATATTGTAAAGATGGAGTTATGTTGACACAGACTCCTTTTGGAACATGACAAATCCAAACTTATCGCCTGAGTGACCATCTGTTTGATGGCCCCCTTTGACTTCATGTAGCTCTACCAGTTCCCCAGAAGTGATATGGTAACTGTTTGGATATCGCATCTGAACAGTAGGACTAGATATGCCAGGCAAGTATCCATGGAGGTTTTATCACAGAAGTTCAATAAGTGCGTTTGTCGTGTCTATAGGCGAGGGTTAAACGATGAACGACAATAGAAACTAAAATAATATTATTCATTTAATCTAGCATTGACCAGTAACTTTAAAGTCTGTTTGTGAATGTGATTTTATAGATTTACCATAAGCACAGAATGAGGATCTGAAAAATAATTTAGAAAAAATAATAAAAATTGAGCGTATAGTGTATATGATTATCTGTGTTCCTTGTAATTCCATTAGAAATAAGTGTGACGTAGCTATCGCAAAGGTCATTAGATAATGTTTTCAGCTTTTGCAATAATGACATCGTCTACGGTTAATAATTCATATACTTAAAGGAACTAGTGATGGTCGACGAGAAATTGAAATGGTGCAAATTGATGATATTTGCATCCCCGACACACATAAAAAGTTACATCTTTAAAGTACAGACTTACGTCTTCTCAGTTTTTCCTTCTAAAATGGACACGCCCATCACCTTCCAGTTATCTGGGTACATCCACGTGGTCAGCAGACCGGCTGTTTTATCATATTTTACTGTTATTCCTGTCACATTACCAATATCTGTTCTAGTCACAACTAAATGACTTACTTTATCACCATTATTCTTTATTTCACCTGAACCTCTGGAATATAACACATGTAACATCGAAATTGGTCGACAAGTTCTAAAAATATTCATTGGAACTTTGAGAACAGATAGGTATATGGACTTATGAACATGAATTACCAGAATCGGTTGGCCAGACAAGATGTTCAAAAACTGCTAGGATGCTTCGATCAATTTGCTGCAATTAAGAAATACCAGAAGAACGTTTTCAGTTCTGTCTGAAGGTATGACGCTTGTCTGGCAAAATTCTACTTCAAAGGCAGTCAACGATGGTACTTTGAAATGGCATTAATGTCTTTCATTATGTACGCAAGATGGCGCTGCTTCTTTGTTAGTTCATTGGGGTTCATATGACAAGGACGGCAGAGCGAAGGGAACGCTATGGAATAAACGTAGTTACGAAAAGCACATGTAATTACTGATATGACCTACTTAGTAAGTGGTAGTAAGTCAGTGTCTTGTTTTGTACCATGCAGTTGAATATGGACTTCACCATCCATAGGAGTATCTGCTGTAATGTTCACTTGATAGTGGTACCCTGGAAATATAGGATACATGGTTGCAGGGGATTCGAACCCTCGACACTTTAATCTTTGGATTAGGAAATGCTCAGTGAAAATATGTAGAAACTATTCGCAGTAATGGCTGGTAAAGGTGCCCTCACACCAATGTATTTACCAGCTGTGTATTGTTGCGAATAATGAAAGAGGTCATGAGTTCCGAGTGCAGCTCACAACTCAGTTGCATTTGAGTTGCGTTCGAAACTAATATTCGAGACCATATGCAAAGGGCGAATTCTGGGTCTGAGGGCCCCTTAAGCTTCCAGTCAATTCTTTCGTGTACGATAAGAAATTGACCAGAAAGTGGATGGGGGTTGGAGGGGAAGCCTGACCTGCCCATTTACCAACCCGTGGTTGGACAACTGATTTATGGGTGTTACTTACCGCAGTAAGTTGAGGCCGATTTGGTCTCAAGGTAGAGTGAACCCTTCGCACTGGATTTATCAGCATGGTAGCCCATTCTGGAACAACCGTTACCATTGCAGTGTAAACATTTACCAGCATCAAAATCTTCGAAGTTAGCACAAGGGAAAGCTTTAAATGGACACACTGAGTTGATAGTTTCAGTGTAGAGGTAATATGATCGTTCATGACTACAAGAAACAGCAGCTTCGGCACCTGAAATTGGCAGACAACGATTCAGAGGGTGTCTTCATCAGAACACATGTAGCTTTTATTTGTGTTGAAAAGTTTCAAAAGATTTTGCTGCCAGATTATGACACCATATTCGCCAAAACACAATTTAAAAATTTAAGAAAGAGACACTTCGTCGTTTCATAACCTAAACTTTGCAAGCCGAAGTGTTGTTAGCGATTAACATTTAATGATCTGGCCAAGAAGTTGATAGAGAAGGCAAAGATTCCCCCGTTGGTGTTTGAAGCTAGGAAATACAACCACGACAACTTTCAGACGCCCAGAGCGACAGAATGCGTGAGCTATAGTTTAATCTTAAACTGTAATCACTTGACCTGCTAATACAGCTGCTGAATTCTCAATCTCATAAGAATCAGATTTTAATTTTTTTTTTTCTGATGTTTTCGGTCCATTGTAATCTTACAAGTTTTCTACCACAGTCCTGTTCTAATGACGTTATGTTAACCAATCGAATCGTGTCTTGTTTGACCCGTTCCTTGATAATAATGACGAAATGTGGAACAGGGAATCCAAAGATTTAATTAGATTTCTGAATTCTTTCATGCTTACCATACAGTCCCAGAGTTACAGCGTTCCATCCGGTATGCAAAATCTTTTTCAATAAGTTGGAGTCACATCCAGGTTGTTCCGCTCCGCCATTTGGGTAAAAATCCACGTCCCCCATAGCTTGCTTTGTTCCCATCCCAATAGAAAGTATTCCTGCACCATTCGCATGAATATTGTCCACCAAAACAGCATCCGTAGGATCAAGTCGTACCTTTGGTGGAGTTCCTTCAAAGTACGGACCTGCTGGGTCCAAACCTAGAAACATATTGTAATAAGAACTACTATAGTTGCTTAATTCAATAAACTTTATGAATTTGTTACTAACAGAGGAAGCAAAATAGATATTAGGTATTAGGTATAATGTGTTAACAGGCGACACCAGGCCAAGTCTCGGAAGAAATGTTCGCACTGGTTGCCGATTTAACAACACATAAAACCCTTTTACAGATTTATAAAGCCTTGAATGGCACAGCTTGTAGTTCTACCACAGACTTGAATGATTCTGCAAAACATTCCTTTAAACAGCCAATACGTGCGTTCCTTGACGCATCACCTTACCTGTGGAACTTACTAACAATTAAGAAATCAAAATGTGCGCGTAATTGAAAAACAAAAAAACGTTTGTGTTAAGGAATTATTACTGATTCTCAGTAAATCTGTCGTCGCAGAATGAACCTCAGTGTTCATGCGTTTTAAAATTCGAATGTAAGGTAATACCTGAGATTCGTCCAAGATTTTTAACTCGTTCACCAGCGTAACCAGAAACATGTGCGCCTAGACTGTGACCAATGATATGGAATTTATCAGGAGAGCTGTGTGCGGTCTTGATCATTGCGTTAATAAGCTGTGCGATCTGAGCTCCGACCACTCTAGTGTTGGACGAAGCTTGGTCGTATGGTAATCCGGCACCGTTACCCCAATCTACGATTATAACATTCACATCTTCCTGCAAATAAACGTACCAAAAGAATTCAAGTGCCTGAATACCGACGTCACTTCTATTTTAGCTCTTTACAAATTCTTGTATCTAAGATATAAACTGACCATAAAGGATTATACAAAACGTTTAAATAACCACTACAAAGTACAGTTCAGGTCTCGCGTCTTGGAAAGTTTCTTACACAGATCGAAGCTTCGAAGGTTTGAGAAAATAGACGCCATTGTATACACTGTTCAAATATGTATATTCCTCGGATGTCGTTATAACTCAAAAAGCTATAAGTCCTGTGATTCCTCAAATAGATATATATTCTACAGATGCCGTTATAATCTCGGTTTAAGCGAGGACCAAAAAACCCTCACTGGCTTCTTGGGGAGCCATGACAGCCGAGCTCTGGAAACGAAGATCAGTCTTGAAATCTTGAGCGATCTCTCTCACCAATCGTTGGAAGGGACGTTTTCGGATCACTTTCAACCACCCTAATCTCTACATTGTCCTCCACAACGTCACATCATGCTGAAATCTTGGATGAAATGAATAACGAGGTGCATATCAGGTGTTCTTACCGCTCTGAGCAATTCCGCTGCCAAATCTTGTAACCACTGACGTTTACCATGATGGGTAAATCCGTGAACGAGAAACTTAGTCTTCTTGGAGCCATCAAAATGGGATTTCTGGACCGAAGCCGCATCGGAGACTATTTCTTGAACGTCAGACGTGGGTGTGGCTCTAGAAAGAAGACGTAGTCACTGACACATCTTATAGATCAAGGTACAGACAATTCCAATGACTGTAATACTTTATTTATCCTACTGAAACCTCATGCTTCTTAAACTTCAAAAACTCAAACGAAATCTTTCCCTTTTCCAACATATGGTCGTTTCCAACTAACGAGCTGATTGCAGCCCCTTGACGCAATGGTACTTGTCTGCGGTCAGAATAGGGCTAGAGTAAGTGCAGTTATTGTTTCTGTCAAACAACTGTCCCAGGAAAAACGGCAGTTTTCTTGACAGAATAAAGCCAGTTCACTAACTAACTTGTCCAATGGTGGTGGATGTTTGTAGTCGGATTATCCCTTACCTTGTGCGAAGTAGGAACTGTGTTTTTAAATCAGCCGGACTTTTAGGAAGAACTGAAAATGGTCTGCTGGAACTTCTAAAAGGTGGCTTTTGATCGAAGCATCCTAATTCGCCAAAACACACTCGTTCACTACCGCTACCAGTTGATAATATGAAACCTGAAACATATCACAGAAACTTTGACACCCCAATTCAATATTTTCTCAGAATATGTCGTGAAAAAATCGAATATTGTAGCCCATCGCCAGACAATAGTCCACAAATCTGTTCGTAATATTACTAGGAGGTTCATATCCCGAGAACTGTCGCAAACTTTTAAATAACGTATTTATAAAGATTCTAAGATTATGTAAGAGAATCTGATATAAATATACGCCTAAAATCACAAATTAATTAGATCTGGCGCGCTGTAAGTTGGGGGAGTATAGATGTAGTACAAAATAGAAGAAGCAAATACGAGGTAGGTCCACGGATCAGAACACGATGCGACACGATTAGCGTCTTCTATCTTCTACTGTATCTATCAATTACACACATCACCAGACACCATACTTCGCTCAACATAGCTTACCTTGACAAATTGGCAGTGCTAGAAGCCACACGATGGCTGACACATCAAACATTCTGAAGGTTTGCCTAATCTCTGAAATCTTATCAGACAGGCTAAAAATAGATAATTTAAAAATTAAAGGAACTTTGCTTTGTCATGGGTTTGATTGAAAACGTTTTTTCTGATAACTTTCATTTTATTAGAATTTGGACATCAGATGGGTAAATTCTCACGAACGCTGGCCTTACGTTAATTTATTAACTCTGAAAGAAAGAAAAAGAACAAACTAGCCTACATTAGGCAAGGATAACAACTTAGGTTCACAGTTAAAGATCCTTTCTACCAGCTGGTCCTCTTGGCATTGATCTTTCCCAGATTATCTGTACCCATGTGCAGCTGGATCTTCTGGAATTATGAGTGAAGATAACTTATTCAAAGTCATCGGACTATCACACGGTACGCTGATCGAGATCGGAACCCATAGGCATAGCCGCCATTTGCTCGACGTAACCAAGCTAATGACGTCAGGTAAAGAACCAACGCTCGAAGCTCACATTTCTGGAGCTAGTGACCTAATATTCTTAAAGGGTTACGACCTCTTAGGATGACCAAAAATTCGAAATTTTAAAACTTGGCCAAAATGAGTCTTTGTTCACCAGTGGACTTACCTGGTATCAAACTATACAACAGAATCCCCCTATCATCCAATAAATCCATAAAACTAAGTAATAATTCATTAAACTAAGTAATAATTCATTAAACTAAGTAATAATTCATTAAACTAAGTAATAATTCAGCGTTAATTCTATAGGCCTTTTCCTCTATGCATTGGATATTGTTAACAACGTCGGAATTTGGGTCTGGGTTTAAGATGGCTAAAAAATACTTTACAAGTTGCTAGAGGTCGATTTTAGCTTTCCACAGCTCTGACATAAGCATCTAATACTCTGTTGTTGTTGTTTTTTTGTACCGCAGACTTTGACCCAAAAATTGGGACCTTCCTTAATTATAATTGGTCTAGATATGAATTAACAAAAAGTGGGAATTTTTAAACTAATCTTTTGAACAACTAATTGTTCACACCAACTGTTGTTTGTTTAATCATGCACATTTCTTCATAATATTTTTATTTATTTATTTTTTTTTAACCGTACTAGACCTTTAACTGTATGTTGATGTTGTCATGGATACGGATATACTACCGGTCGAAATGGATCAAGGTCGAGTTCAATGTTAGCATGTTAGTGAATTTGTTTGGTTTTAAATGTACATTATATTATGATAATCATCACAATTTAATGTCCTTATACATTTCAATACAAATTAGGCTACATTTAAAAGTCATAATAAAAGTCCATTTATAAGTCTTGCTTTTCCAGACTTACAATATTTTCCCCTATAAAAAACGTCTGGATAACAAAGTCTCATGTAATTACGAAACTAAATTTTTCATTTCCGGATATTTGCAACACTAATTCATGGCCAACTAGACCTTCAGAAACTTATATTTTGTAAGAATTAAGAAAAAAAAACATCGCTTGGCAATATCACAACCGCTTAAAATTTTCCATTGATTTTTGTCGACTTTGCCTGTACATGGAAGAAGTGTTTGTCAAGTTGGAGTGAAAAACCGACACACTGTGTAGCATTTATCACACTCCGTATATATAAGTGTTTTGATCGACAAGAAAACAAACAGAATCTCGATGTAAAGGTTTTATTTAATTTCGATTGATCGTTGGTTTTAGAAATGGCAAGGTGAGATTTTAATGCTTTACGTAAAAGGGTCAAAATTAAGCAAACGTGGTGAAGAAAAATTTGACAGACATTTGTGACATATCTTCATTTATTATTATTACATTGATAGTCCGAGGAGTAGGCTAGACCGAAACATCTGCCTCTATTCTAGCCTCTGATAGCTATTTTGAAAGTTGTCAGCTGGTGTAGAGATAGAAAAAAAAACTGTTATGTGAGGATTTTCTGCCTCTATTCCAGCATCTGATCGCTATTTTGAAAGTTGTCGGCTGGTGACAGAAAATTAGGCCTTGTTTTGTGGGGATTTTCCACATCTCTGAAGATCTGGTTCATTTTAAACCTGATTAGATGCTTCAGATCTGCCAAACTCTGATATATTTGGAAAGATACATATTTTTGTAGTTTAGTCATACCTTCAAAATCACCCTACATGGTCCTGTGGTTCCGTCAAAAAAAGGTTTTTAAACAAAACTAATCTCTGACCTGCCATTAAAGATCGAATGAGCTACCAAAAGTTGGAGATGGGACGGCGGTGGGAGATAATTATGATTAAATCATGATAAACATTCAAGATTTGTATTTTATTTAAGGTGGTAGAAGTTATTGGTAAGTGATAATCATAGAAAATTATATTGGGTACTAATTAGGCTTTTCTTGTACATTTCGTAAGAATTCATATTATGGCTTTATTTTGTTAGAAATTTATTTTGGATTTTAAGAGACACTGTCTTGATGTTTACTTTTACAATTGATAGAACTCAATTTCAGCTTGGTATCCATATCCCTTTTCAGAATGAAAATTAGACATCTGATTTGTCTACAATAAGATAAAAACTGTACCACGGTAGTTTAGACTACTATCATTGCCAAGCATCACATATTGGATGGCTTAAACTGTCATATAATTTACTTTGGAATTATATTGATGAAAAGCTACAAAAAGGCACCATTGAAATTAGCTATAAATAAACTAAATTCAGCCATAATTGAGCTTCTTCTAAAATTCTTACATAAGCTTGTGAAACGTGTCCGTTGTTCTGTCAGCTTGTGTCTCAGTTTATTCTTGCTAAGCATGCTGGTCTTGTATATGTGGGTGATTGGGATGATGACATGGTTTTACATGGTCTTCTTTTATAACTGCATGCTTCTTAGATCTATATACTTCTGTTATTAATTGGGATAAATTAATGGTTACTAATAAAGAATATTATGTTATGTTAAGTGTTGGATAAAGAAATTGGTAATTTAGAATCCTTGTTCACGAAAGGCCTCATGTGTTGTTTAAAACAGATTTTGCAATGTCATAAAACATTAAGTTTTAGTGGAATTGCAGGAACCATAGTCATCTGATTGAAAATTGAAATGGTGCTAATTGATGCTATCAGTGTCCCTGATACATATGAAAAATTTAGAAAACCTGTTTATAATCTCTTTTAGATAAAAGATGGACATATAACATACGAAACTACCGCGACTTAATAAGTTGAATTTTGAAAATAGCTGCAATATTTCAGCAAAGCTTTTAATTCACATTTAAAGGCTTAAAAATGGCTATAAACGTGACTTGAAGGCTTAGCTGAAATGTTAAGCTTTTTTTAAGAAATTCAACCGTTTTCTACGTTTGTAGTTTTCAGAGCAACTGGACATGGATCTCATAACATTTGTTAGCTACCAACTAGATACTATATTTTACACATAACTTTAACCCTGTGCCAGTACCTTCTGTTGAATTGTGACTAGTTGCTTGTCACCTTTAACTGGTTTCTTTTACAACCAACGTGATACTCTAAATTTCTAGTTGACCCAAACAGCAAACCCAATCAAATAAACACCATATTAATTTGAATACATGTCTGTTCATTTGTTTGTGTGGACATATTAATTATATGAATATAATGCCTTCCAGTTTTTCTGGAGAAAGACCTTTATTTATTGCCAAAATGTATTATTGGTCTCAAGAATACTTAGTATATGATTTTAAAGGGGAAATTATCCTTTTAAAGGTGGGTTTCCTTAATTTTTAGTGTCAAATTAATCAAACTATTTAATTCTTAATCATATCATTATGTTCTTATTGCATATAATTAAGAGTTTTAACCAATCATAAATATCCATGTATACTGTTTGGATAAACAAAAATAGATTTTTTGACCTTTCATAATCGGCCGCTCATTGGAATTCTGCTGGCAATTCTCTTCTAATTTAACTTATGAATTAATTATGGACATGTGAGACAAACTGGTATTTTTCCAACACCTCTACTTTCTATTCATGTAAGTATTGGCATTTTCAATTTCATCTTTAAAGTAAATCTATATTAGCAGGTCAAACAGGAGAAGTCAAATATGATAAGTCATGTATAAGATATCTCTATGTATAGCTAGTTTACGAAGAACATGTCTTATTCTAACATTAAATATATCCTGTTCATACCTACTTGTTCATTGAATAAAAAATTATCTGGTCTAGCTTTATTGTGAATTGAATAGGAAATAGAGAAAATACTGTAAATAGAGAAAATAGGTTAAACATAATAAGTACTGGTAATAGATAGTTCAATTTTAAAATGGATTACGCTAACTCAACATCTAGTGAAATGCAGTTTTATATGTGAAGTTGTGGGCTATTTTCACAATAAACCTGGTAAGTTTTAAGGCTAAATATACTTTTATTGTAAATAGAAAAGAATAGTAGGTTACATTAGTGAATATTTGAGATGGATTACACTAACTCAAGATGCACTGAAATGCTGTTTCTGGTTTGAAATTTTTGATAATTTTTATATAACCTTGGTGAGTTTTTAGGATTTTTTTTCTATTTTGAATGCATTGTTTATTGATTAAAATGGAGAATATTCTTCTTATTGACTTCTCACTCCTGTACAGTAAGTTCCATTTCCAACGCTGGCATTTTGTGACACAAACAAAAGGTGCATTCAGTTTCTAATACTTCTAGGAATACACAATTTTTTCGCATTACAAAATCCCAGTGTTGGAGAGGGAAGAAATTTGATTGACTGAAGTGGCTATATCAAAAATAAAATGTAATAAGAAATGGTACGTAAGTTTGGTCTAATTTTAATAAGACTGGTGAAAATAAATGTAAATTGTTGAAACATTTTGTGTATAATTAAAACCAGGAGTAAGATGCTATTATACCATGACCTCTAATCACTCTAGTCAAAGGATTTTCATTATCTTAGACCTAGTGAAAAATGTGAAAAATACCATAGAATTGGGCGTGACATTTTTTTTTTAATGTACTGCATGATCTGTGATGTATTGATGTTGTTTGGGCTATTCAGCATAAATGTTAAATTATAGTATACATCATCTTCACAATATCAAGCTATTACAAACTTCATCTTCACAATATCAAGTTATTACTACCTTACTACCTACTATTTATAATTTGAGTGCAATAACCACTATTCTTGTATCACAGAATGCATCGATTTGATTGGATTGTATGCGAGCGAAGTTAGAAAAAGACAAAATTTGTAGTAGTTTGACATTGTGAAGATGCTATAAGATTATATCTTGACGTTGTGAAGATGCTATAAGACAAAGTTTGTAATAGTTTGACATTGTGAAGATGCTATAAGACTATATCTTGACATTGTGAAGATGCTATAAGACAAAGTTTGTAATAGTTTGACATTGTGAAGATGCTATAAGACAAAGTTTGTAATAGTTTGACATTGTGAAGATGGTATAAGACGAAGTTAGTAATAGCTTGACATTGTGAAGATGGTATAAGACAAAGTTAGTAATAGCTTGACATTGTGAAGATGGTATAAGACAAAGTTAGTAATAGCTTGACATTGTGAAGATGGTATAAGACAAAGTTAGTAAAAGCTTGACATTGTGAAGATGGTATAAGACGAAGTTAGTAATAGCTTGACATTGTGAAGATGGTATAAGACAAAGTTAGTAATAGCTTGACATTGTGAAGATGGTATAAGACAAAGTTAGTAATAGCTTGACATTGTGAAGATGGTATAAGACGAAGTTAGTAATAGTTTGACATTGTGAAGATGCTATAAGACTATATCTTGACATTGTGAAGATGTGTCGAGGTATAAGATGAAGTTAAGACTATATCTTGACATTGCGAAGATGCTATAAGACAAAGTTAGTAATAGCTTGACGTTGTGAAGATGCTATAAGATTATATCTTGACATTGTGAAGATGCTATAAGATTATGTCTTGACATTGTGAAGATGCTATAAGATTATATCATGTCATTGTGAAGATGCTATAAGATTATATCTTGTCATTGTGAAGATGCTATAAGATTATATCTTGACATTGTGAAGATGCTATAAGACTATATCTTGACATTGTGAAGATTTGTCAAGGTATAAGATGAAGGTCGTAATAGCTTGACATTGATGAGTGAAGATGAGTATTTACATGTGAAAGTTTATGCTCTAGTTATTCTAGTATAGTAAATATTAAGTGAGATATATCAGTATGAATGATATTATTGAAATATTTGATTAAATGAATGATAGGAGTGGTCAGAAATTAATCTTTAAGGTATATTGTCCACTAATTAGTTTTTTCTCTTCAAGGGATGTTGTCCTTGAAATTTTTTTTATAGGTAAAACTAAATGGGATGTAACCGATGAAATATTTGCTCAATCTTTTCGAAACACCTGATGATACCGCACAACTTTTACTCTCGATTTTGATACTTTAGATGAGATTTTGATTAACGGAATTGTCCTTCTTATACAGATTTTTTATTCCAAGCTATTTACAATTTCAGCTATTTGTGTCACTTTTAAGAATTATGAAATAACATGTAGCACTTCACAATTTGATTTTGACTGTTGTCACCATAGAAACAAAACAGATGCCCTAGTTTTATTCTTAAGAAGTGATACAGCTGGCTGGAATGAAGCTTTATCAGTTATTAAAATAAATATTTAGACTGCTATATTTATTTTCGACTATCAGTTACGTATTTCAAATTATAATTCTGACATTCTGTTTGCACGTTATCAATTCAGAACGAACTTATGAAGTTGATATTAGAATTCTTTTGATATTTGTCTTAATATCCATGATCTCATCTTTTTGGTAACCATGAGAAAGGACAGTAAACGAAACATCATGATAGACATTAAATTTAGATTGCTGTGTGGTAGATCAGCTTTCTAGCTTTTTTGGCAACAAATATCAACATATTTTTATGGCCACTTTCTTGAGCTCAATCTAGCAAACAAAATGTCAGATTGCCTGAACATTTTATTTCTATAAAATATTTATTTCTCTTTTGAAGATATTCATAGTGAAAACTGTTTCTTGTAACTAGATGTATAGTAACTTATAATCAGTAGGCTATAAACTATAGTGTAGTACTATACTGTATATATAGTAATTGTTAGTAGTTAGTAAGTGTTCAATATCTTTCAAGGTTCAAATGTCACTTAGTGCTGATATGAATTATATTTCTGTTAATACTATAGCATTAAAGATATGAACTCACAGCACCCCATGAAGGGCCCAAACCCAGAGTCTCAGAGGGAGCAAAAACTTTTCAAGGGTGACTATGGAACTCAACAAGATATTCAAGTCATCTAAATTTTTCAGGGGCCCTACGATTTCTTTTGAGGAGGGTGGGGATAATTGAAGAGCAGATTGGATTTATTATGCCAATGTCGGTGCTTTTGAAACAAAGAGCTGTTTTATATTTAACCTTATCAAAATGTCATATAATGTGGTTACAGATAATATTGCTGTGCTTTTCGATTTTGGCCAAATTTTTTAATTGCAGTTATTTTGAATGTGTTTTTGATATCAGTTTGAAATGCTAACAATCAGTTCTGATATAGTCAGGATGATTGGTCATTTATTGAACTAATAATCAATATATCAACAGTAAGGATTGACTGTGTATTGATCTAGTAATTCACTATAATTGCCTGAGGCCTCCTACTCCATTAAACCTAGCTGAAAAATCATTTCATTAATAATTGTTTAGTATTTGGTGAACATTTCTTACATATTCTTAGGTCACGGGTTTATCGTGGAATTTTTTTGTTTTTTGTGAGAGTTTGATAAGGCCTAACAGTGATGAATTATTGTTAAAAAGTAATCTTATTTAGAATTCAGGAGTCTTCCGTAAAGCTGAACCTGTCTTGTTAATGAATGATAAATTCCGTTGTGTCTTTTTGGACGAGACTCTTTACTTCCTGTATTTATCAGTGATTTGTTAAGTGATAGTAATATTGTGAATTAAACATAGAAAGAAACTTTTGGAAGATAATTCTGACATTTACTAAGGTCTTTAATTGTGACTATTGGTTATCTAATGATACATTTTATTATCTATATCTTATGCCTGTTTTGTTTTCATTGACTTTGTTTATAAATACATATTCCTAAACGACCAGCCTCTGATATTTACATTACAAGAATCGCATGATCACATGATATTGACATATGACGATTCATTACCGTTTTTATGTTGCGTAACTTTCATGGAAGCTGTAAGGTAATTTAGTACAAGTTTCAACAGTTTATTGTGCAATAATTGTTTTTTTTTGTTAAATTTCCAGGAATTTTGTAGAAGAGCCAATCCCTAAAACTACGTTCTTACAAAAAAATTAACATCCTTGTCAAATAGACATCTATTTCACTGGTTGTCAGCCCCTAATTACACCCCTGCTTGTGAATATACTTTCATTAAGGCTACAAATACATGGAATAATGTGCATTTAAGAAATACAGTAATCTGATTGGATAACAAAACTCAGTTTAAAATTAATTTTATTGGTTGACCAATCAGATGATTGCAACACTAGTCATCTTAAGTTAAGTTTTACAGATTTTAGGAGGATATAAAGGTATATGATGCTCAAAAGGGATTTGCATTATTCCAATTTTCAATCAAACATCTGTGGTTCCTGCAATTCCACTTAATATGCTTTAATCACATCAGGCAATACACAATTAGTGATGTCATCAAACATTTAGTTTCATTGGAAGTTCAGGAACCACAGATGTCTGATTTAAAATTGGAATGGTGCAAATTGATGTTTTCAGGGTTCCAAATACACATAGCAAATTTAGCAAACCTCTTTACAATCTTTACAATAGATAATGATAATATTTATTTTGTAGAGAAGAAGAAAATAAAAATGGCTGCTAGCGGTAACACAATCGAAATGGCTAAAGTAAAACCTGTCTCCTCCAATAGGAATTCAAAAGCTGTGTCTGAGAATGCATCTGATAAGAATATCACACCAACACTGGCCAAGTCTCAGGTAAATTGATAAAACTGAATCTTAACTGTGAATAGTTTAAAGGGACAGTTTGACCATCTGTTTGACCATCTGTACCTTAGTCTCACAAATGGAATTTTTTTAAATAAGCCTTAACTTAACTGCAAATCTCATGTGTATCCAGAATTATCCCTGTTTAAAAAGACAAATCGGCCTTATATAGTATAGAGGTATATAGAAAAAGAAATTTCTAGTTTGAGATATTTTTGAAGTAATTATGTGATTTTCTAGTACTTCTGAAGACTATTTAATTATATTCAAGACTCAAACCTCCGATAAAGACAAACTTGTCCCTTTTAAGATGGTGTCTGGAATATTTATGATTTTTTTGATGTCATTAAATTATATGGAAGTGTTGTCAGTTGGAGTTCTTCTGCCATAGACCAGCTTTAAAAACTTTGACAGGCTGACAGCAAATTTTTAAAATGAAACATTCTGCCTTTTTTTATTTGTAGCAAGATGAGAAAAAATGGATCAAGACGAATATAAAAGTAAAAGAATGTGCTCATTTTGTGAAAGCTAATAATCAAGAATCTTCACAGTAAGTTAGAAATATTTTTAAGGATTCAAAAGAGGGTTTTCTGTCTATATGTCATTGTCAAGGTCACATGCAATCAAGCCTGTACAAGGTATTGGGGGTGAGAGCCGGTCTGACTGTCGGAGGCATTGGCACAGACAAGAATTTTTCTTACCTTGAAGAGGATTTGCAAATAATCGCCTAGCAGACTACAATCCAACTCACTAGCGACTGAGCTATTCTACTGCAGTATTCAGAGTGGCCATCCTGTCATTAGCCATCCAGTCAGGTGCAGAAAAGTACTGACAAAATCCATTCTTTTCTTCAACAGTGAAGTTAAAATCCCCCCATGCAAGTTTCAACCAAATTTACCTCTAATCAATACACACAAACCACTTGACACAGCAAATTTTCGTTCTCTTTTTTTTATTAGCTGTTACTTTTAAAATAGCCACTTCAGTTAGGGTCTACTGATAGCCCTGTTGAATGTTTGTCAGATTAACTTTTTGACCCAACCTGATAAACACCACATCACAAAATACCAGCACTGGAGAGGGTAGAAATTTGGTCAATTTTGCCACTGCTAAAATACCAGCCAATCATGTTGCATCAGAAGAAATGAATGGAACCTTATTCTTGAAAACTTAACTAAGATGAAATCCAGATTGAAAAAAATTGATCAGTGACAAATAAAATGACTGGAACACTAAGATCATCTCAAGTTTTCAAGAAAAGTTTTTCAAGAATAAGGCTGCAGGTCAATTCATTAAAACTAAAATTTGTCTTGCTGTTTTCAGAGATCCTAAATGTAATTGTGGTTTGCGTAAGGGTCACCATCGAGATAATCAAAAACAAGGCCATGAGACACATTGGAAGGCTCACAGTATCCATGCCAACGCCTATGGTGAACTGGAATTCGATGATGATAACAACCAAGTTGCTAAGGTATGGTTGCCATTTTGTCTAGTCATATGAAAAAAAAGATTCTCATTCACTTTTGTTTGTTTTTCTGATTATCACTTTCTTTCCTTTCCCATACAAAATTTCATTGGTCTACCTCATCGCCTAGGAGACGTCAATCTAACTTCCTAGCTAGTTGACCATCTTCACAATTTCAAAGTTTCGAACTTTGTACTTATACCTTGACTGCAATACTCACCTTTCTTGTATCACAGAAGTTTGTAAATGGAGCCATTTGATCGGATTGTGCACTAGCGAATACAGCCAATCAGAGGCCTTGATAGAAAGTCTGTGAACACAAATCCATAATGTTTAGTCTTTCATCAAGGGCTCTGATTGGCTGTATTGGCTTGCGCACAATCCAATGAAATCTCTGCATTCTGTGATACAAGAATAGTGGCTGTTGCAGTCAAAGGTACAAAGTTCGTAATAGCTTGACTTTGTGAAGATGCTGATCTCCATGCATGGTGTTGATTGATTTTTGTATCCTGTTTTTCAGTTTGTGCGTGTAGGAGACTGTGAAGAAGGAGAAGTAAAAAGAATTTTAGATAATCTCCTGATAAAACACTGGAATCTCCAGAAACCAAATCTGTTGATCTCTGTGACTGGGGGCGCCAAGAATTTCGACATGAAAGCCAGGTTAAAAGAAGTGTTCAGAAGAGGTTTGCAGAAAGCTGCCGAAAGCACTGGTAAATACGATTTTCTTTTTTTCAATTTACATATAAGGGGTTAATGTATAGGAGTCACATTCACAATGTCAAACTATTACCAACTGCCTCTTATACCTTGACTGCAATAGCCATCTTTCTTGTAGCTTGGAATGCAGTGATTAGATTGGATAGCAAATACTGTTCTGTTATTTAAAGTGATCTCTACCCCTAAATATCGTTTAATGACTATATTTGATTCATTATCCTGAAAAATATTTTGGAATAACCAAACTTCTTTCATGAAATTAGGCACATAGGTGTTAAAACATAAACTGCATAACTTTAAAGAAGAAGTGTGTTTATACCATTATATTGTCGTTTTTGTTTTTTTGTGAAAGCCACCATATGGAATTCAATTTGAATAGAAATATTTTGATAATTGTAGGTGCGTGGATTATAACGGGGGGTAGTAATGCAGGAGTAATGAAATATGTAGGGGAGGCAATTAAAGAGATCAGTATCTCAGATGAGAAGAACAGGGTAGTAGCTATTGGTGTGGCACCGTGGGGATGTGTGAAAAAACGAGATGAACTCATTAATTCTGAGGTATGAGGAATTTTTTTTAATTTATTTTTATGTGGGCATTTGACTTAACTCACTTTTTGCACCAAATTTTTCTAATAATCTGAAGGTAGTCGTTAAAGAGGGAAGGTGTCTCGTTCAGTGCAAGATTATTTATTCCAAAGAAGTTTGGGTATCTTTTAGTTTTTCAATCTGTCGAGGGCAGCCCGTAATAGTTTGGGTGTCTATAGTGATTCAATCTGTGGAGGGAGGCCCGTAATAGTTTGGGTGTCTATAGTGATTCAATCTGTCGAGGGAGGCCCGTAATAGTTTGGGTGTCTATAGTGATTCAATCTGTCGAGGGAGCCCGTAATAGTTTGGGTGTCTATAGTGATTCAATCTGTCGAGGGCAGCCCGTAATAGTTTGGGTGTCTCTAGTGATTCAATCTGTCGAGGGAAGCCTGTAATAGTTTGGGTGTCTATAGTGATTCAATCTGTCGAGGGAGGCCCGTAATGGTTTGGGTGTCTATAGTGATTCAATCTGTCGAGGGCAGCCCGTAATAGTTTGGGTGTCTATAGTGATTCAATCTGTCGAGGGAGGCCCGTAATAGTTTGGGTGTCTATAGTGATTCAATCTGTCAAGGGAGGCCCGTAATAGTTTGGGTGTCTATAGTGATTCAATCTGTGGAGGGAGGCCCGTAATAGTTTGGGTGTCTATAGTGATTCAATCTGTGGAGGGAGGCCCGTAATAGTTTGGGTGTCTATAGTGATTCAATCTGTCGAGGGAGGCCTGTAATAGTTTGGGTGTCTATAGTGATTCAATCTGTGGAGGGAGGCCCCTAATATTTTTGTGTATCTTTAGTTATTCAGTCTTTTTAAAACTATTTCAGGGAGTGTGGCCATATAAATACAGTTTAAACGACGGAATGAAATCAGATAATCCAAATGAGACTTTGTTAGATCCGAATCATACTCATTTCCTATTGGTTGACAACGGCACACAAAATAAATGGGGTACTGAGATCGCGTTTCGTTCGAAATTGGAAAAGGTTATTGCTAAATTGAAAAGCACTATGAAAACTGATGACACAGGTAAGTCAATATCTTTATCTGAGAATTCTTAACAAACTATTATAATTATTTAAAACAGCAAGAAAACTCTGAAACTTTACAACGAACAATCCGAAACCCCCAATTCAAAACAACAGTTACAGAGCATTACATTGGTACCAGCTGATGTACTTTTCAAGTGAAGAAATATTAAATAATAAAAAGTGGTAAGCATACCCTGCCTGGCACAACTCGATATTAGTCACAGACAGAAACCTTTCTGAAATATCTGGTTGTTATTAGTATTTGTTGTACTGTATTGCCCATTGTAACTCAATATTACACATATAATAGAAGGTAAAAACAGTTTGTTTGGTTTCAATAAGAATGTGATGTTTATAGGAACAGTAACTAAGGTAAGATTGGTCAAAAAGATGGCAAACCTGTCCCTTTAATATCTGTTTATCCGTAGTATTTTTATTTTCAGGAACGGAGACTAAAGATATACCAGTAGTATTATTGGTACTACAAGGTGGTCCTGGAACTTACCAGACTATACATGGTGCCATTAAAAATAAAACACCCACTGTCGTAATCAAGGTAAGTTTTGGATCAATCTCAACCTGGTTTTCTCCTGAATAGTGATACAGGTCAGAGGTGCTCATGTGGAAAAAGCGTCTAGTCGACAATAAACAGAGGCACGATGTGCTATGGGCTGTGAACGGAAATTTGAAAAGAATATACTTATGCTGCTGTCATAGGCCAAAGAGTGAACTCAAAATTATCAGGGGGTGAAATTTGGCAAGACCGGTAAAGGGGCATGAATTTTACACTATGTGAGAATTTTGCAAATAGAAATTAAATTTAAGAAAAGTTCCAGAATGAACTCACTGATCTTCAGAATGACTCATCAGTGATCAGAGTAAAACACCAGTTCATGTGGCCTGACGAACAAATCTCAAGTAGGGAAATGGATCATAAAAAGTTGAGAAGCACTGGTCTAATAAGATATTGAATTAGTATGTAAAACACCATTTTATTTCACCTTGACAGGGAACTGGTGGTGCAGCAGATATCATAGCTCAAGCCTTTCAGAAAGCCAAACCAACAGAAGTTTCCAAAATAGATCAATCTGGCATCGAAATTAAAGAGTAAGTAGAATATACATCAACACAATTTCATTATGATGTCATTATTTACACGATGTCATTATTTACACGATGTCATTATTTACATGATGTCATTATTTAAAGATGTCATTATTTACATGATGTCATTATTTAAAGATGTCATTATTTACACGCTGTCATTATTTACAAGATGTCATTATTTACATGCTGTCATTATTTACACGCTGTCATTATTTACATGATGTCATTATTTACATGCTGTCATTATTTACACGCTGTCATTATTTACAAGATGTCATTATTTACAAGATGTCATTATTTACATGATGTCATATGCTTAGTTACGTCAAAACAAATAGTGGTTGGTTGACTTGTGAAAGTCTGACCTTGAAGTCATCTTTCCTCATTATACATATACCCATCGACCCAACTGTAAATAGGAACAGATAATCTGGGAAAGATAAATGCTAAGAGGTTGGCCAAGGACCAGCTGATAGAAAGGACCCTTGTGTATCAAATATGATTGTTTATAACATCACGATTGCAAAATTTACAATTATTCTATTCGACCTTTGGGCTAAAGATGGCAAAAAACCTTTGTTTTGTTGGAATTAAAAGTATGACAGACCTCTGACTGAAAATTTTGAATGGTGCAAATTGATGTTATCAGTGTATGAATACACATAAAAGTTCAGAAAACCCCTTTACAATCCTTTAAAGAATTATATTTTCTTCACAGAACAATAATGGAGTTAGATGATACAGCAGAAGGAGATCTGATATTAAAATTACAGCAATCTTATGATAAGAACTCGATACAAGATTACATGAATAAAATACGGGAGATAATTCATAATAAAGATTTATTAACCGTCTTTGAGTTAGATTCCAGAAACTTGACAGTTGATGTGGCCATTTTAACTGCCCTATTGAAAGGTAGGTTAGTTCACATGACTACACAGTGTGTGGGATGTAAAACTCCATTCATTTCATCTCAGCTTTAAATGTTATAGAGTTAAGATTGTGTAAGATGTCATAAAGTCAAATGGTGTTAATATCCCACCTTTGTAGGTCAGAGTTAAATGACCTAAAATCCAGTATTTAAATTTAAATAGCCCATTAAAGATATTTTTACAATCTGAAATGTTTCCAAACATTGAGAGTCTATTCCTATTCATAATGCAGACAACGTAAACTTGCTTGGAAGCTGACAGATTTGTGTCAAACAGGTCTGGTTTCATTTCCAACCACAGTGAGCTTGTAGCACATTTAGTTTATTGCTTGGTTAGCGCCAACAATTGATGGTTGTGAATAAGTCATTTTTTTTCATAAATCAAGTCGACCCAGCTGTAAATTGTTAAAGATAATCAAGGAAAGATCAATGTCAAGAAGTTTGACCTAGAACCTGCTGGTAGAAAAGATCCTCCTGAACTAAGTTGTTATTCTTGTTTAAAATGATTGAACTCTTATCCCATTGAACACATCTTTGTCTGTTTTTAGCCAATAAAAATGATGTTATGGATCAGTTGGAGTTGGCGTTAGTTTGGGATAAAATGGAAGTTGCCAAAAATGATATTCTGGGAGATGATACCTTGGATAGAAAGGTAATAAAGGCGTTTTTGTGGGCCGATTCAATTTGATAGATTAGCTATTTTGTGCATTTGTGAGAAAGTTTACCTAAACTGATCAGGCTAATCAACCTAATCATCAGACGACTAGTTATTGGTGGTTAGGCGATTAGATTAGACTTTTTAAAGATGAACGCATGTGGATTTCAACAATAATAAAATTATAATAATCAAAACAGATGACTTTCTTTTGTTGTCAGTGCAGGCAGTCATATTGCCTAATCGCTGATATAAATTTCTCATTTATAAACCACTGATAAACACACTATTATATTGTATATTCTGTATTATAGAAATTAAACCTACCGGAGAAAATGTTGACAGCTATCGAGAGAAATCGTGTGAGTTTTGTAGATCTATTTATTGACTATGGTGTCAACCTAAAACAGTTTCTAACCAAAGAAAAACTTCTCCAGTTATATAATACAGTAAGATTTATAGTTATACTCTCAGTTCAGATTGAAATGTTATCAGCTTGTTTGAATGGCAATAATCTTCAAGTCTCTACAAGCCCATCTTCCCAATGTCTTATACCTTGACTGCATTAGCCAATATTCTGGTATCATGGAATGCTGCGATTGTATGCTTGCAAATACAGCCAATGAGTGCTTGTGGTTTACATATTTTCTTCGTGGGCTCTCATTGGCTCATTCGCTAGCATACAATTCAATCAAATAGCTGTATTGACAAACTTCACTGATACAAGAAAAGTGCAGAATGAATTCAAGGTATTGGATGTAAGTTGTAATACCTTGACAGTGTGAAGATGCTGAGTCTAATTCAACATTTCGTTTGACTCTACATGCTATGGGGGTAAGAAATGGAAAAAGAGTAGGCAAGTTTTATCATTCTCCACACAATCTATTGAACTAATTTCAGATTCAGAAATGTGTCACTTCTTTTTGTGGATTTAAGAAAACAAAACTAGGTTGTATTTTGCCAAGTAAAGAAATTAATTTTTGTAAGAAAAATAAGTTGTCATATAATGAACATTGTATTTTTAGATACCTGAAAACTGTATATTGAAGAATTTGTTGAGAAAAAGTAAAATTATTAAACCTGGCATGGTATGGTATATTAGTATATTTCTATTTATTTTAGAGACAGTAAAACACAGGCATCTGTTTCTATCAATAGTCCTCTCTATAATAGTATATATATGAGAAGGTGGCTAACGCTAGTCACGACCATCTCTGCTTCAGACGATTTTGTACCATTTACCGTAATGAAACATGATCCCAACCTTATATGAATCGTTTCATTGAATATTTTCCCTTCACACAAGACCTATTTTATACTATTTCATACTAATTTAACTTTTGTTCAATGAAAATACTAAAAAAATTTACACCCATCGTTTCAGTGTATCAATGGAGCGGCCCTATGATGTCATGCAACAATTCCAACACTCTACCTGACTGTGCTACAGCAAGCCCTATTATACAGTATATTAATATGAATATTTTTAGCTTTCTTAATACTAACGAAATAGGTGAATGTTATGTTATAATTCTGTGATGTTACGTTTTTCAGGAGAAGATAACTATGGCCCACGTCGGAGAATTATTACAATATTTAATTGGAGATTATTATCTCCCCTATTATTGTGATAAAAACAACTCAACGTATAACGATGTAAATAGTCCCGTACATTCAGGTCTCCAGGCAATGACTAATTTACATGTCAGTAAGTAGCCTTGTTTCTCCAGTATGTTCTTAAAAGTATACTCCCTCTTAGGATAACAAAGAAATTAATTTTTTAAAACTTAAAGTAAAATAACAGAATCCCTCAATGATACAATAAATCCATAAAACTAAGTAGTAATCTTTTAAACTAAGTAAATTTGAAAGCTAATAACTTAGTTGAATGGATAAATAGTCTAATATAGAGATTCTATTCTTCAGTCATGAGACCTGGCAAGTCTAATTCATGAATTTATACTCTTATTGACCAAGTACAAGGTTTTAAAATTCGAAAGTTAGTATTCTTTTAATGTAACAGCTGTTCTGGACGGTTGATTTTACAGATTACAAATGGAGTCATTCCAGGAAAAAATTTACAGAGTTTGCCTTTTTTATTCATTCATATTAGTGTTAGAGTATCTCCAAAAGCACTGGCCTAGGTCATGAAGTTAAAACTAATGTAACCCCCATTTCCTAACATGGTGGCATAGTCTCGAAAAGATCTTAGCATTAGGATGTCCTATTAACTTCTTATTAACTTAATTATAGTTTATAGGATATCCTTGTTTTAATAGTTTAGAGAATACGTAGCCAGATGTCTGGACGGATGTCATTATTCAAAACTCTGTTTTTAATTAACCCTTTTAAAACTAATTAATTTTGATCAAGTAAATATCTTATTTTAGAAATATTTCAGGTATAATTTACAATGTTTTTAATAATAATAATTTTGATGCTTTAAGAAACCTTCTAAACGTTTGTGTGTATATTTGTTGTAGGAATTTGTAGTGAAGATAACTGTGAGTTCTATAATGAAATAAGCGAATATTGTTTGGGGCAAATCTTTTTACTCTTCAGATTATAAATTAATCTACTAATCAAATTATGCCATTTTTATCTTATTTTTTTTTTTCTAAATTTGCAGTTAAGCAAGAGGTAGCTTTCAAATATAATAATAAATCTTAAATGGGTATAGTGGCTTAAATATTTATATTGTAACAGAACCTGAAACATGTTGTAACTCAAGTTTCACGCTGTGATCTTCAGACAACTGACCATAAATTTTTGCCAGATCCGTCACGACAGCGTACACCACTACCAAAAAAATAAAAACAATATAAATTGCTATTAACTATACAGTATGGTACCACAAGACATGTTCCATATTTACCACTTGTGACATGAAAATACTGTTGTGTTGTGTCGAGTCGAGTCTGGTGTTTAAAGGCCTATTTTCTGTCAGACGTCTGTGGATCTTGCAAGTACTAAGACAAAGAATTTTACAGTGTCATTTGGCAAAAGCTGTTGAGAGTATTTATTTGTTATTGAAAAAAAAAATCCAATTGGGTCATATTTGTAGACATTTCTGATTGAATTTTTTCAGATGCGTCATTAAAGATAAAGGTGGATCATCCTATACAAGATTTATTTGTATGGAGTGTATTGATGAACAGACAAGAAATGGCCGATCTATTCTGGAAGGAACTTGATGTAAGTTTTTAATTTAGAAACATTTTTGTCAGATTTTTCAACCCAGTTTTTGTCAGTGATGCAGTTCACGGGGCTGACGTGGAAAAAGCTGTTAGTCTTTGAGTTATTATGACTGGACAATAGCCAGATGTGCTACAGGCTGTACAGGTTAAATCAATAGATGCTAAGGGAGTAGGCTAATGCCGCTGTCGTGTCAAAATTTTCCCTCATTGCACACTGCATGACCTTATCTATCTTCCTAAGCCCAATCAAAAATTGAGTCACGAAATGCAGCAATTTTATTGGATTGTACGCCAGCAAATAAACCTATCAGAGCCCCTGATTGGCTGTATTCGCTAGTGTAAAATTCAATCAAATCTCTTCATTTACAAACTTCCCTGATACAAGAAAGGTGACTATTGAAGTCAAGGTATAAGTTGATGGTTGCAATAGCTTGACATTGTAAAGATGGACTGACAGCGTCTAGTTTTATTTGGCTCTACTTGACCATGTTTATAAATTGATATTGAATTGAATAGGAGCCGTTAGCAGCAGCCCTGTTTGCTAATAGTTTATATAAAGCTATGAATACCAGATCAGAAGATACAGAAATATCTCTTAAATTACACCAACATGCCGAGTGAGTTCCATTACACAACTTATTATCTTAGATTCTACTTTTATTTTTTAATCAAAATGCAATTATGTATTAATTCTGTTAATTGTTGATCTACTTAAAGTAAGATTACAATTTCTTTTTGTTATTGATATTTTTGTTAGTCTCCATTGAAATCTAACGAGGGTACATACTTTCAAGCTATTTATAGCAAACAATCACATGTCACTCTCCCGCCAAGCAGAATCAGCCAGTATTGGCAATCTCATAATCTCATTGGTCGAATCATTCTACTTTGGGTTTAGCTATCCCACAATTCATAGTTGATATTTAAACACGGATTCTTCATGACTTGTTGCATGATTGGTTGAAATGAACGTCAACAATATGTGACCTTGGTATAAATCTCTTTAGATTAGATTGGAAACTGTCTAAAAATTAAAACGAAGCAAAATTTTAATCTGATATTAATTTGATTGGCCGACCACAGACATTTAACAAGAAATTTTATTGAAGCAATTAGTAGCCATAAAAGCCCTGATAGATTTTTTTGAAAAAAAACATAAAAAACCTCTTTAACGATATGCCAATTTTTTTTCAGAGAATTTAACGATAAAGCTATTGGTGTATTGAATTCTTGTTACGAGAAAGATGAGGTTAAAACTCAGGAGATACTAGTTCGTCAATTGAGAAACTGGGGCCAGACAACGTGTGTTATAATGGCAGTGCAGGCTGATAATAAACGCTTTATATCACAAACTGCCTGTCAAACTCTCCTCAATTCTATATGGATGGGAAATCTGTCTCAAGATAACAGTATATTCAGTGTTAGTAATATTGCAATTTTTTTAATCAGTTTTTTTTTTGAAAAGATATTGCTTTTTATTTTGAAATAGGAGGGAAAGCTTCAATTTAAACTAGTTATAGCTCAGCTAAGCTCCTCCCACTTATCCATGATGTATACAATATCCTTCATGAGGTCTTTTACATTCAAATTTGGTGAAAGTTTCATTGTTTATGATTCATTTCTCTGGAGTATTTTATCATGATTGCTCAAATTTGTGTCGCACCACAGAATTAATCGTACAATTTGAGAAAAATGAAAGAAGAATACATCAAATTTTGTTCAATTTTTTTTAGGTTATACCAAGTATAGTTCTGTTCCCTCTGATATTAACACCTATTGTTAAATTTAAAGATGATGAAATCGCGAAAGTCATACCAGTTGGAGACAAGGATAAAGAAGGGAACTCTTCTGACGGGGAGGTACAGTTATACGACGCACCTAGCACGGTAGATGTTATTTACTTCACGGTGTTTCAAACAAATATTGTTAGCCCAGGAAACCAGTATGGTCCATTCACTTTTTGAGATGACATATCATGCTTTTGTCATAGATACTGTATACTGTATAAATGCGAATACAATGTGTGCACCCTTTTGAACTCTCAAGTAATTTGGCAAAAATCTTGTCTATGTAAGTGTTGTTTTGGCTGACAAAATAACTAGCATAAACCAACTAAAATTCTTGAGGTTTTCAGTTATTTGTGAAAATATTCTCGCATGTCATAAATATATTAGTTTGAACCCTTTTGAGACTGACAAACAATAATGCTTACTTCCTTAAATTCATTTAAAAATTTTCTCAGTTTTCATAATTTGGCCATTTTCTGTAATAACCTATGAGCATGTCTTGAAAATTTTGCTGCCTGCTTTGATTTTGAAATTTTCTGTTTTCACTTCTACTTGAGACTTAGACACTAGATTTAGAGCATGAAATAGTTCTAGATCATCTTACCTTTCCTTCCTTCCTTTATATAATCCTCAAATCTTTTTCAAAAACAAAATATTCAAAGCTATATACTTCTTGCAAGATATAAAATAACGTCATTTCTTTTCATAATAAGAATTGATATATATCTGCCAATGTTACCAGTCTTATTAAAATTAGACCCAACTTTCGTTTCGTTTTTTTATTAGTTTTTATTTTTTGTATAGCCACTTCACAGAAGGGTCTAAGGGTCGGATCTCTCAAAAACCGCTGGTGATTTGTGTTAATTTGATTGGTTAAAGTAATATAGGTCAAAAGATTAATGTTCAAGACTCTGAATCAAGATTCCAGTCGTTAGACCCTACTCTGAAGTGGCAATACTAAAAATAAAAACTAATAAAAAACCAAAATGAATGTCAGGTCTGATTTTAATTAGACTAACCAATATGGATGCTTTAGTGTGAGCAAAGATAATATAATACATCTGGGTACAAATCAAAAGATCAACGAAAATAATCCATGTTATTTTGAGGTAGAACAAGAAGTGAATAACACATTACAATATTTTATATTGTATTAATAACTACTTATTCTACCTCAAATCAAAATGGAATGTTCTTAGTCGAGCTTCAAATTGGACCGGAATGAATCTTTGTTCAAACCAATTTTGACTGAGTTCTGTTAAGATGTTTGTTGTGTTTATTTGTAATTGTTGTGTTCAATGTTGAGTTAATCTTTTTGTATCCTAACCTACTCTAAACCCTTATCAAATACATCGTCTGCTCCTTTCTAATGCTTGATTCCCTCGACAGTCAAAAATCAGAAAGGATCAGACTAATACTGCTGTTTTGGCAAAAATGGCCAAGAATTCCAAACAAACATCAAACAAACATCTCATCAATCGATCACCACCCTGGACACATTGTTTTCATTAGATTAACGCCACATTATTTATCCTTGCATGATTATCTGCACATAGATTCTTTTGTTTGTCTACCCTGTATCAATCATCAGACTTCCAAACTCTGGGGAACTGTGGCTACTGGTTTGAATGTGAAGTATTTATCATCTACCCCCTGATATATAGTATAATGATGGAATCTGGAATCTGATATATAGTATAATAACTATTAAGCTGGAATGTGGACCTGTATTGCCGCTGTCTGTTTGTCCATTGATAATTGGCTTGTGAACTCAGAAGAGGTCACAGTTTTTATCAGATTTTTATAAAATTTTGTGTGTAGGTCCTTGGCTAAGTTCGAATTTGGGTACAATTCAATAAAAAATATTGCAGTTTCAACCCTTGATATGCTAAAGTCATGTTGGAAGTGGCTTGTGAACGGAATAAAAGCTCACTTTTTTTGTCAGATTTTAAAGAAATTTTGTGTTTAAGTATCATGAACAAGTTTGATTTTTAAATCGACATGTATTGATAACACCCCGTGATATGCTTATTCTAACTTAATCTAACTTTATTTAAAAATGATGAAATCTCGAATAGGTAAGTGGGCGTATCTCGCTTGGTAACAGCTAGCTTTTAGATATATCGCTATTTAGCCTTTAGCAGTCTGAGAAACTTGACTTTCTCTCATCAGGGCACTTGATTTAGCTCTATTGGCCATTCTTGTCTGAATGGAGCTCAAATATTTGAGTCTTGGATTTTATGTTCTGTTTTTGGTGTAATTGAGCCAAGTGCTTGCAAGATATACAAAGGCTTTAGCTTCTGAATCTTCACAATGTCAAGATATGAATTTGAATCACAGAATTTTATAAATTCAGCAATTCGATTGGACTGTATGCTAGCCAATAAGCCAATCAGAGTCCTCAACAAAAAGGCGCTTAACAATATATCTAACTGCGAATTTCATCTTCTCTATGACACGACTCATAGGAAGAAAATGCTATGCCAACTGATCACAGGTCTTGTTGGTGTAAAATTTGTGCATAGCCAACAGTCTTATTAGAATTAGACAGAACTTTTGTTCTATTTTTTTCATTAGCTTTTATTTTTAATATAGCCACTTCAGTTAGGGTTTAACTACAGCCCTCTTGAATATACATCAAATTAACCTTTTGACCCAACATGATCAACATCGCGTCACAAATTGCTAGCACTGGAGAGGGTAGAAATTTGATTCGTTAAAGCAGACGTCAGCAAGTTAGGCCTAAAGGCCTAAGGTTTAAGAGGGCTGTCATTAGACCCTAACTGAATAGCCTATATTAAAAATAAAAGCTAATAAAAAAAAGTGGAACGAAAGTTCAATGGCCGACTGTAACAAGGTGTTTGTTTTGATATTATAACAATGTTTTGTTTGGGTAATGGTGTTTATTTGTCTTGTTCACAAACAAATTGTTTTGTTGCATTCTTTGTTATTTTAATTTAATTATAAAATGTTCAGCTAAAATGAAGCACAAGCTTTCACCATACATCATGCTTATTAGACTATATCATTTTATCCGATTTTTTCAGGCTTGGCCCTAAAATGATTGTCTGTGAAGTTGGTCACACCAATGATTTCAAAAGAATAACCCCAAATTGTTTTTTTTTTTTTGTATTTTTTAACAGAAAATAGAACAGACAGAACCACCCAACAGACAAAGCTCATCTAATAGTTTTATTATAGATCCTATAGAGTAAGTAAATATATCTAGTCCTTTAAATAGTTGCTTTCCTCACTGAATGAGTTTTTATTTCAGCTTTTAAAGATTCCTCGTCATTTGGAAATCCAAAAAGAGCAGACTGATGCAGCTGTTGTGGCAAAATTTCACACTTTGCACACAGCTGGATGATTATTTCTGTATTTCAGGGAGACAGGAAATAGTCGGTTATCATGTTGTGAGAGATTTTGGTACCGATTAAAAACATTTTATTTGGCTCCGGCTGTTATTTTTTATCTCAATGTGGTACGTTAAATTTTTAATTTTTTATGAGGTGAGGAGTTAACCACCTTTTCTGTAGACATCATGTCATATCTCTAATTCTATATGATGATGTGGCATTTGTCTATATGATGATGTGACATTTGTCTATATGATGATGTGGCATTTGTCTATATGATGATGTGGCATCTGTCTATATGATGATGTGGCATTTGTCTATATGATGATGTGGCATTTGTCTATATGATGATGTGGCATTTGTCTATATGATGATGTGGCATTTGTCTATATGATAATGTGGCATTTGTCTATATGATGATGTGGCATTTGTCTATATGATAATGTGGCATCTGTCTATATGATGATGTGGCATCTGTCTATATGATGATGTGGCATTTGTCTATATGATAATGTGGCATCTGTCTATATGATGATGTGGCATTTGTCTATATGATAATGTGGCATTTGTCTATATGATAATGTGGCATTTGTCTATATGATAATGTGGCATTTGTCTATATGATGATGTGGCATCTGTCTATATGATAATGTGGCATTTGTCTATATGATAATGTGGCATCTGTCTATATGATGATGTGGCATTTGTCTATATGATAATGTGGCATTTGTCTATATGATAATGTGGCATTTGTCTATATGATAATGTGGCATCTGTCTATATGATGATGTGGCATTTGTCTATATGATGATGTGGCATCTGTCTATATGATGATGTGGCATCTGTCTATATGATAATGTGGCATCTGTCTATATGATAATGTGGCATCTGTCTATATGATGATGTGGCATTTGTCTATATGATAATGTGGCATTTGTCTATATGATAATGTGGCATTTGTCTATATGATAATGTGGCATTTGTCTATATGATGATGTGGCATTTGTCTATATGATGATGTGGCATCTGTCTATATGATGATGTGGCATTTGTCTATATGATAATGTGGCATTTGTCTGTATGATAATGTGGCATTTGTCTGTATGATGATGTGGCATCTGTCTATATGATAATGTGGCATTTGTCTATATGATAATGTGGCATTTGTCTATATGATGATGTGACATTTGTCTATATGATAATGTGGCATTTGTCTATATGATGATGTGGCATTTGTCTATATGATAATGTGACATTTGTCTATATGATGATGTGGCATTTGTCTATATGATGATGTGGCATCTGTCTATATGATGATGTGGCATTTGTCTATATGATGATGTGGCATTTGTCTATATGATAATGTGGCATCTGTCTATATGATGATGTGGCATCTGTCTATATGATAATGTGGCATTTGTCTATATGATAATGTGGCATTTGTCTATATGATGATGTGGCATTTGTCTATATGATGATGTGGCATTTGTCTATAGGATGATGTGGCATCTGTCTATATGATAATGTGGCATCTGTCTATATGATGATGTGGCATTTGTCTATATGATGATGTGGCATTTGTCTATATGATAATGTGGCATCTGTCTATATGATGATGTGGCATTTGTCTATATGATGATGTGGCATTTGTCTATATGATGATGTGCCATTTGTCTATATGATGATGTGGCTTTTGTCTGTATGAAGTTTATGTCTGTAGATAATATGGTTTTTATATTTTTGATATATTTCAGCTGACGTACCTGGTGTTTCTTGGTCTGTATAGTTTCCATCTGTTGATAAGTTTTAATAGAACATTCACTATACTAGAAGGTGTACTATGTGGCTGGGTAGTTACTATATTTGTAGAAGAGATTAGACAGGTAGGGTTATCTTATGTTTTTTTTTCTCAAAAACTTCAAAAAAACAACCTAGAAAAAATAGTCAAAAACAGCCAATTGAGTTTGAGCATTATTTTCAGAGATAAAGGATTTTGGCGGCAAGAGTGTTTGAAATTTCTTTATAATTCAGGGTACTGAATTCTTGAAAACTTTAGATGATTTAAATGAGGTTTTTTTTCTCAACTTCTCAAGCTTTATTGACAAAAAATAGTCACATGGTCAATTGAGTATTATGTATCTTGTAATAAATGAATAGATATGGATGCTGATGGTTTTCAGAAATAGAGGCTTTTTGCTATTAAATTTCTTGGAACTGATTTTCAAAAGTTTATCTAGATTTAATGTGAGTTTAGTTTTTAAGAATAACAGAAACTGGGATGCGATACTGCTTAAAATGAACCCTGTTTGTAAATCTAGGTGCCGTTCTTCAAAAAAATCTTAATATCAATTTTGTCTAATGTATTCTTTTTCTCTATACAAATGTCTACACTTATGATAAATTATTATCATAATAATTCTTAATATATTTGTAATGACATGTAATGACCCCAATTTTTCAGATGTCGTCTAAAACAGGACGAGTAATTGTAAAATCATCTCGAACTAAGGTACTCTTCAGAATACAGTGGTGTGATAAGGCTATTTTTATAGGCCCGCATATAAATGTGGACGTATATTGCTGTTGCCCCTGTCCGTCCGTTCGTTCACAATTCTTGTAGGTACAATAGAGACTAAGGTTTTAAAACAATCTTGATGAAACTTGGTATGCAAGTATATATTGATGAGATCTCGGTCAAGTGATGATAATCAACTGTTTTTGATGTTTTGCCGTGACATAAAAAGATTATTTGAAAATTCATTATAAAGCCACTAAAGACTTTGTTATCATTTCTGACAGCTGGTAGTGGGCGTATGTTATCTTGCCTTGCACGCTATCTTTAACTATAGTTTTTTTTGTGACATCTATATTTTTTGTTAGTGGCATGAACTTTGGGGATAGCAAGACTCAATGAGGCTTCCCGAGGTAGAGGAAAATGACAGACTCTGAGGGTTTGGCTATCCCATAATTTGTTATGTTATAAAGAAGGTGGTTAAACACCTGGTTTACTGAATGATTATGTAATAATGTTACTCAATGTCATGTTGTGTCTGTTCTATTTTGAATGCATTCTATATGTTGATAATTATCTAACTTGTATGATAGGTTTCAAGCCAAATTAATGTAAGTAAGCAACGCACACAGTCACAGACCAAAGTTTTTGTCTAAATTTTACAAAGTTCCATTAATATTTTCACTTTTTAAGGAATTCTGATTTTTGTGTTTGCAACATTAACAAGCGTTTGGATCTCAGAATCACATTTTTATGAAAAAAATGAAAAGGGGAGAAAATAAGATATTGTCTTTATTTGTCAGCAAAAAACAAAAAAATTGAAGAGCCATGCTTTGATGATTTGTGTCAGACACAACATTGTAGCCTACATTTTTTGAAGAAATCCTGGAAAGGCTCCACCCTTAAAAATTTACATGACTTGAATATCTTGTTGAGTCACATAATTGATGGCCACCTTGAAAAATTCCACCCCCTCCTGAGACCCTGGGCTAGCTACGGGCCTGGGGTTAGTGTTTGGTTGTTTGGCAAATTCAGTCTTAGTCATATTAGAGAGGTGCTCTGAAAGACTATTTATAGAGTACTTCAGTTAGTTTCTGGATACAACACAAGAGCAAAATATTAAAACTTGGACCTTGAACTTGGATGCCTAATCTTATCAAGACCTTGTGACTTGATGTATAAAGATCAAGTTTTTAGTAAGAAAATATGATTATTGAAGTTGATTTTCTTGCACGCTTTTGTGACTATAAAAAGTTAGTTAACAGTAAATAACAAAACACCAATAACTTAGTAACAATTTGCTTCTGTTTTTGACTAAAAATTATTTTATGGAGAGACATCCCCTACTTACATTCAGATTCCATTAATAATAACTACAGTTTGAGTGTTGTATTTTTGCCTGAATTGCTTGTTTGTTTAGATATGGAATGCTGTTTTTTGGTGAAGGGAAATTCTTTCTTTCTTTATAAATTCTATCAAGAGATAAATTTTGATGTAAAATTAACTGAAATGACAGATTATAAAATAAGTTGATAAAATTACCAAGAATAATAAGGATCTTAACTTGGTGAAATTCTTGTGACCTTGAATAAGTTATCTTTTCTCAATATTCTACTCAACCCAGATGTAAATGCGTATGGATAATCATAGAAAGATCAATGCCAAAATGTTTGGCCAAGGACCAGCTGGTAGACAGGATTCTTGTGTTGTCCTTGTGAGAACATCAAGAGGTTTGGCCAAAGAACAGCTGTTAAAATGTAAACTTTCCTCATCATTTTAGTCGACCCAGCTGGAAAGATCAATGCCAAAAGGTTTGATCAAGGATCCAGCTGGTAGATAAGTTTTTTGAGATGAACAAATATTGTTTTAATTAACCCATTTAAAAGAGATAAACGTACTTTATTTTTAATTTTTGTAAATTTCAGGTGATAACGAGTAATGCTACGTCTGTTGGTTCCAAGTTCAGGACCTACTTTACCGATTATTGGAATATCCTTGATCTGATGACGATATTCCTGTTTGCATTTGGAATAATTCTAAGATTTATACCAAATGACACAACATTTGAAATCGCTCGTGTATCACTGTGCCTCAATCTAATTTCATTTTACTTCCGTATTCTTCACATATTCTCTGTCAACAAACAGCTCGGACCAAAACTTGTCATGATCAGACGGATGGTAAGTCTGTTTTCTTTTTTAAGGCCATGATTCGTTTTTTTCAGGGGTTGATTTGGGCCTTAAATATATCGGGTCTCTCAAAAAACGTCTCAATGCTCGATGGGTTGTATCTTAGCTGTTGGTAAACTGGTCTCTTTCAAAATTCTCACACAAATACTTCAAGATGTCGTTGTCCAACCCTGAAAATATGAGACATTGAATGAAAATTGTACAAAGAATGATATCTTGAGGCAACTTACCTATTTCAACTTGTGTTCAATGTGACCTCCATCTTCTTCTACCACCTTAATCTTTTCAAACATACCTCAAACTAGAAATTACACTTACTATTTCTTTAGATGTCTTTTCTATATCGAGAAAAGACGAGTCGTCATTTGAACTTTCAAACATGGATAAGTTTGGACAAACATGGATTTGAAGGTTCAAATTTTAACGCTGAGCTGAAAAAAAACTGCATTAATTTGTTTGCCTTTAGGTTCAAGATTTGATGTCGTTTGTGGTCATTTTAGCAGTGTTTATAATAGCTTATGCTGTTGCTACGGAGGCCATTTTGTATCCCAATACCGAATTCTCATGGAAGTTATTCTATCATGTACCAAGGAAAGCCTACTGGCAAATCTACGGTGAACTCTTCTTGGAGGATATTGAAGGTAAAATTGTCCTATCATATCTTTTTCGCGTTTTGTTTACGTCCAATTCTAGATCTTATTCCGTGTATTTTCTGGTGTATTGATTTCCTTGCAAGGTACCTTTAACCATTCCTCGTCTATTCTCAACTAAAAACATTGCGCACTGAGAATTGCAGACTGCAGAAAATTAGGACGTATAGCCTCAGAGTGGCTCAGATGTAAAATTCCATTCCAGTATATATTTTGATACAACTTAATTTTCTATAACCAAGGTCAGAATGATTGTACCAATGATGCAGCTCTGTACAGAGATTATAATCAACCAAGATGTCCGTCTGAAGTTGGGAAGTTCGTGGCTCCAGTATTGATGGGATTTTATGTTTTAATGACCAATGTGTTGCTGCTGAATTTACTGATCGCCATGTTCAGGTATGTTCTGTTTTACCTTCTTGGAATATTTTTTGGTTAATTTTATTTTTCTTTATCAGATTCAAAGGGGGCTGCTCGAGTTCTGCAGGTTTGGGATTTGTGAAATCAACTGGTAGTACTGCAACGTCATGACATTCATGTCTACTGAACTACGCATGCTCTAGAGAGGTGTGGCTTGTTTTCCGCCTCACTTCAACTCTAGTCACCAGCGTGGCAGATCATCTCTATATTAACTATGTATCATGTATGATGAATAAACCAACTCTGTTCTGAGTTAAATTTAGAATGTGACATATCAAGTTCAGCTCAATTTAAACCTAGAATAGAATTAACCAATCGAGCGCCACCATAGGTTCAGAGTCCTATTGCTTAAAATTTCTTATGATCTATCAATTTTTTGTTTATTGTATTTCTCAATGTAAACTTCCACAATTATGACAATTTGATATAAGATTTTTTAAAGAAAGGGGGCTGTGATTAGTAGGACTCAAAACTTGTTAACATTAACTCATTCTGGTGAAGGTCTATTAAAGCCTAGAACAAGAGCTTATATATTTGCAAATAGGATCATGATACTTCAATTCATTGCATTTCATTACATAATACATGTACTTGAATTAATACTTATTCTTTTGGTGTAAGCAGCACATTCTATATCTATATGCATCATGATTTGTATGTGTTTATTGTGAGGTATATGTGTTTATTGTGATAACGTTTGCATCATGAAGAGTATGTGTTTATTGTGAGGCATATGTGTTTATTATAATGAAGTTTGCATCATGAAGAGTATGTGTTAAATTGTGAGGTACATGTGTTTGTTGTATTCAAATTAGCATCATGAGTTGTATGTATTAAAGTGTGAGGCACATGTGTTTGTTGTAATGAAGTTTGCATCATGAAGTGTATGTGTTTATTAGGAGTATGTAGATCATATTAAGGGACATTGCATTGATGATTATTTCATTGTGTGTTTTAATATTTGAATGAGGAATGCTCTAATATTTTAACATTGTTTTAATATTTTATGCTGTTGTCTTTTTTCTCTATTGAACTCTATGCAGACAGTTTTAAAAATGTTCAGATTATGGTCATTACATCATAATAATTGGGTAGTATTCTTAGAATTAATACGAGATTTACAAAATTGACCAACAAAATATCTACATAGTCAAACTTTTGGGGGAAGGAAATAAGTTTTTGTTAATGTGCAGGCACACAAGCTTTGTTCGTCAGAGACTTTTGTCACCAATTAGAGTCTTGTCTTGAGTTTCAACGACTGGTAAGTACACACGAGGAGACAAAAGTCTCCAGTAGGTCGTTTTCCACCATGTGGACAATCGTGTGCGGAACATGCAATTGAAAGGAAAATGAATCTGATTGGATGATGACAGTTTGTCTTACAGACGATAAACCTATCAGAGAATAAATCTTGTGACACAATAATCTTGTCGTGGAAGTACCGGCACACGCAAGATTTACTCAAGATTCAAGTCGGAGACAAACATCTCCGACCAAGACCGCTCGTGTGCCAGCACCTTTAGGGGCCAGTGGGTATAAAGTCTTGACAATGTCAGAGTAATTTTGATTGAGAATTTTTGGATATTTTGATATTTAGACACAAACCAAAGTTGTTTTCAAAAAAACTGTCTGCATGTTTCAATGCTTGTCACTAATTATTGCAGCTACACTTTCGAACTACTTCATCAGAACACGGACAGTATCTGGAGATTTGCAAATCTTCAAGTTGTGATGGAATATAGCACCAGACCACCTTTACCACCTCCTTTTACTCTCATACTGCACGTGAAATATCTTGTTCATCATCTCACTTCATGTCACCAGTGTCCACCAGGAACTTCGCATGGATTCAGTAAGTCTTACTGATATCCCACTATAGTTTTGTTTCACTGAATGTTGTGTTGTGTTAGTTGTATGCTGTGTTTGTGTTAGTTGTATGCTATTTTCATATTTTCATATTGTTAGCATGTCTGTGTATTGCTTTTCTCATTGCTAGCTAGTTTGTTGGCTGTTTGTGTTTTGCTTTTCTCATTGCTAGCTAGTTTGTTATTAGACGTTTGGTTTGCCGTATTCATATAACTGTCATGTGCTACAGGCAGTGCACGTTAAAGATCCCTTGACAGTTGGAAATCTAAGAAGACGAGGCTAATGCCACTGTCTTTGCAAAATTTCTTATTTAACACTGCATGGTGTTACCCTCTTCATTGGCCTAATCTGGAGCAGAAAAGTAGGACATAAAACTCTATTCACTTCATTTCATTAAAAAAAGAAATTGTCATTTCAGTTTGCACTTAATGTCCATGAGTCCATTCACCAATTTTCTATCATCTATGTTGTTTGTTGGCATGTTCATTTACACACTGTGTGAATACACAAGGCCTAAATAGTTCTCCTTGCTGAAACCCTATTTAATCAAATTATTGAAAGCATGATGTCAAGCATTCCATCCAAAATTTATTAAAATTACAAATTTATGGATTGATTTAATGCTTGGAATCAATTGCTTGAAGGTTTTGTTTAAATGTTAGGTTTTTGCAAATTAGTTTAGTTTTAATATTATTTCTTTTGATGTTGTTAGATATGTATCAGATCTACAGCTGTGCATCAAAAAAGCGAAAATAAAATGAACAATTTTTCATCCTTATTACTTCTTTTTTTCTATTGATATACATAATTTAGTACAACATGTTCTTCTATATATAAATATATATTATACAAATTCCCAATTCTTATTGTGAGGGATGATTTGAGATTTCTGAGACAAGCAAGGATTGAAATGATTCCTTGAATTCGAATTCAAAAAATGTTGTTGCTATCCAAAGATTAGGTCTGGATGTCATTTGACAAAGACAGAATACAAAAGTAGTTAAAGGGATTGTTAAGAAGTTTTCTAGCTATTTAAGTGTATCTGAGCCATTTATGGTTTCCGATTGCGCCATTTCAAATTTTTATCTGTGGTTCTTGTAATTCTTGAAATGCTTTAGCGTATATGACATATGTTGCAAAAGCTGCAGATATTATGATATCTAAGGGTGTTTGCAATTGCAATCTAATGTGATAAAGCATATTTTTCGATTATTGATGTCATCAAACATCAAACAGTGCAATTGCAAGAACCATTGACGTCTGATTGAAAATTGGAATGGTGGAAATTGATGCTATCAGTGTCCCTGATATACATAAAAAAAGTTAGAATAACATCAGTACCGTCTCTTTATACTCAACTAAGTTGTTTCAGTCTTGCTACCGTTCTCCAATCTTCAATCAACCCTCTCAATATTCCCATAGTTTAGTTGCTATAAATGTACTTATCCTCTGTTTTTCTTTTGTCAGTTACACTTTTCAGAAAATCCAAGATAATACAGATCTTCATTGGTTCTTTCAACGCTACCATCTTGTCCAAGAATATTATTCCCGCCCCTTCCTCCCTCCACCTGCTATTATTATAGTGCATGTCTATCTTGTGTTGAAATATTTATTTGGTTACTGCTGTAAAAAAGCTCCAGTTACATCAGATTTTAGTAAGTTACTGTTTCCTCTTAAAGGGACAGGTGCACCATTTTTTTTGGACCAATCATACTTTAGTCTCAGAAATGGGAATTTTTTTTACCGGAGTCAATCAGTAATAGTGAGCTCACTGTCAAAATTTTATCATATAAATGCATGTGTGTCCAGAATTACCGTATTTAAATGTTAAAATTTTAAGATACTCTGTGATATATATATAGTCTAGAAATAGTGTGTAAAATTCCTAATTTAAAGTGTTTTTAAAGGAATTTTGTGATTTTCGTAAATATCTAGTACTTCTGAAGATTATTTACATATTTTCAAGATTAAAATCACCCCCCAAAAAATGGCACACCTGTCCTTTTAACAACTGAACGTGTTGCTGTCCTCGAAGAAACATAAGTCTGTACTCTGTCATCTTACAGTGTCAAGTTACCTTGCTTGTATGACGGAAGTGTGTAAATACCTAGATTTGATTGGATTGAGAGCTAGAAAATACAGCCAATCAAAGCCCTCGATTACTCACCCAGCCAAATTATTTATATTTTTTCTGTTGAGGGCTCTGATTAGCTGTGTTGGCTAGCGTACAATCCAATCAGATAGCTGTATTCCATGATACAAGAATAGTAGCTATTGCAGTTAAGGTATAATTATGAAATTCGCAATAGCTTGACATTGTGATGAGGTCTATACTCTGTTGAACCCAATTTAATAAGCCACCCCTATACTATTTGAATACTGAGTGTAAGTAAAATATACCAGTATCCTAAACTCCAAGTAAACATACTTTAATAACGTTATCACTTATGATGTGACATGAGAATGGCTGGTCACCATAATTATGTGATCAGTAGACTGGTCGCTTTGAGAAAAATTGGACGAAGATGATTAAATTGGATTAACAATGGTCATTGATCCTAATCTTATCTGCTTTTGAAACCCTTGTGACTTTCAATAAATCATCTTTTCTCACTATTCTACTCGACTCAGCTGTAAATGGGTATGGATAATCCTAGGAAGATCAATACCAAGTGATTTGGTCAAGTATCAACTGGATCCTTGTGAACCTTGGTTGTAAAAAGTGCTCTTGTTTTCTTCATTTCAAGAAATGTTTTTCCTCGAATTTTGGTTGTGTTTAGACCCTACTGCATCCCCTTTAACCTCATGTTTTATGTCTTTAGGAAAAGTGTATGATAAAAATGGTCAGTATGAAAGACAGTTGATACAATGGGAAAGTGTAATAGCTGAAGCTTATTGTAATAAAGCAGAACAAGCTTCTATGGAGAGCATCAATCAGAGATATACCACAGTTCTTGAGAGGTAGGCATCACAGTTATTATTTAGTGCTGGGTGTTGTACATCAGTCCATTAAGCAATATTAATCATGTTATGGAGTATGATATGAGAGAATCAGTAACACTTCGTCTAGAAAGATTCAATGATTTTGAGAGCATCAACCAGAGATATACCACAGTTCTTGACAGGTAGGCATTAGGCAGGGATTGTAAATAGGATTGTTTTCTAGTCTGTATGAGTATCTGTTTATGTATTGCTTCTTTATACACGATTCTATTGGGAGCATTATAACAAGAGATAAACATCATTACAGAAAATATCGGAAACAGCCACAAGGTTCAATTTAAGTGGTAGCATATGTGAATTTGTTTGTCAAAAACACCCTTTTTTGCAATCTAAATCTTTGATAAGAGTGAATTAATGATGATGAGCTGGTGAATCAAATGAAATTAGTAAATTTTTCATGACGATATTTTGCCAAATTTTAGAAATATTGCACAACTCTTGGTATTCTCTGTAAATTTGCAGAACTATGGACCTTTTAGTTTTTAAACAGCTGGATCCATTGTGTCTTATTAACAATATTAATATCTAGTATTATTAAAGGTTAGGGTGATTGAAAATAACAAGTTACTATTCGTTATAAGACGCTGGCACAGGGCTAAATTTTTGTTTACAACAATTGTGGTGTTAATATTTAGTAAACCAAATAATTTTTTTTATTAGGATACAAGTAAAATAAAAGTAATTATATTGAACCTATCTGTAATCTAAGTCAGTATGTGAATGGCTGGTGATTCTTGAATCAGTCTTTATTCTGCGTTATTCCCATCAACTAGTTTATAATAGGAACAGATAACAGAGTAGGGAAATATAATATAATATGGTTATTTATAGATTCTGATTTTTTTTAGGTTGGAGAATGTATCATCTGGTAGAATGATGGAATACCAGGATGCACAGGGACAGGATGCCATTCCAACTCTCATAGAAACCCGATTTGAGGGCATTGAGGAACAGGTACTATTAAATATTTCCAAAATTCTAAATTTTTCAACCTGGTTTTACTTGCCCGTGGAAAGCTTGATATATCAGGTGGTCCAGAAAAAAAAACAAAAACACATTTGATTTCTTGTTTAATAAAAAAGTATTGAAGCTAAGACCATAATATTTTGACATCATATAGATACGTAGATATAAGACATCTTTTCAACAAATTACAGCTTTATAACTTGAATATCTTTGAAATATCAGCAGTTTTAAAATCCTGGTCCACTAGATGATGATGCAGATAATCAGACAACAAAAGGCCTTAAAGATCCACAGATGATATAATTAATCAATTGATAAAGCAAATAATGACATATCACAATCATTTAAAATCCCTGGTTTCTATCTTTAGATCAAAATAAGCCACAATGTATTAGACTGGATCATGAAGTCTCTTATAGAACATAAACTAGCATCTAAAGATGAAAGACCAGAGTTAGCTGATGTTGAAGAAAGATTACAAAAAGGTATTAATAGATTGCTTCCGATGAATTTAATAGTTCTAGTTGATATTTGATAAATAAGAACACTATAAAGGATATATACTACACCTTTCTTTAATTTTTAGCAACATTTCAATTCACATACAGAAATTTCCAGGATTTTTTTTTTGGTTACTGCAGCTCTGTCTTTAGGGTGGGGTCTGTTGGGGCTGGGCCCCAGCAAATGAGAATTAAGCCCTACCAAAACCCTCAGTTCAACAGAGATTGATTCATTTACAGTGTCTTTGTACAATATCAAAAAGATATAGATTTTTGGCACCTCAAAATTATCAGAAATGAGTTCTGCGGGCCTTTTATTCTTCAAAGTACAAAATCCGAGTCCAATTCATTCATGATGACGTAGCTGGGTTACTCTCAATAATACACATCCAGTTTGGCAAGCCATTTTAGGGTAAAAAAAAACTGGTCACTGTACACAAGTACACTGTTGTAAATGAAACATTAGTTAATGTTAATCTTCTTTAACTCAAAAAGATACAGAAATTTATAATAAATACCTGACCTTTTTCTATTTTCTTAAATTTTTTTGTCCTGACCAATTGGAGATATTAATCTCTCCAATTTTATATTAACAGAAGAAAGAAAGAAAGCCAAGAAGAGAATACGAAATGAACAACTCAAGTTTTTCTTTAAACAAGGTTTTGAGGTTCATGTAAAATGCCGTAATTCGACGTACCCTGAAACAAACATCATGAGAGCTGAAGTCAAAGATGATGAAGTTTGTTGGGCTGTAAGTTTCTCAGGCTTCCACATTTATTTATTCTACTTGTCCAACTTCAGTAGGGGCGCAGGCTGAAAATAGGTCAGTTGTCTGATAATGGCATAGGGCTAAACTACATGTATTTTTAGGCTTTGTTTTAATTTTTCTAGATCATTATACAGTTTACAATTGATGTATTGACCACTATTTTAACAGTGGTATTTCTATATCACTCTACAATTGATGTATTGAGTACTATTTTAACAGTGGTATTTCTATATCACTCTACAATTGATGTATTGACCACTATTTTAACAGTGGTATTTCTATATCACTCTACAATTGATGTATTGACCACTATTTTAACAGTGGTATTTCTATATCACTCTACAATTGATGTATTGAGTACTATTTTAACAGTGGTATTTCTATATCACTCTACAATTGATGTATCAGGCACTATTTTAACAGTGGTATTTCTATATCACTCTACAATTGATGTATTGAGTACTATTTTAACAGTGGTATTTCTATATTGCTCTACAATTGATGTATTGAGTACTATTTTAACTGTGGTGTTTCTATATCACTCTACAATTGATGTATCAGGCACTATTTTAACAGTGGTATTTCTATATCACTCTACAATTGATGTATTGAGTACTATTTTAACAGTGGTATTTCTATATCACTCTACAATTGATGTGTTGAGTACTATTTTAACAGTGGTATTTCTATATTGCTCTACAATTGATGTATTGAGTACTATTTTAACTGTGGTGTTTCTATATCACTCTACAATTGATGTATCAGGCACTATTTTAACAGTGGTATTTCTATATCACTCTACAATTGATGTATTGAGTACTATTTTAACAGTGGTATTTCTATATCACTCTACAATTGATGTATTGAGTACTATTTTAACAGTGGTATTTCTATATTGCTCTACAATTGATGTATTGAGTACTATTTTAACAGTGGTATTTCTATATCACTCTACAATTGATGTATTGAGTACTATTTTAACTGTGGTGTTTCTATATCACTCTACAATTGATGTATCAGGCACTATTTTAACAGTGGTATTTCTATATCACTCTACAATTGATGTATTGAGTACTATTTTAACAGTGGTATTTCTATATCACTCTACAATTGATGTATTGAGTACTATTTTAACAGTGGTATTTCTATATCACTCTACAATTGATGTATTGAGTACTATTTTAACAGTGGTATTTCTATATCACTCTACAATTGATGTATAGAGCACTATTTTAACAGTGGTATTTCTATATCACTCTACAATTGATGTATCAGGCACTATTTTAACAGTGGTATTTCTATATCACTCTACTATTGATGTATTGAGTACTATTTTAACAGTGGTATTTCTATATCACTCTACTTTTGATGTATTGAGTACTATTTTAACAGTGTTATTTCTATATCACTCTACAATTGATGTATTGAACACTATTTTAACAGTGGTGTTTCTATATCACTCTACAATTGATGTATCAGGCACTATTTTAACAGTGGTATTTCTATATCACTCTACAATTGATATATTGAGTACTATTTTAACTGTGGTTTTTCTATATCACTCTACAATTGATGTATTGAGTACTATTTTAACAGTGGCATTTCTATATCACTCTACAATTGAGCACTATTTTTAACAGTAGAATTATTTAATTGTATTCTAATTATTGTGAAGGTTTTAGGAAATAACAAAACTGTTCTAATATTTAATAAAGAAACTCAGAATGATGTGGTATTTTTTACCCAATGGATCAGCATTAATATACTCATCAATCTCAAATATTGATTATCTTTTTTTTAATAAATGATATCTTAATTTCAGATTAAAATGAAGAAATATAACCCGGTACGATACACAGCACCCAAAATATTATCCAATCAAAAGACTTATACTGATAAATATGATTTGATTGACATGTATGTTACATTTTCTTGTTGATTGTCCTTTATGACATTAGATGGGTGTGTTTATTGGATGATATGTCTGTAATATCATCTCTGACTTGAACTAATCTGTCCTGGTGGCTTTAGCTAATTCGTTTGGGTGACTTGAGCTAATGAATCCCAGTGGCTTGAGCTAATGAGTCCTTGTGGCTTGAGGTAATGAATCCCAGTGGCTTGAGCTAATGAGTCCTTGTGGCTTGAGCTAATGAATCCCAGTGGCTTGAGCTAATGAGTGCTGGTGGCTTGAGCTTTTGAGTTATGGTGGCTTGAGTCTTGTTTGGCTAATGCACTCAGGTGGCTTGAGCTAATGAGCGTGGATAGCTTGAGCTAGTTGGCTTTTGTGGCTTGAGCTAATGAGTCTGGGTAGCTAGTGCTAATGCACTCAGGGGGCTTGAGAAAATTAGCCTGGATAGCTTGAGCTAGTTGGCTTTTGTGGCTTGAGCTAATGAGTCTGGGTAGCTTGAGCTAGTTGGCTTTTGCGGCTTGAGCTAATGAGCCTGGATAGCTTGAGCTAGTTGGCTTTTGTGGCTTGAGCTAATGAGTCTGGGTAGCTTGAGCTAGTTGGCTTTTGTGTCTTGAGCTAATGAGCCTTGATGGATTGAGCTAATGAGCCTGGGAAGCTAGGTAGTGCAGACTGTTATTAAACATCATTTTGTTTAACTTACAGGCCTGAAAATGAGAGAGATAAATATGACTTTAATAAATTTGATATGGTAACTAAAGTAGATAGAACCAGCCTGTGTGGATTTCCCTATGAAATTTCTCACGGTCTACCCCTGAATCCCAGAGGAAGAACTGGTCTGGTTGGGAGAGGATTATTAGGAAGGTGGGGACCAAATCATGCTGCTGACACTGTAGTTTCCAGGTTAGTATAGTATAATTATGAATATTGTGTTCCAAGCCTGTATAATACGCACCTTCAAGTAAAAAAAAATAAAAAAAAAAATTAATAAAGTTTAGGCTCTAAAATTTGTGTGGAATTCCTCATTGAGAAATAACACATATTGAGAAGAAATTTGAAAATAAGTTTTTAGTGTAAAGACCGTAGCTTGACTTTGATTATAGACATTTCTTTTGAGACCATTTACAGTGTAATATAATGTGCTCCCACTTAACCTGGAGAAATCTTGTGTCACCGCAGATTTACATACCATAGGTCACTCCTCATGATGAAAAAATCTTTAAGTTGGCATTAACCAGACACCATAATATTGAGTGGTAATATGGAGTGATTAGAGCAAAACAAGAAAGTAAATACCTTGATCTTGCACCAAGAATTTGAGCCAGAAATAATTCCTTTGATATTTTATGGTAATTCAGCAGTAATGTTGGAATAATAATAATAAAAAATCCGTACAAGCAAGATAATTCCGTTAATCAAAGTCTTATCAAAGTAGAGCAAAATTGAGAGTAAATGATGTATAGTAGTGGACTCCTCACATGAAAAGTACCATCAGGTGTTTTGAAAAGAGTTGGCATGGCCTGCTTTGGTGTTATTATTAAAACGAGGGAATTTGGATTCATTTTCTAAACTTGTGTTTAGGTGGAAGAAGGATGGAGATTTGCAGGAATACAGAGAAAAGAAGCCTTGTTTAGAATTTGTAGCTGTTCAAAGACCTGATAAACAGTGGGCCATACCAGGGGTATGTTTAAGTTTTTTATATTTTTTATTACATATAGATAGATCTAGTTGGTCTTTTTTCTCAAGTTTCTTTCCCGTAGATTTTATCTTCTGTACTGTCATGTATTGAACATTCTCTAATTTAGGAATACATTTAGGTTTAGGTGAAAGTGCTGTAAAAGCCCTGTTAGTAAAAATACAAAAGCACAGACAGAGGAGAATGTTATAGGGGATAACATTCTGATTACAGAGCACTGGTCTAGGTCACACAGCTAGAAGACATTATCATTTTCTACTTTTCTAATATCCATTCTTTTTTTTTGATCATTTCAAAGATTATTAGATAGCTAGAGACTCAATAGAAAATATTTCTCTTTTAACCCTTTTAACACTAGAAACTGTGTTCTATCAGCCTCATAAATATCCCTGGACAGTGGAAATCAAAATAAAATTAGACTAATGTTGCTGTCCTGGCAAAATTACCCTCATTGCACACGCCATTCATTTCATTTCTACCAGACTCATAAATTAGTGATATATTATACCTTAGCTACAGAATTTCAATAACATCATATAATGTTAACACTTTAAATGATATTACTTGGAGTTCAGGGTATATGCCAGTATAACCCGGATAACCTGAGTAAAAATAATATAAACCTTCATATACCCTGAACTCCAAGTAATATAACTTAAAGGGTATGAAATTAACATTGTATGAGTGTGACGTCACTTAGTAACGGCTGTTGTAACAATGTCTTGGGTATATATTGCGTTATTAGGTACCAGCCTCTAGGGTTGAAAAAGGGTTAAGAACATTTGTTTCAGAACACATTTTTATAGATCTTATTAGCCTATAACTCTGTGAACTTAGTCTTTATTTTGAAATCTGTACTTTTAAACAGAGAATCTCTGCATCACTCACTGCTTGATATAACTACACTGCTATAATAATTCATATCATCACCATTCCTTTCCAGAAATTACGCGCTGAGGTAACAATTTTCTTTGTGCTATTGTTTTTTTTCTGCATCTTTAATACTTAATACTTGTTTTTATTGTCTTTAATTGAACAGTCTTCTAATATTTACTACTGGTAAAACTGAGTTTAAGCTATCAGATTGAAAATTTACTGTTATTTATAGTTTTCATTCTAAATAGTTCTATTGATAACTGAATGTTATCAGCTGGTAAAGCAACTATCAGCTGGTGAAGCAACTATCAGCTGGTGAAGCAACTATCAGCTGGTGAAGCAGCTGGTGAAGCAACTATCAGCTGGTGAAGCAACTATCAGCTGGTGAAGCAACTATCAGCTGGTGAAGCAACTATCAGCTGGTGAAGCAACTATCAGCTGGTGAAGCAACTATCAGCTGGTGAAGTAACTATCAGCTGGTGAAGCAACTATCAGCTGGTGAAGCAACTATCAGCTGGTGAAGCAACTATCAGCTGGTGAAGCAACTATCAGCTGGTGAAGCAACTATCAGCTGGTGAAGTAACTATCAGCTGGTGAAGCAACTATCAGCTGGTGAAGCAACTATCAGCTGGTGAAGCAACTATCAGCTGGTGAAGCAACTATCAGCTGGTGAAGCAACTATCAGCTGGTGAAGCAACTATCAGCTGGTGAAGCAACTATCAGCTGGTGAAGCAACTATCAGCTGGTGAAGCAACTATCAGCTGGTGAAGTAACTATCAGCTGGTGAAGCAACTATCAGCTGGTGAAGCAACTATCAGCTGGTGAAGCAACTATCAGCTGGTGAAGTAACTGTCAGCTGGTGAAGCAACTGTCAGCTGGTGAAGCAACTGTCAGCTGGTGAAGCAACTATCAGCTGGTGAAGCAACTATCAGCTGGTAAAGCAACTGTCAGCTGGTGAAGCAACTGTCAGCTGGTGAAGCAACTGTCAGCTGGTGAAGCAACTATCAGCTGGTGAAGCAACTATCAGCTGGTGAAGCAACTATCAGCTGGTGAAGCAACTGTCAGCTGGTGAAGCAACTGTCAGCTGGTGAAGCAACTATCAGCTGGTGAAGCAACTATCAGCTGGTGAAGCAACTATCAGCTGGTGAAGCAACTATCAGCTGGTGAAGCAACTATCAGCTGGTAAAGCAACTATCAGCTGGTAAAGCAACTATCAGCTGGTAAAGCAACTGTCAGCTGGTGAAGCAACTATCAGCTGGTGAAGCAACTATCAGCTGGTGAAGTAACTGAAATTGAGTTTTATCAGCTTGTAATATCTGAAGGAGGATATCTCTTTATTTGGTAATGATACATATGCACATCAAAAGCTGAAAATTCACAAAACTTTGGATATAATAGTACAATTGGAATTATTTGTCGAGAACCATTGAACAAAACTCTTGATTATGGATGTGCATAGATATTATTGATGGTTTAAAAATAATTTTATTTTTTGTTAAAATTGTTATGGTTGTTTGCATGTTTATTGAACTTTTTAAGAAATAGTCCTAATATTAACTTATATATAATTAAGAACTCTCCTTAGTGATAGATATTCCAGAAGTAACAATGATTCTAAATTCTGTTGTTACTAACATCGTATATTGTGAGCTTCAAGGCATGTGGGTCATATTCATAGATTCAATTTAGTGTTTAATTTCAATAAACTGGTATGTTTCTATTCATCTTATTGGTCAATCAATTCAAATTTGCACCCATAGTAAAATCGACATTATCCAAATATACCCTGATATACTCAGAATGAATAACAACAAGTAAATTTCGATGGTCCTCCAGCTCTAAATTGACTCTATTTGCCACAGTTTGACACCAAAATTTAAATCTAATCTGTTTTTACACATAATTTTGAAGGTGATTCATTAATTAATTTAGATGTTCAGTTTTAAAGCACCTAATTTTGTAGCACAAGAAGAAAACTAGCTGAAAATTACATATCAAAACTGCATTATATAAGTGCAAAGTTGAAAGTCGATTGGAAAGGCAATTAATGGATGCTTTTATTGCTTTTATATTGGTGTTATAGCTGCATGAATTAAAGTTATTATAAATAGGTGTTTAAACTTTTTATGTGTATCGCGGACACTGATAGCATCAATTTGCAGCATTCTAATTTTCAATCAAACATCTGTGGTTCAGGTAATCTCACAAAATCCAAGTTTTTGATGACGTCACTAACCGTCTAGGGCCTGATGTGATAAAGCATATTTTGTGATTAGTGACATCATCAAACACTTAGTTTTAGTGTAATTGCAGGAACTACAGACATTGGACTGAAAAGAAAATTGAAATGATGTAAATTGATGCTATCAGTGTCCCTGATACACATAAAAAGTTTAGAAAACTTCTTTACAATCACTTTTAAACCCTGTGCATAACTTGCCAAGTTCTAAGTAAAAACAAAATGCATGTTATCAGTAAAGCATACTTTTATAATATTCGTTGCTTGTATAATATTGGTTCAAAAAACAACCTGAATATCAAATGTTAAATCATAGTAATAAAAGTTATATTTGTTTCATAAATTGAGAGCATATCCTTCCCTAAAATAACAGAAGTGAAATATTCGCTCTTTGAACACAAATTTTTGACTTCTTATTGATATTGTGTCATCATCTCTCTGTCTTTCCTTTGTCTACGGTAAGTAGCATATAATTTGCTAATAAAACACCAAGTCCAATGGTGCCACAGAGCAGTATATTTTTCAGGATTGCAGGCGCTCTACAAATGAAGTGTATTTATCAGTATTGAAAATGCTTTCACCCTACAAGAGATTGTAAAGAGGTTTTCAAAATTTTAATGTGATGCTATCAGTGTCCCTGATACACAAAAATATTTATAAAACCTCTTTACAATCTCTTTAATCATTATTTGTATGTAATGTAGAATTTACCTGATCATCTTGGCTCATAACAAAACCTGTTTCCAATTTCAGGGCTTTGGAAACCCAGATAAAAAATTAGAGGAAATATTAATGACAGTATTTGCCAGGGAAGCTCTGGGTACTCTTATGGATGATCCTAAAGAAAGACCTCTTTTACTGCAAAAATTGAAAAAATTGTCTGAGAAAGGCAGAGTGGTAAGTCAAATTTTAGTCGAATTCAAAAGATATTGGATAATTTATTAGAATGTTGGATATTTTACCTGTTAGATAACATAGTTATCATTTTGAAATCACCCAATATAAAAAATGTTGAACAATTATTTCAGGATTCTTATAGCCCTCTGTTATTAAATATAATAGATAAATAACTAATAACATATTATTTTCCTGTTTTAATTGTACACTATACTGATTCCATAGATTACAAACTGGATGGTTGTGTGCTTTTATTGGCAATGATATGAATTAAACTGTTGTTAATTGAATAGGTTGTTATAATGCCATTTAGAAATTTGAAGTATGAGTTATATATCTGGCGCCACCAGATTTTGAACCATTGTTTAGCAAATGAATTCAATTCACAATCATACTTGATAACAGAGATATATATATTGTGACGTAATGTTGAAAACAATTGTATTCGTGACAAAATCAACAAGAAGAAGTTTTTCATCAGTCTTTGAATGTCCTGTTGAGGAATTTGCTGCCTCTCCTGATGCCATGCTGCATCCAACCCAGATACAGTTTTCACAGGAGGGTCTATACGCTGTATGTGACGTCCCAGAATATACTGAATTTAAGTTAGTGGAGCTTTTTGTTCTAGACACAGCTTAACGGAACTTAGCGGTTGTTATTCCATGAAGTTGTGTTGTTAAAGGGACTTTCCACTTTTTTGTAAAAAGTTTTCATTATCAAATATGTTGAAAATTATACCTGAAAATATTTCTAAAGTATGCTATATATATCTATGTACAAAGTAAACTAGTTTTCTAACAGCCTCCAAAAATCATAACGAACTTAAAAACCTTACATAATGTTTTTAAATATTTTGGCTTTTGAAAAGTAATGCCTGTATTTTTTTAGTTAAAACTTTCAGATATGTTAAAGGGGCTCATTTCTCTAGCTTTTTCTCTAGTTTTTGCAACTTTCTTCCTACAAAAAACCATAATGTCCCTTTAAAGTAAAAAAGAATTGAGTAATTATAAGTAAAGTAGGATATATAGACACACCTTTTGGAACTTAAAGTCAATATTTTTGTACCGTAAACCTTAAGTAATGTTTTTAAATGTATTATAATGTAGATATATGAAGGTTATGTAATGTTATTGATTATAATATATTTTTAACTGTAGATATATGAAGGGTATGTAATGTTATTAATTATAATATATTTTTAACTGTAGATATATGAAGGGTATGTAATGTTATTAATTATAATATATTTTTAACTGTAGATATATGAAGGTTATGTAATGTTATTGATTATAATATATTTTTAACTGTAGATATATGAAGGGTATGTAATGTTATTAATTATAATATATTTTTAACTGTAGATATATGAAGGGTATGTAATGTTATTAATTATAATATATTTTTAACTGTAGATATATGAAGGGTATGTAATGTTATTAATTATAATATATTTTTAACTGTAGATATATGAAGGGTATGTAATGTTATTGATTATAATATATTTTTAACTGTAGATATATGAAGGGTATGTAATGTTATTAATTATAATATATTTTTAACTGTAGATATATGAAGGGTATGTAATGTTATTAATTATAATATATTTTTAACTGTAGATATATGAAGGGTATGTAATGTTATTAATTATAATATATTTTTAACTGTAGATATATGAAGGGTATGTAATGTTATTGATTATAATATATTTTTAACTGTAGATATATGAAGGGTATGTAATGTTATTGATTATAATATATTTTTAACTGTAGATATATGAAGGGTATGTAATGTTATTAATTATAATATATTTTTAACTGTAGATATATGAAGGGTATGTAATGTTATTAATTATAATATATTTTTAACTGTAGATATATGAAGGGTATGTAATGTTATTGATTATAATATATTTTTAACTGTAGATATATGAAGGGTATGTAATGTTATTAATTATAATATATTTTTAACTGTAGATATATGAAGGGTATGCTGATGATGAAAGAAATACAGACAATTCATGGTCAGAAAGCAGGTTGATTTTATACCATGATGATACCGGTGAAATTCTAGATAATATTAAACTCAGGGTAAGGAATATTTGTTTTCGTTGATTGTTCAACCCTGTTCAGTGATGTTTTGTTGTGTAAAAGTAACTGTTTGTGAGCCAAGAAAGTTCTGAACATAACAAGATCCTTGTTCATGACCTCAATGAAACTTCGAGGAAGCCTGGAAACCATGGAAACCATGATCTCATCTGATAATAGATAAATTGGACTTGGTATTATCTATAAGGACATGTTGAGTAAAAGACCTTGATTGTATTGCAGGTCTCCTTGGACCACCCTGCCTTAACCACCCATTCCCCACTGGCCTCCACCCCTAGACTGTGGTGTAATAGAAATTATTCTGACCTATGTTGAATAAAAAGTTTATTATTATTATTATTATTATTATTATTATTATTACTTTCTATTTCTAGGCTGGCGATACCGTCTGTGCCACGGCCTGGATCACTGCCTCCTCTACCATGACATTCTGGGGAGCCCATGAAGAATTTCTTCGTATGGTCACTGATGATCTTAAAGCTCATTTCAATAATAATTCAGGCTGAATCGGTGTTGTTGGTTTGTATGTCCCTCAGGATAAGAACAATTCTGATGCCTTTGCCAATGTTTTTGTGAGTTAATGTGAAGTTTTTCAAATCGTTACACCAAATATAACAGAGGTATTAATGTTGAAGATATATTTCTATTGATCTTGTCCTTGGCCAGTGTTTTTGTGAGTTAAAATGAAGTTTTCAACCCCTGATACCAAATATGACAGAGGTGATGTAGAAAAACGCCCCTCAACTCTTATTGAACTATTCTGCACATGCATACTTAAAATCAATATTATACAGAGTAAAGTGGTTTAGAGGAGTTCATTTAAAACATTAGAGGTTTGATTGTTTGCAGGTTAAGTATAGCAAGCCTGAAATGTTAACAAATTAATTAATAATGATTAATCAAAAATATTATAATTATAGTGAAATCTGCTGATTTTCTATTTTTTTGATTGACCTATTTAACTGTAAGTGCCAAGTTGTATTACAATTACCTCTATGTTGTAAATTTTTATAAAATCCACAAAATATGCCCATGACAGATATATACATGAATATGAGGAACTATTTAAAGCCAAATATCCGAAACACCTGATAGTACTCCTCTTGGAGGAGTCCACTACTATACAATTTTTACTCTTGCTTTTTGCCATACCTAGGACAAGATTTTGATTAAAGGAATTGCCTTACTTGTACTGATTTTAATTCAGAAACAAGGGCCTTCTCCCTGACCCAACGATTTGGTTGAGATAAGTATTAAGTAACATGCAAGTTGTCTTTTGATATTAGTTCATTAACTGCCACCAATATATTGCAAAACTGTTATTTTGCATTTCAAGTTTAATTTTGCTTTTCCGTTCGTTCATACTTGGTATTTTTTATATAGAGGCCTAATATATCAGAAAACCTTTGTCCTTGGGGTCCAAACAAATATGACTGGCAAATACAGCCCAATCAATATCCCTTGTAGATAACCTTTCATTACTGTGATAAATTTTTAATGTTAGTTTTTAATATTGATATTTTATTAAATGCTGTGTATTTCTCATATCCTCTAAGTTATTATCTCAGATATCGTAAAAACCACAGACGTCTGATTGAAAATTGTCCCCAATACACAAAAAATATTTACAATCTCTTTAAGATGAATTTGGAAGAGCTGTTGTATTGATTATTATTATTAATATTATTATTATTATGTTTAATGTATGTAGATAATGTTGTATTTATTGTAAATATTATTGATAATTTATATCAGTCAACAATCTTAATATTCCCACTATAATTAGATACATCGTTTGTTTCAATGTATTATTTTATAATTTCTTTAATCTTAGGAGAATTTTTTTATTTCTTTTGTTTCAATGAAATAAGATTTAAATTTTGTATTTTATGAAATAGAATTTGTATTCAGTTTTTTCATTGTGTATGAAATTTAATTCATTGTTTAAGTGAAATAGAATTTGCAATATTTTCATTTTTTTGAAATGATTTTGTAATACAAGTATGTACAATGTTTTAACACTGTAGCAAGAGAGAACTAATCACATTTTGGTTGCAATTATTTATATTTAAATGCATCAAGTGAACAATGACTTCTGTTCGAAATATATCACCTAATAACTTTCTTCTTCAGTAATTTGTATTAGTCTTTTTTTATACTGAAAATAAAAAACATTCTAGCTATTTTATTTTTATATTTATCTATTCATTTTTTTATATTTCTGTTTTTACTTCATCATATTAATCAGACTTGTTAAAAAAATTAAAAATTTCTAGGATACAGTCATGTAAAGAAGGTTCAGTTGTACCAATCTGCTGATAAATCAAATATTTATATGACAATATTCCTTTCAACTCATTTATTTTACATATGATTTTATGCAGGACTTAAAAAAAACTTGCCTTTTTATGTCAATTTTGTCATGTCCATTAATAATCAGAAAATTTATTTGATAAAAATGAGATATATATTTAACATTTTGCTCTACTTTTTTTTTTAGATTATAGGATTTCAATATGCAATATCTATTTTGTATGTACAATCATTTTTGTGTTTGTGTTCTTTTTTTGAAAATCAGATAATTTACTTTGAAAATCAGATAATTTACTTTAAAAATCAGATAATTTACTTTGAAAATCAGATATTTTACTTTAATAATCAGATAATTTACTTTGAAAATCAGATAATTTACTTTAATAATTGGATAATTTACTTTAAAAATCAGATAATTTGCTTTAATAATCAGATATTTTTCTCTGAAAATCAGATATTTTACTTTAAAAATCAGATAATTTACTTTAATAATCAGATATTTTACTTTAATAATCAGATATTTTACTCTGAAAATCAGATTTTATATATTTTTACTTGGAATTTATAATATCCTTTATTGCCAAATATCCGTCAATTTTCTTTTGAAAAATTATTATCAGAATTTAATTTGTTGAATATTTTTTAGAATATTCCTATGGAACATAATATTTTTTTTGTTATTTTATCTTTTGTTCAAAATTAAGCTCAAAATTAAGCTCAAAATTAAGCTTTCTGGTTAAGCTTTTTTTTTATTTATAATAAATTGGTATTGTTTCAGTCAAATAATAAAAAAATTAAATTTTAGCTAAACAATTTTAGAATAATCCTTTTTTTTATTTTATTTTTCTCCCAATTAACCTTTCCATATTTTTACTCCATTTATATTGTTTCAGTTTAAAGGCATACTACTTCTTAGAATGGACATACAATTTAAAGTCTCAAACTTGGTCAATAAGTGTATATATTCATCAGTTGGACTTACCAAATAACATGATATAATAATAAAATATCATTATAATCTAATAAATATATCCATTAAACTAATTAATTATTAAAAAATTAAAATTTTTCTGTCATCCTAGGAGGTATTATACCTTTAATAATTGAAATGTTACAATACCTTTAGGTGGTATTTTCTATTGTGTGTATATAGTTTAGTATTAATATATTTCAATTTAAGAATTGGGTGGAATTTTAAATAAGATAAATCTCTGAGAGAAATGTAAATAATAACCATTCTGTGGTGTTTTATAATATTATTTATATTGTTAATAAACATACACTGGTACGTGATTTTATCTTTATACACCAACATGAATATGAATGAATATTGCGGTCATCTTTGTCCATTCATCGATCTGTCAACCATTAATGCCTAGCCCTTCTTTGCGCCCCCTTCAAATTTCGCAATGAGACCCCCACCCCCCCCCCCCTCCCCTCCTTCAAATTTCTTACTGTGACAGCCCACCCTCCCCCCTTCTCAAATTTCTTAAGGGATGTAAGATCTGACCCCCTCTCCCCATGACAATTCTCTGGCCCCTACACAACCCCCTCACATTACGACAAATAGAAAATAGAGTGGTTTCTGTCCAACGCCCCACAGCTGTAAATCGCAAGATTTATGAGGTTGTATAATCTATATAAAGTAGTATATCTGCGCGATACATTTTTTTCAGGAAAGGGCGGTGCCCCAACTTGCACCCTGCAGCTCCTGGGCTTCGTCTTCAAGCCATCTGCAGGTGCAAGGCGTCTTTGAGCGTATGTTACCTTGCCTGGAAAGTTATCTCTGTATCATAATTAAAAAGACAAATCAATAAATAAACGCTACTAATTTGAATCTAGTAAATCTACAGATTATATCTAAACACATGTAACCGAAATGTTTTGTTTTTTTTCAGTTTTTTTCATGACAGATTTATTAAGTATTCCGACATCAAAAGTCTGACAGAATTTAACTTGTCTATGAATAACACATGGCGTTATTGAAATATTGTTAATTTCTAATTATTTCAAATCTATTGTGACGTGAAGGGAGAATGGCCATGATCTGCGGCATGAAAAGGATTTTATTTGTGTTCTCAGTGTAAGTTTTTTAAGTTCATTTTTCTTGCATTTCACAAAGTTTTACTTAATGAGACCTCTTTAAGATTTGATAATTATTTTAATTTTCCAGTGTTCTATGATTATTTCAGTTTAAACACAAGGCCAGCTTTAAAAACAATTCTGTTGGATATTTTTATTTGAAAGAAACAAAATACGCAGGAGACATATTTCACTACAATTTGGCTTTATTTTATTAATTATTTATTATTTTATTATTATTTATTATTTTATTATTATTTATTAGTTATCCAACACCAACGTTAACATATTCAAACATAGTTACACAGTTGGAGTTCTGCAAAATACATGATGGGTTTCTTTATTTTTTAGTGTCAAATTAAGCAAACTATTTGATAAATTGGTGTTTCTAATGAATTATCATGTATTCTTAATCATATCATTATGTTTTTATTGCATATAATTAAGAGTTTTAACTAATCATAAATGTCCAGTTGGATAAACAATAAAAAAAGACTTTATGACCATTCTTGATCGGTCACTCTTCTGTTGGCAATTCTCTCCTAATTTAGCTAATTATTAATTAATTATGGACATGTGAGACAAACTGGTATTTTTCCAACACCTCTACTTTCTATTCATATAAGTATTAGCATTTTCATTTTCATAAATGAAAATAAGGAACCCATCTTTAAAGCTATAGTCTATATTCTTATTAATTTGAGCACTAAACGTTTCCATCTTATAGACTATCCTGCTAAAAACTAAACTGGTTGTTTTTATTTTTTATTTTAGAGTAAATTTGTGTGTTATATGGATGCTGTTTAATCATCATCTAGTTATTTTAAGCACCAAACATGTACTATCAACTTCAACCCCAAATATAGTACGACAGTCAACCAGCGAACGCAACGTTTCGCAATGTTTCATGAAGAAAAATGTAGTGTTTTTAAAGGTTCACAAATGTGCCAGTTCCACAGTGTCCAATATTATACAAAGGTTCACCATGAACTATGACCTCAATCCTGTATTACCAGATAAACCTTTCATCGAGGGAGTTTGGTATTGGTTCTTAGGTCGTTTTTGGAAGAATCACACCGCTCAAATTTTACCAATACCACCCAGAGAATCTTATAACACCTTTTTTGTTCATTCGGTTTACAACAGGCGAAAATTTCGGGAAATATTTCCAAACGATACTTTTTATTTTGCGATACTCAGAGACCCTGTGGATCGATTTGTATCATATGCCTTCTATTTCCAACAAGTAAAGAAGATTGAAAAGTTATATCCGGTGAAGACGCCTTTTATTTTCTCTAAAGCCTTGTCCATGCATAAAATCTTCAAAAATATTGAACAGTATGACCCAGCGGTGGATTTCGGTCTTTATAAATATGATATTTACAATTCAAGCCAGATTCAACAATTCATTGCTTCCATTGATAAGGATTTTGATTTTGTGATGCTGGTGGAATATTTTGACGAATCTTTGGTGTATCTTCGTCGACAATTGTGTTGGACTACCAAAGATATTGTGTACATTTCTCAGAACCAAGGTGGACCGAAAGCTGGTGTGAAATATGCACTTTCTAAGAATGATATCGTTCGAATCAAAGCCTTACATCAAATTGATGTGGCACTCTATGACCATTTCTATCGTAAATTTTGGAAAAAGATAAATTCTCAGGCAGTTGATTTCTTTCAAGAAGTTGCAAGATTTAAAGAAACTCTGATGATTATTTACAGCCATTGTAAATATGCGGTTTATCAACCACCCATTCTCAGGATTCCTAAATCTCCATGGTCACCAGAATTTACCATAACTCGCAAGGATTGCGACCAATTGATGTACTCCGAGCCATTTTTTATTATGAAATTAAATCTGAAAATGAAAGACAAATATAAGAAATATATGGATGGAAATCAGTAATAGAACTTGGAACTAAAGTCGGAATTGTTTTCAGAATAGATGCAGCAGAAAAAAGCATTTGGAAGAACGCGAGGGTTCATCTTAGAGAAAGGATTATAACCTTTTGTATGATTGTTGTCTTAAGACATTGACGATGGTATACCAACAAAATTGGTCGAAATCTGGAACTTCATTGCTTTAGGATTGTGGATGGAGACCGTGGACGTTTAAGAGAAACGAGATGAATTCTACCGTTCTACTATTTCGCTAATTGCCTAAAAACGGTCAATGGGTGAACACAATGCAGTGTACAACAAGGGCTATTGTGCTTAGACAACGAAGTTAGCCTGTTATTTCCAAACATCTTCAATTCAAGTACAGAAACGTTTTTGATCGACGTGGATGGACATCATGCAGTTTACAGTGGGGCATGTTGTGCTTGGACAGCGATTTTAGCCTGCAATTTCCACACGTCGCCAATTTAAAACTCATTTGTTGGACATGGACAGACAACACCATGCAGTTTATAATGTGGGCTGTTGTGTTTGGACAGCGGCAAAATCCTGCCATTTCCTGATTGAAATTTAAATATCGGCGTGACATATGTTGTGTGTGTAGAGAACCATACAAGTAAATGTATTAATGGTAGTCTCTAATGTTTGTTTAAGTTTTAGTTTTAATGGATATATCAATAGTACAATCATTAGTATATATTTACATATTGGTACTATAATCATTATCGTGATGGGAGCAGTGGCGTTTTTACAGAGGGGAGGGGGGCCCCCTGGAAAATGTTGTGGCTCCTACTCGCCCCCCCTCACCTAATGTTTCCTATAAACGCCACTGGGTAGGGGACGGTAGTGGTAGTATTCTTTTAGCAGTCATAATTATAGTCCTCAAAATATATGTTTGCCCAGTAATGAAGTTTTATGAAGTAAAAAAAAAATCTTCCTTCTTGCACACATTTAGTCCTAGCAAATCTTCCCGGGGCAAATTATTCAGTTGCAGAAACGTGACATTTCATTTCATTTCATGACCCGTTTCATTTCAAATCTCCATTTCATTTCATTTCAATACTCCATTTCATTTCATTTCAAAGACTACTAGAATTAACAATACTTTAATGTTGTGAATAATTATTTAATACTATAAATATTGATTCTGGTATATATTTTGAATAAACAGTGGTAGAAATGTGGTGAAAACTTATAGATATATACATAAAAAGTCGTAAGTCGTAAACATATAAAACTCAAATCAATAGTACACTTGTCCTTCCAGTAATATTTTGAAGTTGATTTCCATTTCTCATAAAAAACAAAAATTAGACTAATAAATCTATTCTACAATATATTATGTCAACACCTGTTTCAGGTATCAAATGATACAAGGATAACTTAGTTCAAAGATAGGGGACAAATATCCAATACTGGTAATTTATGACTACTGGCTAATATGATGTTTCTCAAATCTTACGATAAAAACTAGCTTGTTATATAATAAATAAATATCTCGGTTGTGTTCAATGATTAAACTATATAGAATTATAGAACACAAAAACACATTTAAAATATTTTTAAAGTCATTCATGTCTGTTTGTGGCATGATCAATAATGCTAGTGAGATCAATGTTTAATTCTTATATTTCTATTCATACAAAATCCATTCTTTTAAATGAGCGGTTATTTTTATTTGCCACAAATTTTAGATTGAGTCATTATTATTATTTTGCTTTTGGAAGTATCCATACGCCATATTGTCACTTGACATATTACAGTTTATCGAAAAATAAAGGTTGTTACTGATATATTGAATGGTGATAATCGAAATATAAATATATGAACAGGTAATAAATAGTGTCAAAGACAAATATTTTGAATTAATATTTAGCATATTTAACATATCAAAGAATAAAAGTTGATATTTTGTATTATTAAGTATATATAATGTAGAACTACAATTAAAAGTGAAATGTTTTGATTCTGAAGCATCCAAATGCTTCGATTTAAAGGGTTTGTAATGATTTATCACTTTAAAGGGATTGTAATGATTTATCACGTCATAAGGCCATTCCCGATTAGTGACGTCATCAAACACTTATATTTAAGGGAATTGCATGAAAATTGGAATGGTGTAAATCAATGCTATCAGTGTCCCCGATACACATAAAAAATTTAGAAAACCTCTTTACAATCCCTAAAAGCATATATACAAAGCTATACAAGCATCAGTTGGAATGTTTTGAATTATCACAGTTATTAAAAGGCAATAAGAAAACCTCTGGGTATAGAAGTGAAGACTGTGTGTGATTAACACACTATTATGAAACAAACTTAATATACCAATATCACTTATATTATATCAAAAATAACCATTCTATATAAGGACTAATTAGCAAAAGATAACATCATATTGATTCTTTAAATTTGTATTAATTTTAGAAATTTTTGTCAAATTATAACATAATATATTAATATATATGGTGGCTGCAGAATGAAATAACTATTTATATATCAGGATTATTGGTAAAGTATCGAAGCTATATTGTGACCTCATATTAACATGGATTAGGATATCTTGTCACCTAAATATAGCAGAACAATTGAAATACCAGCAGTTTTAAAATTCCCTGTCAAGATTTCAATATGGAGAGTATTCTATGTTATTGCACTAGACATCAACGACAAATAGTCAATATTGCCACAATTTTGAGCACTGCCTGCACCAAGGGTAGTTTATTTTGAAAATGGTGGCCACATTGGCTATTTGAATTTACAATAACCTTTTCTACATTGCCTTTTTTTTGCAATAACCAATAAATAATAGAACACTAAGTACTACCGACCCCAAAACATAGTAAAAAAATTACGCCATCTGACTGATAGCCCAGTTTTTATAGAAATTGAACCTGAGAGTGAACGACTTTTCAAAACCAGCTATTTCAAAATTCTTCTGAAAAGTTTCAGTACCAAAAAAACAAGATTATTAAGATACCAAATACTATCAACCCTAAAACATATTAATAAAAATTATGCCTTCCAACTGATTTCTTGCCCGGTTTTTATAGAAACTGAACCTGGATATGTACTTTCTCCAACCTTCAGTTGCTGTAGACTCAGCTCTCCGAATGATAGTTTGATGGCATACGTAACAGTTGAATCCTGCCCCACACGAGCTGTAACAACTCCCAATACCCCCGGCAACATAACAGGAAAATTAAACGGAGGTTGTGATTTAGGTTCAAAGGTCAAGATACCATCTGGTAAATTTGCCTGTTGCCCTGACAACGCTAGAATTAAATGCCATGATGACATGTAGTAACCATAGTGACTAGTAATGAAAGGTTGACCGTCTGCACCATAACCGATTCCACCAAGTATACCTGTAAGAAACGATAAATTATAAAGCACTTCAGCATTCTAACATATTTAGAATTTTCCTTGTGCTACAATATAGATTGCTAGAGTTAGATCCTGGTATAGGAGAAGAATCAGGATAATACCTTCGAACGTTTCAACCCACTTTCCCCGTCAGTGATAAAGGCTGTAGGGGCTGACATGGAAAAAGAGTTTAGTCGTACGAATGTGACAATAACCTAAACCCTGTGTGTTACAGGCTCTGCACGTTAAAGATCCCTCGACAGTTGGAAATCGAATAAGCTGATGCCGCTGTCCTGGAAAAATTCCCTCATTGCACACTGCTTGGTATTTCCAGTCATTATCATCCCAAAAGTCCAAAAAAAGCAGGGCGTAAAATTCCTTTTCCTTGTGCGAACCTCTTGACAACACATGACAGTCTCAGAAAGTTTTCACAGTCGCAGAAAATAATTCAACTCATGAATAAAAAAAAAAATAGCACAAATTTACCTGGCACATTCCACAAATCATTCAAAATAGTTCTCATTCTATCCAAGGTCTTCTTAGCCACCCCCAACGCTTCATCAACGTCTGTTCCCAGCCTAATCTGGGTGGACGCCCAATTTGGATTACCCATCATCCATATTGCATTATCTTGAGAAGGGCCAGGATACGGATAGCGTCCTGAAAAGGAAAAGTATTTATCATATAAAACCAAGTTTGTAAACGATATTTCCAGCAATCTGATTAAATAGTGTGATTCATCCTTATTTTTACCTGCAAAATAAATACAGGCCTACTTGATCCATACCATTCCCTGCCAGGAGGGGCCAGGAGGGAGGTCCAGGGCCCCCCTACACTTCATCATTCTTTAAAAGAATATCTATTTACCTGTCTGTACCATCATACCATAAGGTGTATCATTATAATCTAACTCAGCAGTCAAATGTTTTGAGATCTTGGTTCTGTCAACTAAATCTCCTAAACCAACAGAATGGGCCAAAACCTGGAAAACATATTAAAAGGGAAACTGTCAGCTTTTATCAACCTCAACGATTTGTAGAGCTATCTATTGTCACTAACTTCTGTGTTGAAATTTGTCATGTCTTGTAATCTCAGTCCAATGGTTTATAGATTGTTAGGTTGTTAAATTGGGGAGCTTCCCTATTTCTTTATTTTATCAATTCACAATGTTTTCTGCAAAGCACAATTTTCTTGACTTCCTAAGCAGCCAAAGCAATGTCTGTCTATGTATGTTTCTGTGTAATAGCCAGAGACATGTATTCATGAAAAGTTTGCCAAGAAAGGGTGTCCTCCTCAACATTGCTTCCACAGCCAGTGCTTTCAATGGTCATCTTAGCGTTGGTTAGTGATCAAAAGTAACAAACCTGAGCATAAAGAGTGTCTGTCATCAAGGCCCCAGGGTTAGGTATAGACAGATTATGTATACTAGGGGTGTAAGAATTATAATATTCAGCTGTACTGTTCCATAAATATTTATCTAAAGCTTCTATACCCTCATTATAAACAGCTCGACATTCAGCTGCAAATTCTTCATCAGCTGTTAAATTATTAATATAATGAATTATACAACAAATTACATATCAATTTTCTTTCTAAAGATTACAAATTATTACAAAACCCTGTAAGTTTACTCAATTGTTAATCCAATACATCTTTATGACCCTATAGGGATTGTGGAAAGGTTTCCCAAACTTTTTTTTAAGTGTATCAGGGACACTGATAGAATCAATTTGCACCATTCCAATTTTTGGTCATATGATCGTGGGTCTTGCATGCAATCCCAGTACAACTAAGCGTATTATGATGTCAATATTGCAAAAGCTACTAAGCCTTAAGATACATGATTGCATTATGTACCTGAATCAATAACAATTTCCAATGCTTACCCATAAATTTGGCCAGTTCTTCTGCAGCTCTCATAGCCAGTAGGTGAAATACAGAATTGTAAGCACAAACATCATAGGCATTCTGTCCAAGAACATCATATGTATTAACCATTCTAATCAAGGTACCAGATGATCTCGCTGATAGTATATGCCATTGTGCTGCTTTCTTGGCATTAGGATAAAGTTCCTTTGCAAAATCTTGTTCATTACCCCATCTGAAACACAGAGATCTCTTTAAAATTGCAAATACCCAGCCACATGTATTTTACTGTCCAGATCTGAAACACAGAGATCTTGTGTGACCAGCCACATGTAAGCATATATTTTATACTATTGGGCATGTCATATTTATATAATGTTTCATTCTGAGTAAAGCTCTTTTCATGAATGTACTAGTATGTGTTTTGAGTCACATCAATGTATAGGTATTGTATACATTGTACATAACCAAATGTTCTGCAGGCTGTGTCTAAATGACCAAAGATATTGGTCTTCAATCAGTTCCTATTTCAAATATATACTAGTAAATAGTCTACCAACAGAATAAATCTGTATTACTATTCCCTCTACCTACAAATAAAGTATACTGCTCATATTATGAATCAGACCTATTAGAGTACAGAGTACAGAGATCAAACCTATTAGAAATTGGCTCAGAATCTTCTCAGCCAACCACCCTAGGTTAGAAACAGATATCTAATACAGATATTACTGTCCTCATTAGACCAAACAGGTGAAGAACAGTAGGTCATAAAACACCATTTCATAGACATTGAACTAACCTGAGAAGTTCTAGAAGATACGTAATAAACATAGAGGAAACATCCGACATGACTCGACCACTGGGAACATCTATTTTATTACCAAAATGTTGAGTAAAACAGTTGGATTGTAGCTGTTCTGGGATCATACCATTGATCAACTGAGACTTGGCCCAACCTCTCATTTTATTCTTAGTAGATTCAGGTAGAAACATAATGTAGGGTATATGACGTTCTCCATCATTGTGTACAGAATCTACAATACAATGTCAAAATGTATTACTATCAATGATTCCTTATTCCAGTCGACCAAGCTGTAAATGAGTATAGATTATATGTGGAAGATCATTGTCAAGAGGTATGGCCAAAAACCAGCTGGTAGACAGGATCCTAGTGAGCCTAAGATGTATAAAATGTTTTGCCAAGATTCTGAAACTACTACTTCTTTTCACATGAGGAAGTATATCAATTATAAGTGAGTAAGTATTTCATAATGAAGAGTGGTATCAGGTGTCTAGAAAAGTAAGCATACCCTGCCTTGCACCAAACCCTTCATTGCTGCTAAACACACACAACAAACAAGAAATTAGGAGGATAAAAACAAAAAAGGTAGACTTACCCATATTAGAACAATCATAAGCTTCCCACTGTCTCCATCTACCATCAGCAAACCACATGGCTGACCTATATATAATAAATATATAACTAGTACATATTAGTCGACCGGAAAAATCTCAAATGATTCACATAAAGGTGCGGGCACACGAGGCGTCTTGGTCGGATTTTTTGGTCGTTGATTTCTTGAGTGAAATTTCAAGTGTGCCTTTGATTCCACGACAAGATTATCGCATCCCCGACAGGATTTATGATATTAAACAAGTTTGATAATTGTCTCCAATAGTTTTATCATCTGTAAGACAGGCTGTCATCATCCAATTAGATTCATTTTTCTTTCAATTGCACGCTCCGCACGTGACTAGAGATTTTTGTCTCCTTGTGTGCCCCTGCCAGTCTGTGAAACTCTAGACTCTAGTCTCTGACCTAAGATTATCCTGTCCACAAGTACCTGGGGGTATAACCTCAAGATGAATCAAAAGAATCATTGAAACAAACTGACCTTATATGACTAAGACTGTTGATCAACACGTCAGACAACCAAACTGGAACACTGCTCTGACCATTATCAGTCTGGTTACCAAGGAAAACTTCATGTAATTTATTTATCGCAGCTACTTGGTTAGCCATGTTGATTTTTTGACCATTCAAAATAGAGTCAGCTACGTCAACGCTGCTTTTAAACAAATTCTTATACCAATTTCCATAGACTGTTTCTCCAAAGTCTCTGTTAGGATAGTACCATGAAAGAGTCATCGGAACTTGGACAGTTTGTCCAGGGGGTATGCTAGCTTTAATTGAAATGGCACCAGTAACGTTCATAGCGCCCTTACCAGAAAAGGTGAACTGTCCATTACTTGCAAAAGTGTTCCAAAGAGCGTTAACATTGTCATCAACGCCAAAAGTTACAGAATCCATATTTGTACATAGAGAAATGTCTCCATTTGGCGGCAGATTTCCTGGTCTGTCCAAAGTTAGACAATTTAAGTTGCCCTTTCTTACGACATTCCATGCTCCTTTCAATCCTGATGATTTTGTCGTGTTGTAGCCATTGAGGTTGACGGTGGTGGACAGAAGGCAGGATTTATCTACTTCATTGAATGTCCATGTCTGACAAGCTGGCCAATCGTTGCAGACGTGCAAACAGTCAACGTCTGTTTCGCTGGGGGTAGAGAAATCATAATAATTGGACTGAACTGGCGTGAAAATGAAGTCGCGACCTTGTCTGTTTTCGATTCCAAATGGGAGATTAAACATGAAGCTTGTATCGACTGCTTGAGTTTTGGACGGGTTGGAGGCGGTGAAGAGAAATGAAATGGCGGGAGTAGCTGAAGAATTCATATCATGAAGAAAATAAGTTGAGAATGCTGTTAACGAAACATTAGACAATGGCAGACGGCTGTCTTCAACAGTTAATTGTGAAACAGGGTGTAATCCTTTATATTTTAAAGACTGGACACCAGGTAAATTAGAGGCTGGATGCGTCTGTAAAACCAATGCCATATTTCCGTTATTTCGATTCAGTAATTGTCTCCAAAATACATCAGCAAATTTCTTCGTTTGATAATTTTTGAAGGGTATGAATTTTAGGGTATCGTCATGGGCTTGATTTGTTGATGTCCGGACAGCAAAGAAGGCATTGTCAAAAACCTGAAAATGAAACATATAAATTCTGTTACTTTTTGTACAGGAAAATCATCAGGTCTACTGTCAAAGATGGCCACCTTCTATCTCTCAAAAATTTACCACTTTCTAATCACAAAATGTTAAAGGTGCTTATAACATTATGGATCTTTTGATCGTAAAGCTTGGTGGCTCACAACTGGAAAGTGGCTAATTCTGTAGATTTAACAATTCTGACTGACATATTATAAACAAAAACTGTATGGAATTGTGATAAAAATTGGGTTTCGTTTCAAATGCATGAATAAAATGGGCCTAGAAGATTGTTTTAGTGTCCTAGTTTCTATAGCTAACAGGATATAAAATATAACAAGATATTCCCTCTACCTGTATTTTAGGGGCACTAGAAGGTGACTGATTTATAATGGTCCATTCATGTAGACTTCCATCAGCTCTTAATTCTATACTACCACACGATATACCTTAAATACAGTGGATATAAAATAATATACATGATATACCTGAATATATTAGATATAAAATAATATACATGATATACCTGAATATATTAGATATAAAATAATATACATGATATACCTGAATATATTAGATATAAAATAATATACATGATATACCTGAATATATTAGATATAAAATAATATACATGATATACCTGAATATATTAGATATAAAATAATATACATGATATACCTGAATATATTAGATATAAAATAATATACATGATATACCTGAATATATTAGATATAGAATAAAATAATACATACATGATAATCCTGGAAATATCTATAAAAATATAAAATACTAAAATAACACTATGTGGACCCTTTAAAAATGGCATCTCAAGGTTAGACATAGAAATACCTTGCCTTGCTAGTAACATCCACCAGGAAGACCCCAAAAGAAAGTACTTCTTGTTAAATTCTACTGAAACCATCCAACTACTATTGAGTTTCTCCCATCCACTTTTGTATCGCTAATTTTTGAGAAATTTTACCATATTCTTTTGGAAATTTTGATTGTCAACCTACCTCCTAAAGCTACAGAACTTCTGATACCAATAGGTGGTGGCTTGGTACAGTTGGCACCGCAGGTCTGGTACCTATAGTTATAATGTCCTGAAGACTGCCAGGTTGTGTATGGCGCCGACACATTCTCTGCTTCTAAATAACTACATGGTTGATTAACCCATTCATATTCATCAGAACTTGTCACAGTGCCTTGGTTGAGATCATCGATGGAAAATGACGGAAATTCTAGAGGTTTGGCTGCTAGACATAGACCTACTGACAGCACTGCCACCAGCAACACTCTCATTCTTATAAATTATCTGAAAATCATTTAAAAACCTATAGAATATAGTGTAAGAAAACTTAAAGTTAGTAATATCAGACTCTGGTAAAAGATGACCTCTCTAAGTAGGCCTAACTCTACTCTTATTTAAGAAGAGGTGGGTTCATGGTTCATTGACAACACTTGTCAAAACTTCAAAACTTAACAGATGTGCAGAGCTCAAATTGTCCAACAAAACAAGTACAGTAGACAAGTACAGTGTCAACACAAAATCTGCATCTCGATTAAATAGGAATTGGTATAGGATAGCAAAGATACCTCGCGCCTTTCCTTTTAACCTTAAGCCGCCCCAGCAGAGAGTAATGAAGCTTGCATTTTCTCACCTCGACCTCACTTGACCAAACAATCAACAGAATATTTGGCATCCAAATTTGCTATGCAATACGTCTGAACTGCACTTGATTGCCTAGCACATTCCATAAACTCATAAAAGCATAACTCACTTGTTGTCATCAAATTATATCACCAATAAATTAATTCATCAATCAATCGATTAATTAAGTTTCTTCCTGCAAAAGCAATTTACCTGTGTCATGTGATAGTCATGTGATCAAACCGGATGTTTACATTTTGTAAACAAATAGAAACCTCTGACGCTCTAACAAAAACCTGTTTTGCAAGAATTTAAGTCCAGTTTCTTATTTATTTGTGAAATTGCGGACTAATTGAATGGGTAATAGTAAAATAAAACTTCTTTAATGTCCAATTATCGTAATTTATAGTTAATTTAGTTATTTTGTACTTAATTGCATCCGATAACGTACCCATAGTTTCAATCATTACGTAACCAACTACAAGTACAAGAGCAAAGTTTACACTGCCCCTCGGAATCAAATTCTCTCAGATCCGAACTTTCTGTGTTTGGACTATGAATTATTTAGCCATGATATACCAACACCCCTGTACGGCATATCTGTCCTAAAGTAAAGAATGGGGTCGATTTGAGGCAAGAAATCTCAACCAGGATTGTCTGAATATGAATGAAAAATGATAGGCCTGCTTGATCTATAAAAGTTGTAAATCATTTTAAATATTAACCCCATAAAGCTGATTTATTGTAATTATTGTTGTGTAATCATCTGGATATAGGCTCACATTTTTCTGGTGTCGTGGACATAAGAGAAAAGTTGATGTTGATCCTTATAGCCTATCACTTGGATGATCCACGACGAGGGGTGATTTTTATTCTAATGCTGGATCAATGCTAAGACAAATTTGAAGTGCTTATAAATTTCATTGAAAGTAGCTTAGTAGGCTATTTTCAAAATAGGCTCACCTAGTCCCGTCGCCATGAATAACTGACATTTCTTACAATTTTGAGGTGCCAAAATCTATATCTTTTTTATTTTGCTGGGGCTGAATTATCTCTTGCTGGTTTCCAACCCTATAACAACGGCCCGGGCTGGACTCACCACTCTGGTCAGTCTAAATTTCAGTTCATGGTATTTTAATGTCCCTAATTAACAAAATGATTATTCAGAATTCAAGAGGCTTGGTCATCGAGAACGTCAGTGTTATTTGAATTGACCAGAAGAGTAAACAAAGCGAATTCGGACAATTAAAAAGTAAGTTAAATTGGTGGGTATGATATGCCATAACGACAGGCCTTTTACGTTATGGACTTAGCTTTGATACTTTAATAATAATAAACTCTTTATTTAGCATGGGTCAGAATTAGGTGCAATACACAAGGACATGATCCTGTCTAACATTCAGCCCATGGGAATAATTCCAAAATGAATTATCATTTTTTTAAGCTACCACCTGATATATAGGCTATTAAATTTCCACTTGTTATTCAACGTCAAAACCTTACGAAAATGAAAATTGTTCAAACTTTTTGTACAACCAAGAAGTGGCATATCTTAAAATTGTGTTCCGTTTTTTAAGTAATAGGCAACTGTTTTGTTCATTCAGGGAGGCAATAGGGCATATCATGTAAACTGTTCATGAAGTAAACATCTATCTATATGAAGCGGTCTCTATGAAAAACTGCCATGTCATTGTATATGTGTATAAAGCCGTTAGCTGTATGAAATTTATCCAATTTAGAAGAATCTCTAGGGTAAGGCTCTTATCTATAAATTATTCACTTTTTATGCTCTGATTAACGTGGGTAAATTATCAATATGTTGTATAGAATTATAAAATTTATAAACTGAAAACGATTTGTTAATTTGTTAGCACAGTGAAGGTCATCCAAATTTTAAAAAAATCAAGATAAATACACCAGTACATGAAAATATATCAATATTAAAACATTGCTTGAATCAGGGGAAAGTAGTGTTTCATTAATTCTTATTTATTAAAGATAAATACCGTCTACTTACATTTTATCCAATTTCATATGCAGGTCACTTTCAGAAATGTAGACTAATGCTCATAAACTCTGTATATGATAGATTCTTATAGAAATTACTCTTTTGTGATATCTATAACCCACCAGTGGCGGAGCCAAAATAGCCGAATTATTGTAACTATATACCTTTGGAATCATCTAGTTATAGGCTCACATTTTTCAGATGTGAAAATTTGATGATGATCCTTTAAAAGCCTATCATTTGGATGATCCAAGACGAGGGAGGGGGGTGGGAGGGGGGGACTAGTTGATTTTTATTCTATTGTTGGACCAATGCTATAGACCTAATGGCTAAGACTACTCCCCCTCGCAGCCCCGGAAGCAAGTTTTTCGGACAAAAATGTCAGAACTTGGTAAGAAATTAGGACAATCTCAAAAACTTCCCCCCCCGCCCCCTCTAGGACGGAAACCTAGCTCCGCCACTGTATCCCACCTCATCGATGAATGGACCACAGTAAATGCACCCCTTTGCCCAATCCAATCTTAAATTTATTTTCAGAAATAGATTTAATGATCGTAACGTCCCAATTTACATTTTAGTATCTCCCTTTTCAGATAAAAATGGCGTCTCAAGATACAATGTGGTCTTTTGGTTATGGAAGTAACATGGATGTCAAGGCTGTGGAAACCAAGAAAAAAGTTAAGATCATTGATCACACGGCTGCTATTCTGAAAGGCTGGAAGTTGGCCTTTAATCTGTCTGGAATTCCACTAGTAGAACCAGCTTATGCCAACGTTACCAAAGGAGGTAATCAATGGTTTGAAAAAAAAAATGATATTATTAAGAGGTTTTCAGAACTTTTTATGTCGACCGGGAACAGTTATGGTTCTATTTGCAATATTCCGTCAGATGCCTATGTGTCTTCTTGTCTTTATAGAAATACCTTGCCGTAAGTTATTAACGCTTAGTTGTAGTAGAAGTAAGAAAGAAAAAAAACTTGTTCAGTGGAGTCACGGATGCAGTGTTCCCGATACACATAAACGTTACAATCTCTTTACATTGACATCGAAAATAATTGGGCCCTTTTTTTAAAAGACATTTCAGAGGAGACATAGATAGCCCCCCAAAAAAATGCGGTCAACGGATTATTTTAAAGAAAGATCCCCCCTGTAACAATAGTCTTTCAGCCATGATTATATGCTGCAATTTTTCATATTCTGATGCATATTTGTCTAAAAATATTTCAATGTACCGGTACCAGAACGTTCTGCGTTACATTTTAGATCCAACAGATGAAGTCCATGGTGTTGCTTTCTGTATGACGAAAGATTCTATTGAACAAATGGACAGGGTTGAATCTGGTTACAACAAAGCGCAAGTAACACTTGAAGCTTACGATGGTCGCAAACTAGATGGATTTGTCTACGTGAACAAACCGTCCGCAGTTTCAACAGAAACTCACCAACCTTCCAGTAGATATGTCGGTGTTCTGGTTAAAGGTGCTAAACAAGCGGGTCTTAGTAAATCGTACATAGAAAATCTACAAAAGGTACTTTTTTCTTTATTTTTTGAACGTGACGAAGAAGGATGGCAAATTGGTTATTTAAGTTGAAGCCCGATCATAAGAATCTTTGATAGTGTAACTATTCATAACCAAATTCTCATATATAACAAATATACACTCAAAGCATACAAAGTCTCATCAGAAGGATGATTGGTAGATAAACAAGACATTACCTTATGCTCGTCTTAGGGGGATTCCACTGCAAGGTATGCGAAACCATGACGTGGACGTAAGTAATGGACCGAAGTGTGGTTTAGAACTCGCGAAGGGGAAAGAGCTTTCCGCGTTATGTAGCAATACATGCAGAACTATGTCGAATTAATGAATTCCAAATAGGTCACTAAATTGTTGGAAATGCGGAATTCGACAATGTCAAACGTTCTAATATCAGAATAAATTTCTACTTTCAGACGGAAGTCTACAAACCATCGGCAGAAACCTTGAAACTTCGAGAATCTTTACCCAAACCAGACGACCTTCCAGCAATATCCGTAGAAGAACTAGCAAAACATGACGGGAAAGACGAGAAATTTCCAACGAGAGTCGCAGTTTTAGGTTATGTGATGCAACCGGGAAGATCTTGGTTCGGAACTCATCGCGGCAGAGACAGAACCACGAGATTTTTGATGCAATACCACGGGTTGCCGTTAGATGATAATGAAGATTTTGGAAAACCGCCATATCCACTGCTGGACTCGTTAACTGGTGACGAGAAAGAATATATTTCACGATGGATGGACCATTATTTATCTTCCTCGAATGGCAAGGCTGTTGGTTATGTCAAAGAATTCAGGGAGCAACAAAAATCTGGCCAAAGCGTTTATCAGTTGCCCAAATAGATGTGATATTGGTCATTGCGCTAATTACAGACATAAGGGAGCGTAGCGCTATAGGGTTTTGATGGGGTAGAGAACATCATCGGAGTGTAGAGGAGACCATATTGAGTATTCTGAGCTCAGAGACTAGCGACACTTCCGGTTCTGAAAGTCAATGGTTGGGCAAGTCTGTCTGCTAATGATAGCATATATTAAGATTATAAACCTAAAGATTGTTTTAGATTGAAAAAATGTAAGGATTGTTGAATAAAAACACACAATATTCTGCTGTTATCTTGTTTAATTTCCCATCCTTTTTGGCTTTTTTGTTGGCCCCAAAAGAAATAGGTAGACCACTAAGGGTGCTTTACCCTCTAGGGCTGTTACAGGGCCTTTCTTAGTATCTCTAAAGGGTTTTCTATGAAGAATGCGGGTCTCAAACTCTTACACATGTGGTATGATGAGCTTCCAAAAAAGTAAGAAATGAATGGCAAATGAAGTTTCTATGGAGGGACCGAGTAGGGGACACAGAATGGTCACAGTGGCGTTTCTTCGGGGTGAGGTGAGGGGGGGAGGGGGGGGGGGGCGGTCGGTCGATGACAGCTCGGCAAAATGCCACTACGTAAGGGCAAAATAATAAATAAATAAATAACTAAATAAATGAAATACAAACTATGTTGACCGTTTAAATATTATAACATCAATATAAACAAATATTTTACAATAATATAACATTCTTTAAAATAAATACGGTAATCTTAACTACCTGTCTAGTATGGAACATCTGTCTCTATTCCAGCAGATAACTCGACTTCCTCAACTCTGTATCTTTTTTTGAAATACGGATTTTTTCTATCCTACTTAATCACAGACGGTAGTGAAATATAAGTTAAAATGAGGCTAAGAGGTCTGGGTGAATTTGATATACATTATTAAAAAGAAAGACACTACTAAAGTTAGGGAGTAAGAGGTGTTACTTTGTACTAATGACAAAGTTACGAAAGCACAGGCACAGTACTTAAGTTTTAAGTTATTTAATTTGAATAAACAAAGTGTCGTTTCAAAAATTTCTTCATTTGCCTCCATTACACTACAGTCTATTCTTTTGTTCTATGATCAATATAAAATGTCAATTAAAAGTTTCTACAGCTCCATTGGTGGTGGTGGGGAAAGTTTTAATTGAAAACTCTCGTGATTAAAAATGGTGGATTTGGTACGAGTATAATCCGTGCGAGATTGTTCTGGTTTGGAAAGTTCGGTCATTATAGCAAGCTGAAATAGAAGATAATAAATTGATATACTGAACAGTTTGTAAAACTCAAATACACCAGAACGGAAATATGCGGATAAATTGATGTGTACTTACTCTAGATTTAGTCTTCATGGACTTTCGAATATACTCAAAATCTTGGGCATGCTGTGGATCCATCAGATTCTGAAAGTAGATTAATCAAGTAACGATGGATCAAAATGAATGAAGGTCATAAACAAACAGGATAACCCAACCTTGTACAAGAATTATGTCAGCATTAGATAATCATATCTTAGAACAACATTCAAAATTTTTTCAGAATTTGTGACCATTATTATTATTTTTGGACAGTGTACAAACCAGACTTCACAGTTTTCAGATATAAAATTTATTCCTACCTCTCTTGATTTTTGAGATGACGTCTGTGTAGCCTGAGGATTAGAAAGGTATCTATGAAATCGTGAACTCTGTAGTCTACCAGTCTTTCGAGCATTATTACACGTAAAACACACCCACGTTTCAAATCCTTCTATAACGTGAATTGATCCTACAGAACGTAAACATTGCAGATGGTAACTATGGCAACACCTGAAAATATATACATATATTAGAAAAAAAATCAAGTTTTAAATCACTTAGTTTTTTAGTAATTCTAGAGCATGATCAGTAAAGATGGAATTTTGTTTACATAATGAAATCATTTTTGTCATATGATTGGTGTAATCATGAATTTTAAGATAACACATTGTAATGAAAAACTGCTTCTGATTCTCATGTGAAGGAAGAATCCAAAAGAGATTAAAAAACACTTGCATATTATAAGCTTTCTGCAAAGAAATTCCAAACGCACAATTCTTCAGCCAAATCTTAATCAGAACCTTTGCAGAAATACATCTTTTTACCAAAAAACACAAAAAGTAAAGTCTTCCAAACAAGCAATTTATACGACATGAAGTATGAAATTAACATTCACCTAAAGACTATAACATTATCAGAATCAGTTGAACTTGTAAATGATCTGTCACATAACTGGCAGTTCTCTCCCCTTGGTACAAACCCTTTATTAGCAGCCTTCGTTAAGTTTCTCATATGAACATGTAGATCGTGATTCAACAGATTTTTACACGTCTTCATTAGAGTCTGGAAATATTGTAGGAATGATAAATTAACAGAAGAATTATGGCCCTTTGAAAAAGCTCTAATATTAAAAACACCAGTGGCAGTGTCAGCCTACAGACTGGGGGTACAAACAGGGGGCAGACTGACTTTATGAGGGTACAACTGTCAAGGCTGAATTTCACAATGTGGCAGCAAGGTCTAAGCCTCCAATAGAGCACCTGAGAGGGTTCTTTCCTAGGAAAATTTGAAAAATATAATTGACTTTGTGCATTCTGATACATATTTTGGTGGAAATATTTGAAAAATGATCTCAAATTTGTTACAAATAATATGGGGATATAATTAAGGATGCAAACTATTTTTCTATAATGTGTTTTGACAATTAGATTAATTCATACCTGTTCATAATTATAGTTATCTAACATTCCTATTATTAATTCTTTTACTTCACCAAATTTACCCGTATTATACGCTGGGTCCTGAAATTCATTCATTTATCATAAGATAGAGATATCGCTCTAAAATATCTCTCAAAAACTGAGATAACCCTGTAATTTGAGTTGCTTAAGTTATCCACTGGGAATATAATATCTTTCCAATACAATATCCTCATCAGTATAGCTTGTTTGGAAATTGAAGTTAACTTTCTAATATAAAACTTGAGGTTTATGAGAAAAGTACAAACCTGGACAATTTTCTGCAGTATTGCAGGAGGAGAAATGTATCCCATCATACTGTTCAAAACATGGCGGGTCATCTCTTTAAAATCTACAAAAAATCAAAGAAAATGTTTTCAAACTATGGAGGGATCTTTAATGTACATAGGCTATAGCATACAGACAGGGCCTTGGATTATTGACCCATCCCAACCCATGCTAGGATTAAACCCTGACATTTAGGTAAGAGAGCAATTGTGTAAACCACTGAGCCAGCAATATATCAGAGCAAGGAAGGCTTAAATTCATCAGACAGCATGAGACTTCAGATAAGACAAGCATAAACTTAAAATACCTTCTAATATTTGTTTATCCACATGATCTTTCAATTTTCTTAAAGGTGACATGATTGCTTCTAATAACGGAAACCATAGAGACTGAAAAAGAATTGAAAACACATTGAGGGCCTACATAAAATCATGAGATATTTTACAGCAGCTTATTGTTACATTGTGGTCTGGATTTGAATTAATCCCTTCTTAACAAGAGTTACTTCCCTTCTAGTCAAATAGAGTTACTTGCCCTTGTTGTCATGTGACAAAAATTAGAAAGGCCTTAAAGGAGAGTAATAAATCTTGGCAAATCTGAGATACTTTACAACACAAGGGAAAGATTTCCAACGCAATTTCCATCAATAATATGATAAATGTGCATTAACAAGGTCATAGAAAAGTTAATGTATTAGTTCAGAGAGGGTTTTGGCAATTCTGACTTAGGAGAATCAGAAACTTTTACACCATAGCCTCCTTCAACTTACCTCTCTACCACTTTCATCCATTTTACCTGAGTTTCTCTGACAGAGTTGTATAATCACTAATAATACAGCTTCTACTTCAGCAAATAACACTTTATTATCTACAAAACAATGTTATATCTGGATTATAGATGGATTCAGATGGATGTATCAAGAGTTTAGGGTCTCCATTGTAATCTAACAAGTTTTCTACCACAGTCCAGTTCTAATGACTTACTTTTAACCAATCAAAATGTGTTATGAAGAACCTGTTTCTTGATAACTAGGATGAATTGTGGGATAGCTAAACCAAAAGCAGTGCATTATGATAGTCTTTTTGGATTTTGCTATCCCACATTTCATTTCGTCCTACATGACACATTTTGATTGGTTAAAAATAATGTCGTTAGAATGCAACTGCAGTAGAAAACTTGTTACAATGACAACGAAAAATATCAGAAAAAAAACTTATCTAGACAATAATTGGGTACGGTATTCAAGTTGAGACAAAAAATTACTCACTAATAGTTTGTTCTGTTGATTGTACACTTTGAGTAAATATTTTCAGTTTATATTGCACACTCTGAAAGGGTAAAATTTCAGAGATTAAATTAAACCTTTTAAATCTCCTGGGTCAGAAAACACAAAGTTGTTTCACGTTAACCAAAATCCATAATGCACTATTTTGCAGTATTTATCAAATTAAAATTTTCTGACTGGCGTATCTAAAATGTCTGCTAGGCAATGAAGTTGCCATGAGTTCAAATCTTCCTCAAGTAAGTAAAATTGACATGGAAGCTTCTGAAAGTCTGTCTAGTGTCGGCTTTCCAACACTATCATCATTATATGTGAAAAAAGTCAGTTAGTAAAATGAGAAATTTTATTTTGCATTGTTGCATCAACCTCCTTTGCTCTTGAATAAGTTCACAACATACAGTTTTATTCAGGTACAATGTAGATAAAATACAATAAAAGAAAGAAAGAATATCTACCTCTAACATAATTCTAAAAGCACCGTGTATATCTCCTGCCTTCTCCAGTAAATAAGCTGTAGCCTCGGATACTTTATATTCACGACAAATCTATAATTAGAAAAATTATTCAAATTAGATAAGTGGATGAGATTCCCCTAATTTGTAAACAGATCTAAACTATTGTATTTGTTACTTCTAGGAAGTGAGAAGTTTCCAACTAGGAAATATATTGTAAGATGATCAAAACTTTACTTTTGAAAATACTAATAAATCTGAACAGCACATGCAGATACATGTAGATTAGTATCATGTCACATCTGTCCATTATATTTTTCAGATTGGCTACATTGTTCTGTAACAAATCTGAAAATAGGGTTGCTCAATAGCTACCCAAAATCTCCATAGGAAGGCACTCCTCCCCAACAGTTACGTTACTGCTTTGGTTGCTGTACATATACCTCGTTTTCGGACTGGGAAATATGACCTCCAAAATATTTTTTGTTTCTGCAATCACTGTGGTGCGACAGTTTTAGTTCTAGGTTTTGATAATAAAAGCTAGTTGTCCAATATAGAACTTATCAGCAAGTTGTTTTTAGGTTAGGTGCGCATTATACTCGCAAATATACAGTATACTTACAGCAAGTGTTTCTTCTAGTCTATAACCTTCAGTAGCTTTAATAAAATTATAAACTTCACCAGGTTTAAACTGACACATCAATGAAATATATTTCTCAACAATTTCAGCTTCTATATTTACTTGTTTATCTGGATTGATAGCACTTCCTTGGGCATCTCTAAAATATAACAATACTGTATAATGCTGAGTGTAGTACACACCATTTATGGGGGACAAACCTTTATATAATTTTCAGTGCCAGTGGGGAACAGGGGGTACATCTCTCCCCCACCCTAAAAAAATTTTCTGTACTCTCAATTGTACCCCACTTCATTTCTAAGTAATTTTAATTTTGATTTCTGTATGTTTTTGCCCTAAAATGTGTCGGAATGGATCAAACCAATGTTATTTTTGAAAAATTTCTCATGGGTTTAAGTAGGGAAAGAAAAGGGTGTGAGCCCCCTTGTCAATATAATTCATAGAAACCCCCCTGAATCAACCCAGTGCTTACCTATAAGAAATGACTCCTTGTAGAAACTCAAACAATAATGTAGGTTTGGATGATAGTTTGTCTACAATATCTTTTAAATTACTAGCTAGGCTGGTGATGACAGTATGGGCTGCCTGTTTACAGTCTATAGACACTAAATCTTCTAAACTTTTCAATGCTTCCCTTCTAACACTGTTCTTCTCACTCTCTGTTCTATCACTGTCTATAATACTGGTTATATAGTTGAAGGCATGGTACTGAAATGAGTGAATGAATGAATGAATGAGTGAAGGAAAGAATGGATGAATGATGGTAGAATGGTAATACATGTATAGTTGAAGGTATTCCATTTAAATGAGTGAAAACATTCATAAACTGTATTGAAGGTACCGGTATGTATCACTGTTGGGGGACCTTGACTTTGAAAGGCGGGTATCACTGTTGGGGGACCTTGACTTTGAAAGGCGGGTATCACTGTTGCGGGTGACCTTGACTTTGAAAGGCGGGTATCACTTCGAAAGGCAGAGTCTAGGCCTACATGCCTTGGCCATGTTTAACAAAACTCTTGATTAAGAGGAATCCAGATTTTAAAAAATATAGTAATTTGATTGGTTAATTAAGCTAAATTTAAAACAGATTTTAATGATTGACCAATCAGATGACTGCAGCACTAAAATCATCTTAAGTTGGAATTTCGTGAAACTGTCCTCTTATTTTCTTCTTTGATATCAAAATATTGATAGACCTCCATCTTCACAGTTTCATTTGAGTCCTTACAGTTACAACCATTTTTTTTAAACCATAGCCAACTCTGTTATAATATAATGCTCATAATAATTCTCATTATTAACAGTATAAAGACATGTAAAGAAAAGTAACTTACTCTTCTTGATGGGTCCTTTAAATAGCATGATAATATTTTATCATATTCTCTTCTCTTCTCATATAAATATTCACAGACACGATAGCTGAAAAATAGAACAAACACTTTAATATTCATCCATGTACTTAACGTTGGTTGATTTTGACGTAATATCCAAATTGTTTTCTAATCAATTTTTCAGTAATTTCAAATATCCCACCCAAAAACACAAGAAAATCAAAAGGAAAGATCTGCTTAATCAAATAACAAAAAAAAATGTTAGATCTCTATTTATTAAATGAATCTGTAGAATTAATGAAATTCAAATATTTATGTAAATACCTTAAAGTACAATCAAATTTTACCATAGTCGTGAAATAACAAATTTGACTAGACACTAGATATCTTTGGAATACTTTTTCGCAAAATCAAAATTATAGTTTATACTCACAATTTAGCATTTTCAGCCAGTCTGAGTAATTTATCTTCGTTAAATTGTTTCAGACCACCAGCGTGTATCAGTTCCATCAGAGCTTGTTGACGTTCTTCATGACGTGATTCATCTTCTGGGTTCGACAAGAACTCCAACACCTGAACATTTCAAAAATAAAAATAAAGAATTTATAATCATTAGCAATATTGCAGTGGTACAAAATAGCTTAATCATGCTGCTCACAGCCAAAAGTAAATCATCACCCTGAAGATCTGATGAGTGGCTTAAAAAATCTGTTACTTTTGATTAAATGCAGCTATTAAGAAGATCGTGAACTGTTCTATAGAGGACTTTGATAATAGTTGCCTTATAATAAACCTTCACCAAGTCATGTAATTTAGCAAACAACAGCAATGTGGATCGATCTAATTCTGTATTCGTTAATTCTTAGGAATATGGCAAATGGGAAGTCTCTCTCTGTAGAAATAACATTCAAACACAATAGAAATAGGTTGTATTTCCTAGTGGGAAACTTGGATATTTTGTAAGCAACCAAAGTTTGCGAGAAATAGATTCAACACTATGACCTAAGAATGTTAATAAAATCTCAATGTACCTGTTCAAACAAGACTCTATTTACAATTATAGTATTTTCATGTCTAGCCATCTGTCTTGCTAGGAATGTAAACAATACTCCAACTTGGGTCGGCTGAAATAAAACAGTCAAATGTTTATAACTGTGTACACTTGTGTAAAGAAAGAAAGAAAAGAAGAAACAACCATTTTTACACCTCAATACAACTTTAGTTCATGAGCAGTCTACCAGTTGGTCCTTTAAAAAACATCAAAACAACTAAAAACAACAAAATAAACAACAAACAACTCTTATTTGATTAGAAAGATTCAGTCGTCCATTTTTATACAATTTGCCACCGGGATCCTGTCTATCAGTTAGTCCTTGGTCAATGCTCTTGGCATTCATCTTCCCTGAATTATTCATCCTCAATAACACCTGGGTCATTGTACCTTATTGCAATGATGAATTTTAAAACTCAACGTAACATTTCAGAGAGTTCTACTGTAATCTACATCTTAGGAAATGAAATGGGAGTTTCACATGTCTCTCCTCTCCTCCTAAACTGAGAACAGATGTAAAAAATCTAACTTAGCAGAGTGTTTTGATTGAAACTAACAACTTACAGTAAATCCAACACTTTCTACCATAATTTTCAATAAAATATCCACTAATCTCTGGCGCTTCTGAACTCTGGAATAAAAATCAGAATAGAATAAATTACAATAAGACACAGTTCCATGTATTTAAAAAGAAATATTTAATCCAATTTTACAGTAAGAATGTTCATTTCCTGATAATTAATGATACACATGTATTTGAAGGCTTAAATTTTGACATTTAGCTATGAACATCATTATTGATTAGCTTAGCTAAATGATTTCAGTTTCTGAAACTTAGGTATAATAGATAATGCAGATAGTGAACTTCCCCTTTAAGGGCTTTATTAGATAATTTTCTCTATTTTTACCAATAGATTAATGAATTATTTACCCTCGTTCTGTGTTAAATTCTGATTCTTCAAATGCCTGAAAATAGAAGAAATCAAATCAACCATTTATATTCCTAATAAAACATGCAAATCAAATGAATTCAAATCAATGTTAAGCTGTTGAGGTCAGCTATATAGATTTTCCTACTCCCTTTTTCATTACACAACAATGAAGGCTTGCAACCTACAGCCTACAGCCATAGGTTTTTCATCTTATTGAAAACTTAGTAATTTTTCCCAAGCCAGGCTCACCAAATGGCCTAACCAACAGAAGAAAACAGGGTAGAATTATCCAAAAGTATTCTGCAACTACATGTATATTCTAAATGATGTTGAAATGAAAATTACAAGGAAGAGCACATGAAAGTAAAGAATTATGTTAAGTAAAAGAACATGAAAAACAAAAGGAAATAAATTAGATTACATACCAATGCTAGAACATTCAGGAATTCTCTCGTATCAAATTGTAATAATGTTCTAAGATGAGGATAGGTTGGTTCTTCTGATCCTGGTTTCTTAGTATGTAGACATGTGATACACTCAAATACCTACAATAGCAAGAAAAAACATACTAGATATTATAAACCATATATTTATGAGTATATTGCACAAATGTTTACACCAAATGTAGATTTGACAAACTGGGGTGCAATTTTGACAGTGACAAAAACTTTTATGCACATATACTTGTGTGTATAGTGCTCAGTTTTTAAACCTAAGTAAGGCGTGTGAAACTGGGGGTAAACATTTAAATCTGAAATCCATAGATAGTGACCAAAACATGTTCAAATTTTTTGCCAGAAGCTCCCCAGTCAATGTATCAATATCAATATCGTTATTTTTTCAAGCTGATCCCTGGCCAAAAGATAACTATTCGGGGTCACCAGACTTTCACATTCCGACTGAGACAAGAACCCTGACCACCATTTCTTCGATGTAACCAAGGAAATGATGTCAAGTAAAGTTTACAGCACTCTTTAACTGACTGTGCAACAGAACTAAATAAATAATCAACAGCCCCCTTAGAACCTTAACTTCAACTGGACTTACCTTATTTTTAACATCTTCTATATGATCTGTTGGTATATCACCCAGAGGATAGGCTCGACCAGCCAAACAACAGCTAATAATAATAATATAGAAATACAGTTATTAGATATAGGTAAACTATCAACAGGAGATCACAGTCTAATATAGACTCTAAAACTTCAAAAGTCCTTTGCTGAAAGGGAGAAGGTTTAATTTTTGAAACCTATCTTGGATTGGATCGGGCATCATAAATTTTCTGATCTTGATTCGGTTAAAGAAGACAATGCTATTTGTGAGTCTATTGAACGAAATCTTTTGTGTCTTTGCATTTATTTAAAAAACGAGGGTATATCAAAGATGTACGTCACGGAAAAATGATAATTTAAAAGATTTACCTTATATACACTAATAATTTATTTCCTAGTTTAATTTGATCATCTGAAAGTTGAAAATAAACTTGATTTCATGTTTCATGAAAAATTAGATTTAAAGATACCTTGCCAGGCAAGGTAATATACGCCCACTGATAGCTTTGTTTGAAATTGAATATTTGTTAGATAGCGAACATAGACACCAGGAAATATTCAACTTATACCCAAATCCATCACAAACTGTGCCATCACGCATTTTCAAGAACAAGGGCAATAATTCATACTTAATATTTTTCGATTTCGCTGATTTTCAATAGGGTCTATCCTTGGGTGATAACGAACACTCATACCAAGTTTCGTCAAAATCTGTCAAGAATTGTGCCTTCTAGAGTGTTTACGAGCTAAAAATTAAACGCGTTTGCAAGAACAAGGGCAATAATTCATACTAAATATTTTTCGATTTCGCTGATTTTCAATAGGGTTTATCCTTGGGTGATTACGAACACTCATATCTGTCAAGAATTGTGCCTTCTAGAGTGTTTACGAGCTAAAAATTAACAAGGGCAATAATTCATGCTAAATATTTTTCGATTTCGCTGATTTTCAATAGGGTTTATCCTTGGGTGATTGCGAACACACATACTAAGTTTCGTTAAAATCCGTATAGAATTGTGCCCTGTAGAGTGTTTACGAGCAATTGTGGACGGACAGACGCACCGACGGACATGGGTGACGACAATATACGCCCCCCATTTCATGTGGGTGTATAAAAATACTTCAAATCTATGCACCATTTTATATTTATACACAAGATTCCACACATTATATATTATACACACAATGCTTTCAAAACAATTCTAAAAAATACACAGAAAGGAGTAACACAATCTTACTTGACAATGGCTTGCCTGCAGATACAGCTTCACTTAGTAACATTAACAGTTCCTCTAATGGAGTAGCATAGTCCAGCATTCCTTGATTATATACATAGATAATGGCATCATATAGACCATGACCCCAGCATAGATTAACAACCTAAAAATAATCAGATTTCATGCCAGCTTGCCTTAATTTGGTGCATCAGATTTCACCAGTATATAATCAAAATGTGACCTTTATGCATCTGAGAACCAATTCTTAATATGTCATAATGTGTCAAGGGCAATAACTCAAAATTACTTAAATGAAAACTTTAAAAATCAAATTCATTTCATTCAAGATAACCAAAATAACCAGAGCTGGGAATAAGTTTATAGATAACAATGCAGAAAAACTTCCCTAATTTAGAAAATGAACTCTTCTACATCTCCAAACCAAAGTATCATATCAATTGAAAATATGCACCTGTGGAAGAGTTCATTAATTGACTGAGGGGTGAGATCTAACACGTTTTCTACTACATCCCCGTTCCAATGACATTATTCTTAACCAATCAAAGCGTGACTTGTAAAACCCATTTCTAGGCTGAAAAGATACCTGATGTATATCAAGACTGGCTATATCTAAATGAACTATACAGGCTTCTACACTATCTAACATCCCCTTCTCTTCATAATTACATACAAAATCTTTCATCACAGCTGGTGGGATGGCGCATAATTTATCATTTAATATATAAGGTTCTAAACATTCTAGAAAGGTTCCTTTAGCTATTATATCTTCACCGAAACGTTCGTATATTCTACCAAATAATACGTCACTGTAATGGAATGTATACAATGTTTTTATGATTGGCTACGTCTAAAGAGACATTATTTTTTAGTCTAAAGAATTGTAAATTTTATGTGAAAAGATTTCTGAAACATATTTATTTGATCAACTGAATTTGTTCCGAAGAGGGGAAATTAAAAAAGAGGTGTGTAACAAATGTAAAGTAAGCAGTTTACACAAACTAATTCCAGAAAACTTTCAAATAAATCCCTTTATGTTTTGGCAAGTTGTAAATTTGTATAAGTTATAATTTCTTACGTTCTGTTGAGGTGAAGACAATAATCTACACAAACTGGTACTATTTCCTGAAAATAAACCAAATAAGAAACATTTAAAAAATAACGAAATTTAGAACAGAAAAGCCAACTCTTTTTCAAATCTCATCTGTTGACGGATCTTTATACATACAGTACCTCTAGCACACGGGACCTCCGTTAAATTATTTGAATGTCATGTGACAAATATGAGATATGGAAGTAAAGGTAGGAAGAGACAAGGTATGGTGTCCAATTAGGCATACAGGATTATCGATACAGTAGAAATCAGAAGGATTATCGATACAGTAGAAAACAGAAGGATTATCGATACAGTAGAAAACAGAAGGATTATCGATACAGTAGAAATCAGAAGGATTATCGATACAGTAGAAAACAGAAGGATTATCGATACAGTAGAAAACAGAAGGATTATCGATACAGTAGAAATCAGAAGGATTATCAATACAGTAGAAAACAGAAGGATTATCGATACAGTAGAAATCAGAAGGATTATCGATACAGTAGAAAACAGAAGGATTATCGATACAGTAGAAAACAGAAGGATTATCGATACAGTAGAAAACAGAAGGATTATCGATACAGTAGAAATCAGAAGGATTATTGATACAGTAGAAATCAGAAGGAACCATTCACTACTTCTATTTTCTCCTGTTTAGATAATCCGGACTTTAAGTCAATCAACCTTATTACGTATGCTTGATCCATGGTTTAATATTTACCTGATAGTATTCTTCTAGTGCCTCTATTTTACCTTTATCAGGACATAGCTTAGTCATTGATAAATCTACATAGTCAAATAATAACTCTAAAATCTAAAATATATAAAACAAACCCTACTTACGATGGAAATCAACAGGGAGAGAACAGCTAATTTACCAGGGAAAAACGAAAAAGGGTGTTCATCTGAGATAGTTCCTAAACTTCGGAGCTGTTTTCCTTATGTCTATTAAAATTGGGACTATGCTATACTGTACATAGCATAAAATATAAAAAAAATATCATGAAATGAAAGTCAAGCAACAAAATCACCTCCAAAACAGGAGAGTCAACATTATCTCCCTTTACTTACCAAATGAGAGACAATATCTCTACGTTTTGAGGAGGAACTAGTTAAGCTAACAACAGCTTTAGCTTTACCATCGTAGAAAGATAGAGCTAAACTTAAAGCTTCATGGTATTTATTCTGTTTCACCAATACATCTATTCTCTGTCCAAAAAAAAAACAACAAATATAAACCATGAGTCACAAATTAAAATCACAAGAGGAAGACAAATGCAAAATTCAATAGATTCTCTTTCTTTACTCATTAAAAACTCGTCCTCAGTCATAGATAGACTTAGAATCGTTTATACCTGCTGGTCCTGAATTATCGTACCCATTTACAACTGGGTTGACTGGAATAATGAGTGAAAATGAATCATTCAAGTTATCAGACTTTCAAGTGCCTACCAAGCTTAGAATAGACACCACAGACACTGTTTATAAGACTTAACTTAGCAAATTATGTCAAACGCTATAGAACCTCACGGATTATGGACGTGTTGGAGTCAACCACAGTAAAAACACAAAGCAAAACATCAAGATTTGCATTCTATAAGATGTTTGAAATCTATCAATGTATCTTGAAAATAAACGAACCTCATTCCATGATCTAATATTATAAACACTGACAGTTTTAGTTCCCAATGTAAATAGTTGAGAGGAATGTGATACAATAGATTGATAACACGCCTGTTCTCCAGCATACGCCTATAAAACAGACACAACAAAAGATTTATTCATGTTATATAATAGTATTGATTTCACATGATTACAAAATACACAAAATAACACTTAATGGCTAAAGTCAGACATCACTGGCAAGTAAATTAATGAAACTTGTGCAAGAAAGGTTAACAACTCTTGTTATTCAAGTGATTTGGTGCCATATTTTCAAATCCTCTGAATGAAAGTGTTGACTTTCTAAAGAACTAGAGAATGTTACCTACCAGCGCCTGGCTGACGTTCCCACCAGTAGCTAGCGATTTAAAGAAACTCGATCCATACACCAACTGTACATCACTAATATCTATTACCTTTAAAACAAAATATACAAATTATCACTGAAGATCAAAAGAAAAAGAAAAATAAGAACTGTAAAGTGTTTGTATGGGTATTTATGGATTTAATTTCCATCATTCCAATATTCCATCAGATGTCTGTGGTTCCTGTAATTCCACAAGTACTTAACCATATCATGTCAATATGAAAAAGCTAATTAAAACTTTAAAAGCACTTTCTATGATGTTTTATTTCGTTTACTATTACTGCACTATTTTGTAAAACAACTTTGTGTCTAAAGTTTGGACCTTTGATTGGCATTTACAACTCACCTCTAGCTCCTCCTCTGAGCGTACATCTATGACATGTAATTTCTCTGTTTTATCAAGCGTTACTAGAGTTCTGGCATTCATCCACTGAAATTTATATGATAACTTATTCCTTGATAACGTTACCTGTATGTATTTCTAAACCTAGTATATAATAAACCTAGAAGTAGTATATCTATGTATCTTGTGTTTTTAATGTTACCTGTATGTATTTCTAAACCTAGTATATAATAAACCTAGAAGTAGTATATCTATATATCTTGTGTTTTTAATGTTACCTGTATGTGTTTCTAAACGTAGTATGTAATAAACCTAAAAGTAGTATATCTATGTATCTTGTGTTTTTAATGTTACCTGTATGTATTTCTAAACGTAGTATATAATAAACCTAGAAGTAGTATATCTATATATCTTGTGTTTTTAATGTTACCTGTATGTGTTTCTAAACGTAGTATATAATAAACCTAGAAGTAGTATATCTATATATCTTGTGTTTTTAATGTTACCTGTATGTGTTTCTATACGTAGTATGTAATAAAACTAGAAGTAGTATATCTATATATCTTGTGTTTTTAATGTTACCTGTATGTGTATCTAAACCTAGTATATAATAAACCTAGAAGTAGTATATCTATATATCTTGTGTTTTTAATGTTACCTGTATGTGTTTCTAAACGTAGTATATAATAAACCTAGAAGTAGTATATCTATATATCTTGTGTTTTTAATGTTACCTGTATGTGTTTCTATACGTAGTATGTAATAAAACTAGAAGTAGTATATCTATATATCTTGTGTTTTTAATGTTACCTGTATGTGTTTCTATACGTAGTATGTAATAAACCTAGAAGTAGTATATCTATATATCTTGTGTTTTTAATGTTACCTGTATGTGTTTCTATACATAGTATGTAATAAACCTAGAAGTAGTATATCTATATAACTTGTGTTTTTAATGTTACCTGTATGTGTTTCTATACGTAGTATGTAATAAACCTAGAAGTAGTATATCTATATATCTTGTGTTTTTAATGTTACCTGTATGTGTTTCTATACGTAGTATGTAATAAACCTAGAAGTAGTATATCTATATAACTTGTGTTCTTAATGTTTACTGTATGTGTTTCTATACGTAGTATGTAATAAAACTAGAAGTAGTATATCTATATAACTTGTGTTCTTAATGTTTACTGTATGTGTTTCTATACGTAGTATATAATAAAACTAGAAGTAGTATATCTATATAACTTGTGTTCTTAATGTTTACCTTCCTACTTCTATATGTCTTACAAAGATTAAACAATACAGTACTTTAACCTATTATTATTCTCGAACACGGCAATGTTTTGTCAAGGCCTTCAAATGTGAACATCTAGTTGTACATATTGCATTCCATTTCAATTTTCAGAGGCTTTTTCTTGGCAGTCAAATTTGAAGGTCATATCTCTAACAGCATGCAGTGTGCAATTAGGTTAACTTTTGTCAGGCTAGCGGCATGAGACTACTCTCTTTCAATTTCCAACTGTGGAGTGATCTTTAAAATTTACAGCCTGTAGCACACTAGGCCCTAGTCTATTGTACCATCTGATTGACTACACGCCTTTTCCATGTTTGACCAATGCAAAAACTTCCTCTCAACACTGATTATGTGTATAGGGTGTGGTCAAATCTTTTCTCCGTTCATAAAACAAGTCCTCAACTTACATTAATACTGAGTAGTTTATAAGGAAGATCAATTTTCTGTAGACCAGAACATCTAATGTCTTGAGGACCTTTACATATAACTTGGTAAAAATATATCGTTTGATCTCGACCATAGGCTAAAACAGGGTCAATAACTCTGTCTTCCTCTGATACTTGAATGACCACAAACTGCCAAGCTAATAATGGTAATGTAGAGGCATCACCCTGAAAAATAAAACATCAACTTCAAGCCCTGACCGCTTTTAATCAACCTTTCTCCTGGCTCACTTAATACCTAGGATGGCGCTTGATTGGAGAGTTTTGAATAGGTTCCGTCTGTTCCAATTCTGCCCCCAATCGAACTGTATGAAAGCAGATATGTCACATTCAAAATATTCCCACCTATTACCTTCTCCGCCATTTTGAATTCTGTCTGTACCTACTATTTTTTCGGCAAATGTGGCATGTTTCTGAACTACATTCCAACTTGTTTTATTGAGTGTTCTGTCTTCATGAATCCCAAACGTGTAAATCTCACCAATTGAGTGTCAATTTTTGTCATCTAAAAAGAGACTTGGGAACTCTAAAAAACTCATTCCTATTTAACTTCTTGTTTATTTGTCTTAGAAAGAGAAAATAATGGTTACCTTTAATGGCTGCATGAACATTACTTTTAAATTTGGTCTTAATGTTACCAATAAAACCTGAAACAGACAAAAAAATTATTTTCATGAAACTTTTTTCTAACATAATCTGTAACAAACCTGGCTGAAACATCGGAATGTCTTGTCTTAACCCATACCAGGATTAAAACCCAGGTGTTCAGGTTAGCAAACAAGTTTCTAACACACTGAGGCATTGCAGCTCCCTTTTAGTTTGTAATAAGATAATGATTTATAAAGAAACTAAAAGCTTCACAAAGTAAAATGTGTCTGTACCTTTGATAAGGAAGCCATAGCTAGAACTGTAACATCTTGCATTGGATGATCTTTGATTGTATAGTTCATATGTAATGGTTCAATAACACACACTTCACCTCGACTGTAATATAAAACTTATTTACACCTTTCCAATTTTATGCCAGACATCTACAGTTCTTGCGATTCCATTAAAACTATGCGTTTCATGACATCACTTTCAGTGTCCCCAATTAATACAAGGTTGCTTTGAAATGCTCTTTTCAATCCCTTTAAGGTAGTGATCAATTCATTGCAATTTGTTTTGTTGAATTTTTATCATATAGTCCAGTCAGTATTGAGTTGCATTGTCGTATGGTAGACAATTAGGTCAAGTGACTTGGAATCCTACTTAGGTAAGAGAAATTCTGATACCACAGCAAGTAAATCCTGTCTCTGCTTTCACCCTTATTACTTACCTTCCAGAGAATAAACATTTCGATTCACAAGTTCTAACGCCAATTAATCTCCTAAAATATAAAGGATAAATATATAAAATCCTAGAAGTGAAAAGAAAATCAGTCCAAAGTACAAAACAATTCCACAATGAAGTTCCACTATTTTTAATCTATGTTTAGTTTACAAGTAACTTGATCTCAAATACCGGTAAGCTTATACATGTCAAGTTTTCTCTCAATGTAAGATAAATTTTGATGCCTGTGCCAGTGCTTTTGAGAGAGGAACCTGTGTCGGCTTTCACCACCTAACACCTACATACAATGTACATAAGCAAAAGCCTCAACAGTAAACACAGTGGTCTTACTTGAATTCTAGTTCGAATACTGAGCCACCACTATCACTACAAACAGCTAGAGTTAAATTATCTGTGAACTGTAACAGATAATATACTGAGATAATAGATGATTAACATTCATGGTACTTTTGTTAGATCTTGTAACTTTTACCAAGTTCATAGTAATAATATATGGTTAAATGGAATGAAGTCAAGTGAAATTGATCTACTTTGAGAAAATAGTTAATCAGTCTTGTCTAATGTTGAGACTATTAGTGGGCCAGTGAAATGGAATGGAATAATGATTACTAATCACCATTATTTCTGGCAAATTCAAATTGAAATAACATGGAAATTTGCAGTCATGCTTGCTGTTGAGAAAGTTAGTGGACAATGAAATGGAATGGTATGATGAGAACTATTCACAATTATTCTAAATTAAATTTGAAATAATATTGAAATTTGCAGTCATGCTGTCATTAGTGGGCCAATGAATGAGAATTGCATGTTCGTAGCCTACTATTTACCGCCTTATTTAACAAATTCAAACATGGAAACTTCCTACATCAGTATATATAATTAGGTTAATCCTTTCAACAAAAACTACTGTTATATCGTCCACATTAAATTATGTAATATAATCCTATGTGACTATCATGAAGTGACGTCACATAATATAAATGCCATAAGCTTTAATATATATATCTAAGGATAGGGGTATAATACGCTGCTTTTTCATTCACACCCACGCGTTCAAAGAGTTAATAATGACCAAAATAAGCTAAACCAATTCAGTAGTTTATATTTCATATCTACATACCTTCACATGTAATATAGCTGTTCCTTGTGGATGAGCATCGGTTATAGTTCTGATTAATTTACCATTGGTAAGATCCCACATGGTAATCTGCAATATAAAATATATTCTCCAGACTCCAGAATTTTATCAAATTTGTTTCTTTATGTCCAATGGATCCTATTCTGATGTTTTCTTTCGAGAAACTGAAGATCATGAAATTAAGAAATATCTCAAAGACTTTAAGCAACTTCAATTAAAGACATACCTGTCCCTTAGCGAAGCCACACAGCAGTCTGGAGCAGTCTCTATTGAAACTAAGAGCTGATACTGAACCATATTGAGAACCAACAGCAGTACTACCTAAACACCATTTTAATACTTGTTTAGGGTCTGAAATAATCAATGAATAGATTTTTCCAGAATCTTTATTATTATTTGATCTCTTTTACAATTTTAAAACCAGCCCTTTTTTAAAATAATTGTTTATGAGATATCTTTATTCTGATCACTTGTACGAAATTCCTCGTTGATGAAAGAGGTCTACATAATAACTGTTATTGCCTAATAAATATGATCAATCAAGATGTAAGGTCAGGGCCATACAATCTTGTTCAATTATTAAAACAATGCCATTCTTTCGGGCAGCTAAAACATAAAAGTTTGGAATTACTAACCAAAGACTAGAACCAAACCATGTGAACATCCAATCGCTATCAAATTAGCTACAGCCTAAAAAGATAAAAAAAGATAAACTGGGTTTATGAAAAAGATTTTACTTTAAAGCAATTGTAAAGAGAACCTTTCAAAACTATATTTGTATCTGGAACAATGATAGTATTGAATTTCACCGTTCCAATTTTGTAAATCCACTAATTGAAATGATGCAAATTGGAATCAAGAATTGATTAAGCTACAGATAAATAAGCAATAAGCGCTTTGAGCATGTCCCTCAGTGATGTGGATACTAGCGCTTTATAAATGTCCGTATTATTATTATTATTATTATTAATATAACCTCTTTACAATCCCTTTCAGGTCAAATGATTGGACTACTATAATAAAAGGGAGTTTTAGATAACAGTGTTCAGTACTAATCTGAAATGATGTAAATTTGTCATGATATGTCAAAGAACCTTTCGAACATACTAATAAGCTAACAGTTACTGGTATCAACAATTAGAAGGTCTGAATCTAGATTTACATAAACATCCTTCATGGACTTAACTATGAGTGATTAAAGATGATAATAACATACAAATACTTACAATGGCAGTTGGCATACCAGCATCAACCCTATCCTGAAAAATAACATACAGTTAATAATAATAATAATAAACTCTTTATTTTACATGGCTCAGAATTAGGTGCATTAGGACATGATCCTGTTTAACATTGAATTAGAACCACAAGGACTTGGTATTGTGTAAAAGTCAGACCATGTGGACAATACAACAAATGAATTAAAAAAAAATCGAACAATCTACACAGATATTTTGATGCACAATTTGTTTAATAATACACAAGTACATATGTATTAGATGCTAACAGATTGGAATGGTGCAAAATGGCATATCAAAAATCCTCTCTCCACAGCAAACAACTGAAGGCCTCCATAAAATCATTTAAAAACAATCTAACTTACAGCAGCAGACAATAACTGAGCAGACAAACTTTTTAACCTACATGGTCGTAAAACTGAACCATGTACTGGCTTCTTCGGTAATTTCTTCCTGAAGAGTAAAGGTGGACATACTCATTATAAAAAAATTTAAATTAGACTACAGTTTCACATGATAATCTCAGCGAGGAGCCAGGTTTACTTCCGAGGGGGGCGAGATATCTGAGATTGCCCGAATCTCTAACCTATTTATGTGATTTTTGACCGAAAAAATTGCTTTCGGGCTGCGAGGGGGGGGGGGGGGGGGGGTGTGGAAGGGGAGGAGGCTGCCCCCTCTACCCAACCTAAGGCTCCACCACTAGATAATCTACCAATAGACAGACTTGTGCAACAATATTTTTATAGACCTCATACATAGATTTTAATGTGATATTGAATTGAATTAAAGAAATTTTACACCTTGACTAAAATGTTTAATTTGTTTAAACTTTAAATGAACAAACTAGTATGGTGGCCATCATTCTCATATGGCAATAGATTGAATTCCCAATTATTTTTTTTTAAATATATGATTTTTGTTCTTTTTTTATTTCTACAATTATTTTTTTAAACTAATTTTATTTTTCTTCTTTGTTTTTCAACTTTGCCTTTCATAAATCATTCTTATAAAGTCTTGACAAACTTACTTGTCTCTTTTCCTTGGTCTATCACTAAGATAACTATCCTGACTAGATAGAGAGGAAGTCTCACCGGAATCTCCTCGGAATGTTTGAACAGCAGACGGTATATCTTCCTCATCTAAAACTGATACTCCATCTTCATCCTTCAATAACAAAAAATTTGAAAAAAAAGTAGAAAAAGCTCTGTATAATGTAAAAAGATAGCTTGCCAGACAACGTAATATATGCCCACTTGCAGCTTTTATCTTATTATAGATTAAGAATATTTGGCAGTACAATATCAATCAATGATAATGGATGATTTCAAGTAATGTCAAAATCTGGCAAGAATTGAGCCTTCTAGAGTGTTTACAGGCTAAATATTGTTTTCAAGTATTATATCTCATATTTTTGAATTTTTGAATAGGCTTCATTCTTGGGTGATTACGAACACTTCTACCAAGTTTCATCAAAATCCGTCCAGAATTGTGGCTTCTAGAGTGTTTACGAGCAGTTATGGTCGGACAGATGACACCAATGTGTGCTCCACATTTCATGTACGCATATAATATTAAAATCAGGGGAAAAAAGGTGAGAAATCAATCTTACCTCATTTAAAATACTCTCCAATGTTGGTGCTTTTTCAACTGTTGGTAAATCAAACTCGGCATCATCCAACTACAAACAATAAAAGACCGTTAACTATAAGGTGAGCAGATTGTACAACCTTATTTGGGCTACCATAATAAGTGGAATGAAATGAATGGAGTATTACGTCCTACTTGTTCGCACCTGATTGAAGACTGGCAACATCAAGCAGTGTGTAATGTGGAAAATTTTGCAAGGACATTGACATTAACTCTTTTTTTTTGTCGATTTTGACTGTTCAGGGATCACTGAGCCTCAATTTATTGTTCCATCTGAAGGACCAGACTAGACTAGACGTTTTGCATATTTTCTATCATCTAACAGTGCAAGAACTGGGTTACAACTACAAAGGCATTTAGTGATTTAAGTGTGGTCCAACACTAATTAAATCCATTAAACCATAATACATACAGATATGGTATTTTTTTTTAAATCGACCAAAAGCAGTTCTTAGCTGTTTACGATTTAGCCCCACCCCCTTATTTTGACATCGATAAAATCTTAATCCAAATTCACTGGCCGTGATTCTGATATGATAATCACAGATCGATATCCTAAGATGCTGATACATATTACCAATTCAATGATAATCACCTCAGGGATGTCAAAACTCATGTTGTCAACATTTAATTGGGGTTGATTGTTTTTTTCAGCTTCATTTTCCTCCATCTTGCTAAGGGAGATAACTCTTAGTTATTATGCTCCTAAAAGGGAAATGTCAAATTGACGTCTACTTTTTTCTAATAAGTTGTTTTCTCGAAAGAAATTGATTTTTCAATTTTCATTTTTAATCGAAGAATACTCTTTATTGCCAATTTCAGAATTGCCATTCAAAAAAATGCAAATTATCAGAAATCATTCTAAAGAGTTATATTTTTATTTGAGTCTGGATAATCATACAAAAGGAAATTCCCTATGTCTATAAATAGACATTTTCCCTTTCACTTACTTGGAATTTTGGGGAAGTTGTTTTTATCAGATGAATAACATGATATTTTGAAAACAGATCGTATGTATTTGTCTAGTTGTATTTCAATAAAGTAGAACTGCTGACTTTTGCCGAACTTAGAGTTGGCTACTGGCCTAAGACTTTTCATATTCAGTCAGTAGCCTAACTAATCGGATTCTTACTTCAAAATAGACAGGACAAGGACAGGCAAAGTAAAGTACCGGTAGGCTCTCTCTGACTCATCTAAAACTGTAAAGATCAAAATTAAATGTTAGGTCTATATTGAATTTTGTTGTTAGGCCTATTATTTTGAAATACTAGTAGGTAAGTAGGGGCCTAGTCAATTTTAACAGTAGCCCGATAAATCTTGCCCAACCCAATTCTTCAGAACAAATTAGAGATGATATCTAATCGAAATCTAATCGAGTAATTGTGTTGGACAGTTTTGACTGGGATGCTGAATTGCATTAAAAAAGGGTCATTAAAGGATTGGCCCGCTAGTTAAGTAAATAGACTGCAATTAGATGTATGGTACGGAAGTTACCTTGAAGATATACTCTCTGATTAATTCAGTTACTGACAGTTGTCATATTATTACGTTTTGTAAATCTTTATGTTTTGTTCTAGAAATTCAGAAGAGTAAAAAGATGACAAGTAGAGATTTAGAAGAAGATGCGGACCAAGAGCTTTCAAATTATCGTCAAAAACTTGTCCAGTTGGACAGTGAATTGGACTCTGACAATGTTAAATGTTTAAAATATTTATGTTTCGATGTGATCCCAGCTTCGAAATTAGAAAAAATTACACAAGGAACTGATTTATTTGAGTTGCTGGAGCAGAAAGGTTTTTTAGGGAATGGCAACTATTTTTTTCTAGCAGAATGCCTGAGTAAAATTGGTAGAAGAGATCTATCAGAAGTTGCATTAGACCATAATGTATTAAATACTACCATTGAAAATTCTGGTCCTCAATTACCAGCTCATAGGTAGGTAGACCTGTAAACTATTTCAATGTCATTTTGATTTGAGTTGTTAGCCTATGTTTATTCTTATTGTTTTAGGCTGGTACACTAACGTGATGGTTCATGATTTAAAAGTAGCCATATTTTGACAAATTTCAATATTTTGATAATTAATGCTCATTTCAGGAATTTAAATGGTGATATAACAATTGCTTTCTCACATTCCCCATAGATAAATTTATATCTAGGCTCCAGACTAGCTTCAAGATTCATTCATTCATTCCGCAAATTTTTGGTCACTCCTGAAAAGGTTAAATGACTTGAATGACTTGTTTAGTTGCTATAGTTGAGTCTCCCCTTTAAAACTTCTCTGGGACCCTGGACTAGCAATGGGCCTGATTTCTTGACAATATGGTTTTAGAATCGGTGTAGAAACTTGTGTCATCAGCTTGACGTGACTGGCAAATAGCAGTTAATAACAACCCTGTTTGAATTTGTTCTCTTCAGATCATTATGGTTTGATATCAGTGAGGATCTGGATGCTGAAGAAGTCTGTAAATGTCTGTATTACTATGGAGATGTACCAAAATCTAAAAGAGGTGGCATCAAATCTGGGATCGATTTCCTTAATTTCTTGGAAAAAAAGAAGAAAATTGGCCCTGACAATATGGACTACTTACTGGATGTTCTAAAGACTATAGAGAGAAACGATCTGGTTCAAATGATACAAAAATATACAGGTGGGTTTTTTCATTAATTTTAGCAAGGTTTCAATTCACATACAGGAATCTATATCAAGCACAAAACAAGTATTTAATTTTGTATCTTCTTCTAAATGTTATTTAAAGATTTTATTTTAATACGCCCACATGAAATGTGGAGCGTATTTTGCCATCAACCATGTCCGTCGATCCACAATTGCTCGTAAACACTCTACAAGGCACAATTCTTGACTAATTTCCATGAAACTTGGTGTGTGTGTTTGTAATTACCCAAGAATGAACCCTATTGAAAATCAGAAAAATCAAAAAATAATTAGTATGAGTTATTGCCCTTGTTCTTGAAATGCTTGTAAACACTCTAGAAGGCGCAATTCTTGACAGATTTTGATGAAACTTGGTATAAGTGTTTGTTATCACCCAAGGATGAACCCTATTGAAAATCAGAAAAATCAAAAAATAATTAGTATGGTTATTGGAACTATTGTTCAAAAGAAGTGTAAAACTGTAGGTTGATTATTTCATACTGATTTTTTATTCAAAATCAAAGCTGCCAGTGGGCGTATATATATTACCTTGCCTGGCAAGCTATCTTTATCAATTTATCAATATCAATGTTTTCATTAATTCACAGGTCGAATTCCAAGACAAGTTCCATTCAGACCAATTTACAGACCTCCCCAACCCACCATGGCAGCTCAGCAGTCTAATGATGAGTTGGAATCTTTTAAAGCAAGAGAAAAGGAGAAGATGCCACCTGATGATGATTTCGACTCATGGAAAGAGAGAGAAATGGAGAGCATACCACCGGATGATGTTGACTTGTGGGTGGGGCTAGGGAGAGAGAGGATATCTGGGGATTTTATAGCCGGGCCACCACCAAAATCAATTGGTCCACAATCTTACAGTATGACATCTCCACTCGGTTAGTACTTGTTATGTCATGAATTTGAATATGAAATCAAAAATGATAAAGTAATTGATTTACAAATAGGAAATGAAATGAGGTAAATTAAAATGGAAATGAAATAATTTGAAAATGAAAACTGAAATATGAAAATGAAAACTGAAATAATTTGACAATGAAATAATTTGAAAATGAAAACTGAAATAATTTGAAAATGAAAACTGAAATAATTTGAAAATGAAATGAAATAGGTAGAAAATAAAGTCTTATAATTTGCATTGTATTTGAAAATGAAATGAAACCTATTTATTTCTTTTACCTGGGACCTGTTTCACAAAATCTTAACAAAATTTCAACCAAAATATACCTTGTAAGCTGCAGAGATCTATGGATGGAATAATTCGGAATGAAAACTTAATCTTTGGACACAAGCTTATACATTGGAGAATTCCATAATTTATTATTCATAATCTGTATTGTTTCAGATATACCAATGCCTATGCAAATTCAATTGGCATACCAAATCTTTAAGGAACCAGAAAAGATTCCTGAATTTGGCAAAGCACTTGGATTATCCTCAAATGAAATTGATGGAATAATGACCAATAATGCCAAAAGACTGGACATGATTGCCCTGGAAATGATGAGATTGTGGTCCCAGCAGACACAAACAGAAGGAAATCAAAATAAAATCAATGACTTGATTGATGCCTTGATGAAGAGTGGTTTTGAAAAGCTGTCCGTGGAATTGAAGAATGAATTTTTAAGACTCAATGATGGTAAGACTATAAACTAGAGGTCAACTGAACAGCTATGGGCCCTTGGACCAATGGGTTTTCCTAACGCCCTCATCCCAAAGTTGATCGTAAGAATACTACTTCCCTTGCCCCTATCTATCCCTCGCCCCTACCTATCCCTTGCCCCTACCTATCCCTTGCCCCTACCTATCCCTCGCCACTACCTATCCCTCGCCCCTACCTATCCCTTCCCCCTATCTATCCCTCGCCCCTACCTATCCCTCGCCCCTACCTATCCCTTGCCCCTACCTATCCCTTCCCCCTATCTATCCCTTGCCCTTACCTATCCCTTGCCCCTATCTGTCCCTTGCCCCTATCTATCCCTCGCCCATACCTATCCCTCGCCCCTACCTATCCCTCGCCCCTACCTATCCCTCGCCCTTACCTATCCCTTGCCCCTACCTATCCCTTGCCCCTATCTATCCCTTGCCCTTACCTATCCCTTGCCCCTATCTATCCCTTGCCCCTATCTATCCCTCGCCCATACCTATCCCTCGCCCCTACCTATCCCTCGCCCCTATCAATACACGATTTTCTCATCAGATTTAGTTTTTTTTAAGTTCGAATTCTAAAAAAACTTTCATTCAAAAAAACATTTTTGGAACAATAGGATCATAGGACCCCGGACTCCTCTGATTGTCCATGATGAAAATTGATATATATATATATATATTTATTCATGTTTGAATTTGAGGATGTTCCATGAGTAATTGTTTAGTTATTGCCCTTGACTGGCAGTTTAATTTTCTTCTCATGTTTAAGGTGCAGTGACAGAACCGAATGTTAATAATCCTACACCACAGAATACCTTACCTGAATTACCAGTCAGTGGTCCGGGAAATAATAACAATTTGGTCCCATCTCATACAGACGAACATAAAAATATTTACATTAGTAGCGGTGAGTATTTTGAAAATACTTCTTCGGTCACAAGCAGCAACCAAATAGAAATTTCAATCATGAGGATCTACATGCAGTCAAATTCAATGATGAAGACTAGTAGACTTTTTAGCATAAACACCTAAGATGGTAATAGACAAAGTTTGATTTCTAGTATAGCCTACAGTATGGTATTTTCAATGTAGTTGTTGTTTGAAGAAGTGAATACATTTCAATTCATTGGAATATGCACAAATGATGCTGATAGAATACAATTTTTTTATTATTTTTGCAGGCGAGGCCCAAGCCTTGAACCCTGGAGAAGACGGCAATTACGTACGACAGATGAGTGAAGCTAGTAAGTTGGTTGATTCCTTCCTCGTGAACAACATTTTGTCAAAAATGTCCTGTTGTAGGTAAAAATTAATCCAAGCGATGCAGTTCTCAGGACACAGGTCACAGGAAAAATTGTCTAGTCACTAGACTCTAGTGGTTTGGATTGGACAATAAATCGAGGCCCTGTGTGCTACAGGCTGTGTATGATAGAATAGTAAGACATGATTAAAAAAATAGGCTAATGCTGCTGCTTGTAGATTAAATTGTTCAGACTAAAAAAAACTCAAATTCTCTTTTAGTTGTAGATGTTGAACCTCCAGCACCATTGTTAGAAATGTATCGAATGGACAGATATCCCAGGGGTATGATTATCATTATTATTATCAGTTTGTTTGTTCTGGAACTTTGAGCATTCATATTAGAGGGATTCTAAAGAAGTTTTCTAAAATTTTTATGTGTATCAAGAAGACTAATATCATTTATTCATACCATTTCAGTTTTAAATTGGGTTAAGTAAGAGTTTGCGATTCCACTAAAACTAAGCGTTTTATGACACTTTAGCAAGGCCCTTAGTTGATATTAACAACTTTTGCAAAATTGATGTGTTAACGCCCAGTACCTCTAAGACGTATATTGAGATGGACTGAACGAGTTTTTTGAAAAAAACATTAGAAAATTACAGTAATCAAGTATTTTCTCTAATATTCTGTCCTATCTATTGTATCTATTTGTGATGTTTCTGGGCCTCAGCCTTATTTCTTTCAAAGTTAGCCCGAATTTAAAATTTGTCTTGCAAAATCTTCCTTGGAGGGCGCTTGATTGGCGAATTTGGCATTACCAGGATTCATGCAATCAACTGGAAGTTCATTAAAACAATTCAAACAATATTCGAAATGCGTAAAAAGGAAGGGGTAGACAGAACTCAAAATGGTGGAGAAGAAATAGAGTGTCATTTTAAATGTGACTTTTGGGTTAGGTAATGTTAGTTTGAAGCCAGAATTTGAACAGACGAAACCACTTCATAAATCAGGCACTACCTGGGTATTTATTATTTTTAGATTGCCAAATATTGGACCTGTATTTTGATGCCATTTTGTCTCTGTTCCAGGAATGTGTGTTATTTTCAACAATGAAAATTTTACGTATGATTCGAAGAATCATTTAGCAAAAAAAATGAATAACAGAGTGGGGTCAGCTATAGATAGAGGTAGAGATCAACTTTTTTACTTAATTATTTATCTAGAACCTAAAAAATACATGTTGTTTAGTATTATGTAAGATTTATTGAAACGCTATTATATTTTTAATGAAGTGGGATAGAAAAAAAGGAAATTTTCTTCCAAAATCTTTTTGTATTTAAAGTTGTTCCTTCTGCTCCTTTGGACCCAGGTATAGTATGGTTTGAGCAGTGAATTTTCTCCTGGAGAACAGGAAATTAGACAGTAGATTTTGGCTTGAAACTTCTTATGGGCCCTTTTTTGTTTATTGCAGATACTTTAGATCGGACGTTTACAGAATTGGGTTTCCAAGTTTACGTTCACAATGATTTGAAAGCTGTTGAAATGGTTCAGATTCTGACCAGATATTCACAAGAAGATCACGAGCTTTTTGATTGTTTTGTTTGTGTGATTCTGTCTCATGGTACCAGAGACTATATCTATGGAGCAAATTGTGAACCAGTACCGATTAGAACTCTAGCAGATCCCCTTAAAAATCTTTCCTGTCCTGGGCTGTGTGGTAAACCAAAGCTATTTTTTATTCAGGCTTGTCAGGGTCAAGACAAGCAACATGGTGAGTGTATTAACATAGATAATAGATGAAAACATATCTCCTGCCGTTCTGCATTTAGTAGGATAATGAAAATAAACGACAAAATTGATCCCATCTCTTGTGAAATTTTACATTCTCATTGTCTTTTTCTGAAACTTCTGTTGAAGCTTTAATGAACACAGACTGTAGGACGTGTGACCTCAGATCTTGCCCCTTTCCAGGACAAGACGCTTGATATTGATTTGATTGCTAGAATATATTATTTTGGCAAGCTAGTATATAACGTACACAACATTCTTTATCGATAACAATGTCTGCTTTGATTACCAATTTTCAACAATGGCACTCTATACCAAGGTAGTATATTAGTTTTGTATCAACAATGGTATTGATTTGAATTTAACATGTCCTTTTCTCTAGGTCGAGATATTGAAAGAGATGTTGTACGTGTTGACGATCTGGATGAAGATGCTCCCCCTAATGGTGAAGTGATTCCTAACGAACAAGATTTTCTGATTGGCATGGCAACAATTCCAGGCTTCGTGTCGTATCGCAGTAAAACGTCTGGATCTTGGTTTATCATTAAATTGTGCGAGGCTTTACAGAAATTTGCCAAATAGTAAGTTCTTTCTGTATGCTCGCGTTTGGGTATTTTAATGATGGTATTTGGAATTAATCAAAGCCTCTCATGTAAAACGTTTTTTGATAATGAGTTTGCAATTGTGGGATAGCGAAACCCAAAGTTGCTGTCATATTGCTCCACTGGGATTCAGCTAACTAACTTCTATTGACTAAATCCAGATGCTACCAAGTTTCTAACATTACTTTAAAATTTGATTGCTCCTAGATTCTGCAAGATGTAAGGTCATCCTTATCCTGATGTTAACAAACTTGAGAGATTAATTTCTAATATTTTTTTTAATTTCAGCTGGGACATTCTACATATATTAACCTACGTGAACAGTGAAGTTGGTAAAGCTAATGCTGATATTGATGGTGTTCGCTATAAACAATCACCAGGACCTTTATACACTTTACGAAAACGACTCCTCTTTCAACCTATTGTCAGGTCCAGTGACTAGTCTATGAAATCATACTATACACCAGTATTGATAAATACTTAAGGTTCATTGGAGGACAGGGCATTATGTTTTGTAATTTTTGTAGGATAAATATGTGTGCACTATTGGGGACAATTAGAACACTTAAACAGACCTGAAGGCCTAGTGTGTTTAAACGAAACGAAAATATTCTTTTTCTGTATTATGTTTTGGATTGTCCCTGGATCATCTTTTCAATGTCAAGGTATTATGATCTGTGGCTTATACCTTGACTGCAATAGCCACCTTTCTTGTATCATAGAACACAGCCAATCAGGGACCTTGACAGAGGGACTAATCATTATGCCATGGATAAAAGTTTACAGACTTTCTGTTGTAGGATCTGAATGCCTGTATTCGCTAGCGTATAATCCAATCAAATCGCTTCATTTACAAAGTGCAAACTCACATGATATTAGAAAGGTGGCTATTGCAGTAATAGCTTGACATTGAGAAGATATCTCTGAATGTGCACAATTATTTTGCTCAACCCTACAGGATTGTTTTGGTTAAACAGGGCTGTAACTAGATCAAGGCAATATGAGACAAATTCCTTGTGCTGAATTTCAGAATTTGACAAAAAAAAAAAAAAAATAATGTAAAAAAAAAAAATTTGTATAAAAAATTAGAAATATAAATATGATATCTGCTAATTTGTCGCTTAAATATTTTATATCTACGGTAATGGTGGATATCGTTTAAAGTCTAGCGATAGTGTTGCAATGAAAGACATAACTGACTTTAAAGACAATTGAATTGTTTACCCGAATTATGGCCCTGATAACTGTATGAAAAGCCGAAAGCTATAAAGCTATAAAGCTATAAAGCTATAAAGCTATATGTAATAATGTTTCATTAAGCCATGTTAAGTTTTTATAAACAATATCCAGTTAATTAGATTTTCTTTAATGGTTTGTATTGTACTATGTTTAACTAAAGAATAATTTGAAAATTCATTGTTAAAAGTTATAGCAAAACTGTTTATGATCAAGAGATTCTCTGTGAGCTCTTAAGAAGTGCTACAGGTAGATTACGACTAGAAAGAATTCTCCATTATTTTCCCTAAACTGAATGTGTAGCCTAAAGTGACACAGGTTGGCGCATACGAAACTTCGCATCTTGCCTAGCTCTGTATAGTCGCAGATCTCTGATAGGTAGAATTTCTCTGTTGATCAGGATGAGGTTGGCGGAGCTAAGATTTTAGTATTCAATTTGCTCAGAATTCTTAATAATGCCTGTGTCCATGTTGCTTTAATAACCAAATAAGAATTCTCAATGAATTCTTAATAATGAATTTTTCCATGTATATAGAGTCTCTTTAAAAGAGAAACATGTTGTTTTATTAACAGAATAAGATACATTGTATATAAAATAAACAAGTTACATTTATGTAATATCGAAAATATGTTTCAAATATGTATCATCAGAGAAATTAAATTTCCTAAAAACATTAAAATAAATTTGTATTAAATCTGTTATTTATTTCTTAAATTTCACTTGAATAGTGAATTCATTGAATCTGAGATCGATTTTCTGTTCAACTCAGTCATTGTGTTAATTTTAAGGCAGTGGAGGCTGCATCATGCAGAGTGGGCTCTACAGGCATTTATGGATAAAAGTGATTTTCAACAGATACCAGATTGATAATTAAATATATGTCCAGAGAGGAATGGCCCCTTAAGTAAGATATGCAGCTTATTTTCCAAGAATGCTTGACAAAGTTTGATCAAATGCGCTTGTTCCTTCGATATCTGATAAAATTATGGATTATTTCTGCATATATTGATCTACCTCGTACTTTAGGGTGACCAATATAAAGGGAGGTAATTTCAATTTAACTGTGGTTCGTATTCTTACTTGACATATCTATTTTTAGCTCTCACGTGACACAAAATGGAGATCTCCACGAATGAAAAATGAAAACATGGTTGATTCTATAACGAAAACATTATTAGAAGTTTGTAAGGAAGTTATTCTGTTGGTTTTTATGTCTGTATTGTTATATTTTTCATACGAACATAACATTTTATACTTCAATATATTAGCAGATCGTTAGATAATCAAAACAAGGTTTCTGTTACATAAGTAAGTGCGTTTCATGCACGTTTCAAACAGAAATAAATGTGATGAATTTGTTGATCACTGCCACTGAACTGGAGATTTGAAAATTTGCAGACAGAATCACATCTTTGTGATTTACTGCTATGCTACAGTGTTTCAAGGTGTGATATCTTCTCTTTATCATCTCTGAATGGAAGTTCTTCTTCTACTGTCATTAGTGTAACCCAATTCAAAACTTGTACTACAAAGTGATTCCTTACATGCTGCCATGAGCTTGAGATCTTGAGTGCCTCAATTGTTAAGTTTAATAGTAAATAAACATTCAAAACATTGTTGTCAAAGTTGAAAATTGTCTGTCACATTTGATCTCAAAACAGACTTTTCCTTTGGAAACTTTTAGCTCCCCAATAAATGTTTGTCAGGAAGAATCTTCAAGCAGAGTAAAGAAAAGGTTAATCTTCTAATACTGAATTTTCGTTTGTAGTTTGATATTAATGGAACACAATTTTGCCATCTTCCATTTTGAAAAAAGGTGAAAACAAAATGCAGAGAAATAGCGAGAGACAAGAGGATGAAATCGAAGCATTAAAATCGATGTATGTGAGTGATTTTACAGATCTGAGGAAAGACAATGTTTGGAAGGTAAGACTCTTTCTACCAGTTGGTCCTTGATCACTTGACCAAGCCAGTTGGCATTGATCTTTCAAGAATTTACAGCTGGATCAACTTGAAGAATGAGAAAAGAGGACTTGATTAAGGTTGCTAGACAATTCAACGAGATAAAAACCCACAACCATAATCTCTCTCTCGTTAAAAAGAGTCTGATTTTATGACCAGAGTCCAAAAGAGTCAGCTTCAACCCTCGTCTTCAATCATGTGATCAAATATTTTAAAAATGAATTAAATTTCTTACTTGTATATAATATATTTATAGAAAACTTTTACATTCCCTTTAAGCCGTCCCTTTGTTCATTTTCATTCTTCAATGTCCTCATTTTTAATTCAAGAAAAAAAGTGCACCTGAGATAAAGATTAGATTTCGTCCTCAATCGAGAATAGAAGATGAGTGTAATATGGAAGTTACTTTGTATGTGAACTGTCCATTCCACTATCCTGACAAGTGAGTTCTCCGTCTTTATTGCATCAGTGGTGTTTCTATATCTCATTAGGTTAGGGGGCCGAGAAGGGGCCAATTTGGCAATTCTTTCCCTATGTCAAAGGGGCAGTATGCAAAACTTTTATTAGCAATCTATACCTGAAAATATATCTGTGTCAGCCTCTTTTCTTGGTTTGGGTTGGTGGGGAAGGTGGGTAGGAGCAGTGGAGCTCCATGCTTCAATGAGTATAGTTATTTTATGAAATGTTGGAGATTTGAGGAAGGTACAAAAAGTTTTCAGTGACCATCGTTTATCATACCCTAACAGCCTTAGCCTGTTTTTTTCTTACTTCAGAATTCCAGTAATACGACTGGAAAACCCTGTAGGAATCACCAATCAAGAACTTGCCAAATTGAAAACAGAACTTGAAGAACAGATGAAGACATTAGTGGGAGAGGTAAGCCAATTGTAGTTCAGATGGGACAATAATTTGAGGCCCTGTGTGCTATAGGCTGTTCACCTTATAGATCCTGCAACACTTTACACTTTGCTGCTGTCATAGCCATTTCTCCTCATTGCTTTGTGAACTGCATTAACTCAAACAGGAGCAGAAAGGTAAAATATAAAATGTAGTAATCTTTTTCCTTTTATCAATTATGATCTATATTCTTCATTTCATTTCACTTTATTTATAAAGGTGATGATTTTAGAGCTATCTTTAACTGTTCAAACCTTTTTAAACGACCATATCCGTCCAGCACCGAAATCTTTCTATGAAGAAATGATGAGTAATAAACAGAAACAGGAAGAAAAATACGCTCTAGAGCAGGAACGCAGAAACGAAATGAAAAAACAGCGAGAGGAAAAGGAGGTACCGGTATACAATATTTCATCTTCGCAATGTCAAGGTATTATCAACTCTATCTAATACCTTGACATCATTAGGCAATTGAACATCTCAGTTTCAGTGATGACTTTATTTTCCACTGAGTTTTTCTGAAGCTGCTCTTATCAATCTGATGAATTTATTCGCTATAAGATTTTATGTGGACAATATTTTTAAGATGAAAATGACCTTTGCTTCAATTAAGGGGTCATTGTTTCTTGTACAATCTTATTTTCTCATTTCACCCTTTTCTAGCGAAGGATCATCGAAGAAGAGATAGCCAAACGTTTTCAAACTCGGAAAGAAAGCACAAAACAAAGAAGAGAGGATGACAAGGTAAAAATTATTAGATTAATTTAATATCATTAGGTAGCCATCTTGGTTAGATCTGATATATTTAATAATTGATGGTGTAAGATGTCTATGTAGGGATTGTAAAGAGGTTTTTCTAATTTATGTGTTTGGAGGCTTCCATTTGCATAATTCTTATTTCGTCAGATTTCTATAGTTCCTGTAATTATCTATGATAAAGGTCCTTATAATATCAATAGCAGCTTTTGCGATAGTGACGTCATAACATGCTTACTTTTAGCGGAATTGCAAGAATCACAGACGTCTGATTAAAAATTTTAATGGTTGGCTTTACATTATAGAATGAAGATTACCCAAGACATGAATCTCTGAAAGAATCTCAAAAACTTCCATCGATTTTTACAACCAAAGACGATAAAAACAGGCCACTGTAAGTTATATTGATGGATGTTTCAAACTGGGTCCAGGCCTGTTTGGTTGAACAACCCAGTTTTGTACCAGATCTGATATGAGCTCATGCCGGACCTGTGCCAAACTTGGCCAAAATAAATATTGCTAGCTGGGAAACTGTTTTGGGGACATGGGGACACAATTTTCATTTATAAGAAAACCAGACATCGCTGTTTAAACCACACCTATTACAAAAAGTTGAGATCGAAATTTGAGATGATCAAACATAATACTTCATTCCATTTCAAACCTGTACTCAGACTAGTTAATGGGGTAAACTTGTAGACTGTCAAAGATTGAAGTTGGTTATTTTACAGGTCTCCGGAAACAGAGGGAGGTAACTATGGAAGAAATAGTGATGCGTTAGAATCAGAATCTATAGTGTTTGGTATGGCGGAAGATAGTAAAAACTTAGATGATGACCCCATTCCTTATTACAGACCATTTGATGGTACCACTGGACATTCTCGACTCAGTGATGATTTTGAGCATATCATGTCGTTAGGGAAAGGAGGTTTTGGTGACGTTCTCAAGGTAGGTGAATTGTTGATTCCATCTTTAGCCTCAACCTCATAACAAAACTATGGCTCAGTGATTTGCTTTCTCACTCTCTTACCTGGGTGTTTAAGGTTTTGTTTCTAGTTCAAGGCTGAGGAAATGTTTTCACTGATCTTATACCCCTCTTACTCTTGGTCCTGTTAAAGTAATCTGTATCTGGAACAGTACTTGGTCCCAATATAAATGGCTACTAACATCAGCTTACCAAGTGCCCTAAAAGGGCTATTAGGTTCTGAAGTTGATTATTTCATTTGTTAAAGTTTTTCTGTAAAAGAGCCAAAGTTATAGTTATAGAAAATGAGGGGCCAAAAAGCAAGTTGTTCACAAACCAGAATTTCTTTGGCTCTATCAAGCAGCAGGTCAAAGAAAGTTCCGTCATGTTCAAAATGGAGGTTAAAAATTCCTCTTTATTTGATATCAAGGTTCGGAATAAACTAGATGGTAGATTTTACGCTATTAAAAGAATACCACTGAACACTAATAGTCAACAATTTACTAAGAAAATTACACGAGAAGTCAAGTTGCTGTCCAGATTAAATCATGAAAATGTTGTCAGGTGATGATTTGTTATTATTATTAATTGATTTAATAGTAATCTAGAATAGTTCATCTTTTCTCATTGTTCTTGAGACATCCCAGCAGGAAGATCATTGTCAAGAGATTTGGCCAAGGACAAACAGAAAGATATGATCCTTGTAGACCAAATTGCAGTGTTGTTACTGGGAAAAAATTGGTGAGGGGGCTGAGCAAGGGGCCACAAATTTTCCAAAGGGGGGCACAGACCATTCTAACATTATGTAAAAAAAAATATATAAAATGGGGGCCAAAGACGGACCAGCCTCTATTCTGGGGGGACCATGGTAGAAACACCACTGCCAAGTTGTTATCCTTTTAAAAATATTTGTTTCTTTCTATTTCCTTCCTTAATTTTTGATTTTTCTCTGACAGGTATTATAATTCATGGATAGAAGTGAGTGAGAAACCAGCTGGAAGTGATACATCGTCTAGTTTAGATGATTTTATGTACCAGAGCAGCTCGACCCCCAGTAAACCAAAACCAGCTCCAAAACTGCCACCACCAGTCAATGAAAATAGTCTTGGTATAGCTGATAATATTGAAAGTTTAGCCCCGCCCATCGTAGCAGGTCAATCACTAGATTGGAGTGTAGATTACTCAACACATCAAGCTACTGCCAGTGAATCTGATTCAGAAGATGAACATTCGGCTTTATTAGGATCTATTTTGTATGTTTAAATTACTTATTTCATTTATAAAATAGGGTTATTGAACTATTTGGAATATATGAAAGGGAAAAATGTTGATTATGGAGATGCTTTTTTCGAACAAAAGGTTACTGTATGAAAGTCTGGTGAATAAGTCATTTTGTTTTTTTATTTTTTCCAGTCCGTTTGATGAAGAAGATGATGATGATGATGTTATTTTTGGTGGTAATGATGATGATGATGAAGTCAAAATCCAAAGATATCAGACATCATCTAAGGTATAAAACAAATCTTCCAGAATTTAAGTCAAGTTGAGAGTTTCAGAGTGACATCAGAGGCCCTAATCTGATTGGTTGATTTACCTGGATTTAAAATCTGTTAAAATGATACTAAAATTTAAATAGAATTCTAGAATTTATTACCTTAAAGGGACAGGTTAGGTATTGAATATATCTAAATAGTCTACTAGAAATATACAAAAATATCTCAAACTAAGAATTTCTTTTCGTAATTCTATAGATGTCTTTCTTATGTATGGCAGTGATTCGTCTTTTTAACTTTCAAATGCAGATACACGTGGATTTGAAGGCTGCTCCAATTTTGCTGGTGAACACTATTACTGATTCAAAGTACTTAATGATTCTCATTTGGGATTTGAACTCACAACGCCAAAATTATCCTGCAGTTATCAGGCCATAATTCAGTCTCTGATTGTCAGAACTAGTTCTATAATGACTGAATTTCAGGATCTATTAAAGAAGAGTGAGAAGAAAGAAAATAAAACTACAGTGTCTAATGATGATCAACAACAGATTCAATATCTTTTTATTCAGGTCTGTATGGAATATCATTTCTATCATTATCATCAAATATTCACGTGATCAATAGCTGGACACATGTTGGTTAATCCAAAACTCCAAGGTTTGATCCTGGTATTGGTCAAAATTACCTTTTGATTTGAGGTCGTTGTTAAGATGGAGGTCAATAAATCAAGGCCTTGTTCACTATAGACTGTACATGTTGAAGATCTTTGGAGAGTTGGAACCCCAAAAAATGTCCCTCAATGCATACACCATAGTGTGTCTTGCCATCGTAAACCAAATTTTATGATGTTATACTGCAATTTCCATACAAATATATGATGGGGAACTGAATACAACTTAGGAAAATTTCCCTCATTTCACACTGCATGTAGTCCTCTCTTTGCCGAGTAACATTCAGCTATGTTGAAACAGATTGCACAAGACTTTCATGCAATAAATGTGTTATGAACTATGATTAATGTTATACAGATGGAATACTGTGAGAAGAGTACATTAAGAAATTGTATAGACAATGGGTTGTTTAAAGAAGTTGATAGAGTGTGGAGATTATTTCGTGAAATTATTGAAGGTTTGAATCATCTACACGATCAGGTAGATATTTATGTGAATTGAGCTGGTATTTGAACATACATCATTTAGAGTTACAAACTTCTATATTCTTAACATAATCCTCATTCAATAAATCCATAAAACTAAGTAATTTTCCATTACAATACATGTGTTTCTTTTTAAATTGTCTAACCAAGAGATTGCAATATGGTGCAAATTTACAGAATTAAACGAAATTAGATGTGTTTCCATTGAGGGGAAAAACCCAGCTTTAAGCTAGCTTTCGTATGTTTCTACTGGGCAAATTGAGAGGTGACCGTAACAGATCGGGAATCGAAAACCTCTCTTTTTGTGATTTATTGGCTGCCAATTGAAAGCTAGCTTAAAGTCGGCTTTCACTTAACCAGTTGAAATGCAAAAAGTCATCTTTATCTCGTTTTGGAAACACGGTTTATATATCAATAAGGTTTTGTGAGGAGGTAGTTCCATTCCATTGACCTCACTCGTTTGAAGTTTCTTGTATTTAATTGAGATATCATCTATATATGTGTGTATTAATCAATAATTAAATAATTAATGATAATTTCAGGGCATTATACATCGTGATTTAAAACCTGTAAATATATTCCTTGATTCCAACGATCATGTCAAGATTGGAGATTTTGGTTTAGCCACTACTGATATCTTAGTCAAGGTAGGTTCAGTTTGTAGCTAACAATGGAGTTGTCAGCACTATTTTGTTTGGCCACTTTCACCTGAATGTTTCTCTTTCAAGGGAATGTATTTGGGTTTTCCAATTTTTTTTTTTTGTGTACCATTTATTTTCTATTAATTTAAACACTTAAAAAGTTTAGTTGCATGAGCCATAGAAATTCTATGAAGCACACTTTTGGTATCACTTTGCCAAACCCCTTGTACAATATTGAAAACCTATAAACACACGAGTGTTGAGTGCAAATCAACCATTTTATTTTTGTTGTTTATTTTTAACAGAAAAGTCTGGGAGCTACGAAGCCGCCTGGTAGTTTATTTGATACCACAATGAATTACTCTACAAGATCTAACAGTATGGGAGATACAGAGTTAACTGGGAACGTGGGGACAGCTCTCTATGTTAGTCCTGAAGTCATGGCTACTGGCGGTAAATTTCATTACAATCAGGTGAGACAGAATTACCTTCCTTACTAGAGTGAAAGAAGGGGTGATCAAATTTAAATTTAAAGATATATATGCTGCATCCTGATTACCAAATGATTACTAAATGATTACCTGGTATTATTATTACCAAATGATTACTAAATGATTACCTGGTATTATTATTACCAAATGATTACTAAATGATTACTAAATGATTACTAAATGATTACCTGGTATTATTATTACCAAATGATTACTAAATGATTACCTGGTATTATTATTACTAAATGATTACTAAATGATTACTAAATGATTACTAAATGATTACTAAATGATTACTAAATGATTACCTGGTATTATTATTACCAAATGATTACTAAATGATTACCTGGTATTATTATTACCAAATGATTACTAAATGATTACTAAATGATTACTAAATGATTACCTGGTATTATTATTACCAAATGATTACTAAATGATTACCTGGTATTATTATTACCAAATGATTACTAAATGATTACTAAATGATTACTAAATGATTACCTGGTATTATTATTACCAAATGATTACTAAATGATTACCTGGTATTATTATTACCAAATGATTACTAAATGATTACTAAATGATTACTAAATGATTACCTGGTATTATTATTACCAAATGATTACCAAATGATTACTAAATGATTACTAAATGATTACCAAATGATTACTAAATGATTACTAAATGATTACTAAATGATTACCTGGTATTATTATTACCAAATGATTACTAAATGATTACCTGGTATTATTATTACCAAATGATTACTAAATGATTACCTGGTATTATTATTACCAAATGATTACTAAATGATTACCTGGTATTATTATTACCAAATGATTACTAAATGATTACCTGGTATTATTATTACCAAATGATTACTAAATGATTACCTGGTATTATTATTACCAAATGATTACTAAATGATTACCTGGTATTATTATTACCAAATGATTACTAAATGATTACCTGGTATTATTATTACCAAATGATTACTAAATGATTACTAAATGATTACCAAATGATTACCAAATGATTACTAAATGATTACCTGGTATTATTATTACCAAATGATTACTAAATGATTACCTGGTATTATTATTATCAAATGATTACTAAATGATTACCTGGTATATATTATTACCAAATGATTACTAAATGATTACCTGGTATTATTATTACCAAATGATTACTAAATGATTACTAAATGATTACCTGGTATTATTATTACCAAATGATTACTAAATGATTACCTGGTATTATTATTACCAAATGATTACTAAATGATTACCTGGTATTATTATTACCAAATGATTACTAAATGATTACCTAGTATTATTATTACCAAATGATTACTAAATGATTACCTGGTATATATTATTACCAAATGATTACTAAATGATTACCTGGTATTATTATTACCAAATGATTACTAAATGATTACCTGGTATTATTATTACTAAATGATTACCTGGTATTATTATTACCAAATGATTACTAAATGATTACTAAATGATTACCTGGTATTATTATTACCAAATGATTACTAAATGATTACCTGGTATATATTATTACCAAATGATTACTAAATGATTACCTGGTATTATTATTACCAAATGATTACTAAATGATTACCTGGTATTATTATTACCAAATGATTACTAAATGATTACCTGGTATTATTATTACCAAATGATTACTAAATGATTACTAAATGATTACTAAATGATTACAAACTTTTCAAAACGTGCAATAATAAAACATTTTCACTGTTGAAATAGTGCTCAATAATTATTTATATTATAGAAAGTAGATAGCTACAGTTTAGGTATAATATTTTTTGAGATGTGTTATAAACCACTAACTACTGGAATGGAGAGGATAGTTATATTGACTGATCTCAGATCTCCAGGAATTAAATTCCCACCAGACTTCCAGGATGTAGAACTGGAACAACAGGTACTTGTAGAATTTATCAGAATTTGAAAACAGTTGTGTATGAGAAATATTTTCTATTGTCTGGTAAATAGCATATCCAATGTCATGTTATATTTTCATTGACATCAAAGATGGTGAAGAACAACTTCTTAGTCAAAATAATGACACAGATTCTAGAGATATGTGGCCTATGTCTTTAAAGAGAAATTTATTTTTGAAAAGTTGTCAATAAGCAATATGTTAATGATGTCAGAAAAGTGAAAAACATCATTGATCTGCTGTGACTGTTAAAATCAAAATTAGACGCATGCTTTAATGTTGTGACAAAAATTTTTGATTCATCCTGTGAAAAACAGCGTTTAAAGAGATTGTAAAGAGGTTTTCTAAATTTTTATGTGTATTGGGGAAACTGATAGTATCAATTTACACCATTCTAATTTTCAATCAGTCGTCAGCGGTGGTGACATAAAACACTTAGCCTTAGTGGAATTGCTAAAACCACAGACGTCTGATTGAAAATTGGAATGGCACAAATTGATGCTATAAATGTCCCTGATACACATTCAAAATTTAGAAAACCTCTTTACAATCTCTTTAAGTAGTCTTTTCTATGGCATGGAATTAAACACTTTGTAACAATGTTGTATTGAATTATTTCAGACTAAGATCATCAAATGGTTATTGAATCACGATCCGAACTCTCGACCAACCACCAAAGAATTATTACGTTCAGATCTGTTACCCCCTCTACAGATGGAAGAGGCTACCATGAACGAACTGTTTCGCTCTACCATTTCCAAACCCCAGTCTCGATCCCCCTACCACCGATTAGTTGATGCGTTATTTTCTCAACCTTTCTCTGCTGTCCAGGATAGAACGTATGATTCAGATACATGTAAAGTAAGTTTGTGGTTTGAAGTCTGATGGCGGATCTGTTTCTTGATAACAAGGTCAAGTCTGGGATAGTTAAACCCAAAGAGGCTGTCGTGTTGCTCTACTTTGGGTGTCACTATCCCATAATTCCTCTTTGTTGTTCATAAACAGGCCATACATGACACACCTTGATTGGTTGAAAAGAACATCATTAGAACGGGACAGTGGTAGAAAACTTGATAGATTACAATGCAGAAGAAAAATATCGGAAAAAGCGGAATGAAATAGTTATGGGATTTCTTCAATTTTTCATCAGTTTTTATATCCCCACAAATAGTTAGGGCATATATTGTAATCACCCTGTGGGTTCGTCGTTCTATGCTCACCCTACAGGCTAAAATTCTTGATGGATTTGGTTGATTTTGATATGCCCACACGTAGTATGGAAGCATATTGTCGTCTTTCCGTCTGTTGATAAAAACTGACCATGATGTGATACAATACAGTTTGCTTAAAATTTTCTATAGACTAAACATGAACCAAATGTGAATGGACAACAAATAATGATTTGTACTTCAATCAAAACTGCTGATGGGCAAATGTGGGCATCCTGCTTTGCAAGGCTATCTTTTTTTCTTTTTCTTTCAGCCTTTTAGTTCACCAAAGTTGCATTTAATACAGAAGTCAGTTAGTGATTGTATAGAGAAAGTATTTCAAAATCATGGGGCCATCAAATTCTCTACACCATTATTAATGCCAAAATGTCACCTGTACGAGTCAAATGAACAATATGCGTGTTTCGTGGACCATAGTGGAGGCCTCGTAGGATTACCATGTGATCAAAGGGTGAGTAACTCTCTAGTGAATGGTCTGTTTGATTCACTATTCTGTACCTTGTTCTTAAATTGGTTTGGTCTGTTTGATTCACTGTTTTGTATCTTGTTCTTTAATTGATTTGTTGTGTCTTCTAATGCTGTATTCGTTAAGTCTGGGAAATTTAGAAAATACGACTTCCGAAGTGGTAAATAGCATGGCTTACTTCAAAATTTTACTCAAAAATCATATTTTCTTTTGGAGAACTGGTAACTAATGAGCAGGTGTGCAATCAATCTGAATTAAAAGGCCTACTATAGACACAATGATATTAGATAATTAAAGAAAATTAATGTATATTATCTACAGAGAAATCAAACAAGTGGTAGTTTCTACTTTCCAGTTATAAACTTCCCACTTAATAGTAGACCTATCTATTGCTCATTTTCACATTTACCTTGTATTCTATATTGTAGGTTCCGTTTGCTAGATTTATAGCTAGAAGTAATACTCAGTCTATGAAACGATACTGTCTAGATAAAGTTTACCAAGAGAAAAAGTTCTTTGGTCTACATCCTAAAGATATGACAGAATGTGCTTTCGATATCGTCACTCCTTCACATGCTAGGTAAGTTCATTTTTCAATCATGATTGGTTGTAAAATACAGCGTTTAAGGAGATTATTTTAGTTATGTTGAATGGATATATATTAGGCATGGGACATAACCGAATGGTAAATCAGAGATGCAAGACTTCAGGAAATTTCTGGAATCCCTGAATGAAATGGGTTGCAGATTCATTTCATTTCTGGATAAGAAGCGCGGAAAGGTTGGCTACATACGCTTCCCAAAAGTTAGCGGAAAGGAATTCAATGGTCACTTACATCTTTGGTAAATCTTACACCAATATTATATATAAATGAAAATGTATGACATATTTTGGTTAACATCTATGTATGAGATTTTATTGGCAATCTTCAATTTTAAAGATGTTTGATTTTTTTTTTTCAGTTTGATTCCAGAATCAGAATTACTGGCAGTTTCGTCTCAAGTCATCCACGAATTTCCTACATTAAGGGTAAGTAAAGAGCAGCCTATTTTGCATTAATATTGTACATAGTTTAAGTGTGGGCCTAATTTAGGTAGAGCTGTGGAATTATGCAATATTGCCACTCAATATTATGGTGTCTGTGTTATGCCAACTGGTTGATTTATTCATCCTGACAAGGTGCATTTTATTGATGCCATTTCCAAATTTACGTAAGGGAAAGAAAGTAAGAAAGTAAGAAGTAAGAAAGGTTTACACTATATTTGCCATTATAGTATACTTCTTTACTAAAGTCAGAAAAGATAACCTCCAGTTTCTTATTTGAATCTGTCAATCATTTGATTTTTAAGGAAAGAAATTATTATTTTCGTCTCAACCATACCTCACTAGTGAAAGCTGTTTTATTATTTTGTGGAATACGTGAAGAGAAACATCATGCTGTACAGCTTTGTCTTCGAGACTTTCAGGTTAGTTTTTAGAGTTTGTCTTTAGGCTGTTGATTTAGCCATGTTTTTCTGAAATGTCTGTTTGTCCCTCCTAAATGTCTGACTGGAAATAGGTTTATAAGGTTCCAAATATGCATTTTTCTTGGGCGAAAACAGATGCGTCTACATCTGAAAAATGTTAAGGCCAAATATTGGAAATTTATTTCACTCCCCAAAGCATGTCCCCTTTTCTGAAAATATTGTTTGGTAAATATTTGTCTTAAACAGGTTGTAAAGAGATTTTGTAAGCTAGAGACACTGATATCATCAATTTGCAACATTCCAATTTTCAGTAAGACGTCTGTGGTGTTTGCTATTCTACTAAAGGATTATATAATATCACAATGGCAATAGCTGCTAATATCTTATAGCATTCATCACAGTTTTCGGAAGTCTAGACCAATGATATAAAAAGCTCATGGTAAAATGACCATGACACATCCTTGAGAAATTCTGATTCCAACCATTGATCAAATTATAATTTCAGCATAAGAAGACCATGAGACGACAATCACTGGAGTCTAAATGTGGTGTGACCTTCACAGATCACAGTGCTGCTAATTTCTTTGCTTTGTTAGATTTTGAAGGAAGTTACAATAAAGTTAGCAACCTGTTGAGACCTGTTGTTAAATCAAAAGGCCAGGTAATTTGTCACTATGAAGTGTCCATTCAGTTACTTGCTGTTTTACAAGAAATCACCTAATCTGATTTGTTTTTAAAGTTGTTAAAAGTACTCAATTGTAACACTCTCTGATTGATAGTTAAATTCAGATTTGATATAACTCAGGTCCAGTTTCTCTGGCCAATTTAATCTCTTCTTAATAATATACTGATCACTGCTAAATAGTTATCTTCTATCTTGTATTTTATCATTAGTGAAGTAAAGTGTGTAGTCAACTTTACTCTAGTGATTGAGAAATATGCTGATTACTTTGTCTATATATTTCAATGTGTTTTATTTGTAGGCGAGCACCCTAGCTAAACAAGGTCTACATGAGTTGGAAACTATCATCAATTATGCTGAGTCATTGGATGTCAAATTAGAGGTAATAATACCTTCTACTTTCATTCTTGATGCTGCCTCAAACAAAGTATATTTAACCCAAAGGTTCAATCCCAGCATAGTTGAGGATAATATCTTCTGAGTTTTCAACCTGGTTTCCCCCTGTCAGCAGGTAAGCATCTAGTTCCCTCAATAACACAATCAAGGTAATCTAATGTCTGGTATTGTGTTTATATTTAAGATAAAGGTTACAGTGGGATTGATATACAATCCAATACAATATGATGGTTTTATATTCCAAGTTTTATATGAACATAGAAAGAAGAAAAGGTTACTGGGAGATGTTTTGGCTGCAGGAGGCAGATATGAAAAATTGGTAAGAGTTTATGTTATTATTTTGTTTTTATTATGGTACATGCCCATCAAGAGCTAACGGTGGCCCTCTATTGGTTAGTTCTGAACAGGTTCCGTCTGTTCCAATTCTGCCCGCAATCGAATGGTATGAAAGCTTATTTCCTTCTCCCCCGTTTTGAATTCGGTCTGCACCTACTATTTTTTCGACACACCAGGAACGCAATCTGAACACTGTTTCAACTTATTGTAATGAATGTGGTCCTCTTGAATTTCCAACATTGCTCTTCGCTGCGTGACCCAGACGCTATTTTTTTGCATTTTTTAAAACCAATTTCCAGAGGAGGTCTATTTTGACGTGCATAACTTGCTTGTTAAACTTTCAGGCTGCCATTCTGATTTTTTTTCGTCATTAAAATTTCAGATAAGAAAATTTAAAGTGGAGAAAGATGAAGACTGTGGTATTCCGTCTGCAGTTGGTGTCAGTCTGGCTTTCGAGAAAATTGTCTCGGCTGTCTTAGATACTGTTGAAGTATGTTCCTGTTTCTTATTTTACTTATTATATTTCCTCTACCATTAATCAATATTATAATGCATGACTTGATCAGTACCAATCTGCAGTAGCATTTCTATAAATTATTAGGTAGGGGCAGGTTGGAGTCCACAAAGTTGTCCAAAGGGGCTCACATGCAATTCTCTCCCTTTTTTAACATGCTAAGACATTTGAAATTGGAGAACCTTAGTTTCTAATTACCTGCTAAAGTGAAACATAGTAGAAAAGACAATGGATAGCTCGGTCCTGTATGGCTGGACAATTAATCAATCAAGATAAATCAAGATATATTTCTCTCCAGGTTTATAATTTCTGTAAATCATTATATTTTAGGTTCCGAGTTCTCACGATATTGTAGTATGTTCTGTAGGACATAAGACTTTGTTAAAAGAAAGATTACGTGTGGTAAAAGAGTTATGGGCGGCTGGGCTGAGAGCAGAAGTCTTCTATGATTCAGTTCAGGTAAAATATCTACAGTTTTGAACTCTCATTAATGATTACTGAATAAACTGAAAGTTCAATTCTCATTCTGAAAAGTGATGTGGATAGCTGAAATTAAGCTCTATGTGTTGGTAAAATAAATAAATTGATAAGAAAGATAGAAACAACTATATTATACAAGAATAACAACTTATTTTAACAAAGATCCTCTCTATCAGCATATAGTTCGTCATACCTCTTGGCATTGATCTTTTCACCAGTTACAGCTGGGTCAACTGAATGACTACATGTAAGATTTTAATGCCACTTACCATGATAATTGTCTTGTGTTGTGATAAATCTCTTTCAACTATATGCCACCCTAAAACAATAATCTTTCACTGGTGTTATGACTGCATGCCTGTACCTGTTCCTTCGTAAAATTTTACATCTTCACCCTATAATTCTTAAACGATTCTTGCATTTTATATTTTTTCTTTTTGACAGAAATTGTATTTTTATTTTAAGAATCTGGAAGAGGTTCATATGTACTGTCGTAACTATGATATTACCTATATTGTATGTTTAAAAGATGGTGATGGTGGATCAGTCAGAGTGAGTTCAATTACTTTTACTTTACTTTAAAAAAACATCAAGATTCCAAAAGTCTTCCACCATTTTGACTATGTCAGAAAATGTGTTTGTAATTAAATCATTGAACTGGTAGCACTTTGACTTCCGAATAATGAGTTTGCTTTGAGGTGAACTACTCACTCACGTATCAATGGTTTATTTCCAGATTCGTTGGATGGAAAAAGATAAGAACATGGAGAAGAAAGTATTTATGGTGGAAATGGTTGAATTTTTACAACAAAAATTATCAGCCTCCAAAATGTAGGAGTTTTGTATTTTCAAGGCAAACAATTAGGCATAAAGGCCTTTTTACAATTGAGCCCATTTTATAAACAAATATAGAACACAAAACATATAACAATAACATGTTTTACAATTTAGCCCCATTAAATGCACCAGAGTTATAAATCTCATTTAACATACAATATATAATCATATAACTTGTCCAACTTCAGTGGTGACTCAGGCTGAAATAGGTCATTTGTCTATTTTTTAATATTTCTTATCATCTAACTGTATAAATTTATTTGTTAAGTAATAGTAACTTTGATTGTGCCTGACATTTGTTTATTCCATTGCAGAGAAACGAATGATCTACCTGTCAATAGAAACAGTGGGACCAATAGTTTATCTTCTAGCCATATTGAATCTCATCAATCTAGTAACGTCAATGGTCGGGGTTTTAATTTTATATTTATTAATCAAGATATGAAGTTACCTGGTAATACCAGACGCAGACACGAAACTCAGGTAAAAAAATATAAATTTTAAAAAATACAATATTCTGTGTTGATGTTTTATCAGAGTTTTTATATTAGGTGTTATACTATGTTTATCATCAATATCTGAACGAATGTAACTCTAATTAAGTCTGTGTTTCAACAAACCAGAAATTCGTTGAATAATTTTAAGGTACAGAAATGTGTGATAAATAGCGTCTCACTGACCAATGTATTTTGTTACCTGTTTTTGTAGATTTTTGGTAAAGTGACGTCACTGTGGCCATGGTTACCTGGTAAATCTCTAGATGTTATAGCGTTTAATCTGGATTCTACAGTTCTTAAAACATTGGCTTGTTATCTAGAGGTTAGTATGTTTAGCTGTTACTTGAAATTTATATTACATGTATTATATGCTTATATATAGAGCAAATATACTTTGTATAGAGCAAATATACTTTATATAGAGCAAATATACTTTGTATAGAGCAAATATACTTTGTATAGAGCAAATATACTTTATATAGAGCAAATATACTTTGTATAGAGCAAATATACTTTATATAGAGCAAATATACTTTGTATAGAGTAAATATACTTTGTATAGAGCAAATATACTTTGTATACAGCAAATATAGGGCAAATATACTTTGTATAAAGCTAATATACTTTGTATACAGCAAATATAGGGCAAATATACTTTGTATAGAGCAAATATACTTTGTATACAGCAAATATACTTTATATAGAGCAAATATACTTTGTATAGAGCAAATATACTTTGTATAGAGTAAATATACTTTGTATAGAGCCAATATACTTTGTATACAACAAATATACTTTGTATAGAGCTAATATACTTTGTATAGAGCAAACTATGCCTGACAAGCGAAGTGTTATATGGAATTTATTTCTGGTCTATATTTAGATAAATGAAGATGAAGAAACGTTTGAAAACAGTATTAGTACAGTCATAGAGAAGTGGGTATTTTTATATTCTGTTTGCTTTTGTTTTTTTATTGTTTTATCTAATTGTATGAGAACTGGACATCAGATTTTCTGTCTTAAAAGTACTACTATTTTCAGATGAATCTATTTTTCGAATTTATGACAGTTCTTTACTGGGAAAAGTCTCTTATCCAATTCTAGCTTTTATTCAGAATCACAGTTTCTAGTTTTCTATTTTAACAAAATAAATATGTTGAATTCTGAATAGATAACTATATTTTATATATCTTTCTAGATTGTTACATCATAAAAAATACCTAGTTAAATACGTAGTTAAAAATACCTAGTTAAATACGTAGTTAAAAATACCTAGTTAAAAGTAAATATGTTGAATTCTGTATAGATAACTATGTATGTCTTTCTAGATTGTTACGTCATAAAAAATACCTAGTCAAAATAATTGATGAAATTCATCATCTCAAATTTGAGAAAAAGTAAGTAAATAATTCTGAAATATTTCAATAATCTAAATGATATGTAGCCTTTTGATTGGTTAAAACAAATCAACCAATGAGATTCTTAAAAACGAATTTCAATCTTTACAAACTCAAGATTCGGAAGTACAGGGTCTCATTTTTGACTGAAGTATATTTTCTAGTATAGAACGCACTCTTTTACCCCTAAAGGGGCTTGTCAAACTAGAGTTGCACGTTATAGACAGTGTTAAATTTTTTTACCAGATGATCCCCAGTCAATAACCCTGGATTCCGAAGCAAGCATCTAATGCTCTGAACCCTGTGATTTCTGACTTCAAGTAGAATTTTAAACATGTTAATTGTATTTTCAGGGTGCTGTATTTTGTGATCTATGGTATAAAAGATGAAAGTATAAGGCTAATGACTTGATGAACGATTTATTTGACATCTTACTGTACTTCAGTGAAGTTTTTAAGGGGAGGATGGTCTGATTTTACTCCCCCTCCTCATCCACCCTGTCTATATTCAAATTTCTGAACAATGCACTTAGTGAGAGAATTTTCTGACAGTGGATTTGAATAGCCATGACAGGCTTTCAACATATTTCAGGCTAACTTTAAATGTGAGTTTCGAATGTTGTATTATATCAATGGAAGAATTAGTATGACAAAGGAGTATTGTGCTAGTATTCTGGGACGGATTGTTTCTACATTTTGTGGAACCATGGTGATAAAATACATTTAAGAAGTCACAAAATGATTGGAAAAGAAGAACTTGATGGCTTCAGAGTCAGTGGCGAATGGAAGTCGATCCAAATTCTTATATCTTCTCTTCTAGTTTATACCATTTTACATTGGTACATGTTATTTTTAGACATTAAGTGTTGTACTTATTTAGTGTCATTACGTTTTGATGAAATGAATATACAAAATATATTCATAGTGTGAATAGACTGAATGAATGAAATCTTCATTATACCCCTTTCAATTTATTATGAACTATATCATAAAACAAACTTCTTTTATCACGGTAGTGTGTAAATGCCTCGACAGACAGACCATAAACAATATGGCAGCGCATGTTACTGGCTCTGCTGGGCTGGGTTTTCTGCTGAAAAATCGATAGTTCTGATTGGTTATATTTGCTAGCATACCATCCAATGAAATTGCTGCAAGTGAAGATGTATATGAGAGTGACTGATATTGTGTTAAATGTTAAACATGAGAAGTTTATTATATTTATTATACAAATTAAACTGGTTATGTTAATGTTAATGTTTCATTAAAAGAAATATACAGTGGTTATGTTTTTTTATTTGGTGAGGGCATTGTTTGTGGCATCAAATTTTTCGAACCAACCCACCTAAACAGAAACATTGCGGTGAATGGGCAACATAATTGAGGTATGAAGACGCAAAATATATATTTCTGCAGATCCTGCCTCCCCACCCCATCTTTAATCTTGGTTTCGGTAGTTAATCACACAGTGTTATCCCTATGGCCATATGAATACGGAATGGGGATGTTATGTTGGTGAAATTACTCATTCAAAATCAGGACGAATGATTTTCTGCAACACCGCAACGACATAATGATGTGACAGTCTTTAACTTAACGATGAAACATTTGTAGTCTATAGCTAAGTTAAATTGAGTTATGTCCCTTTAATAGCTATGATATCTCCTTTTTTTACAAAATCGCTCAAGTGTGGGATGTATACTGCGAATATTTGAAAATATAATACAATATAAACAAGTAATATGTTTTGGGGGGCATTGGGGTATGGTCTTTGGTTGTAGTAAGGAAATTAGTCGGTTGTCAGAATTTTTTCAAGAGGAGTTTGGGGGTCAATGCCGACTTGCCCCCCTGTAACTAGGGACCTGGAGTCTGTTGTAGCCTAGTAATAGATCACAAATATATATCGGTGTAGTTGTATTACTTTGATTCTAGATCTAGATTTAAACTTCTATTTTAATTACTTGTAGGTGATATATTTCTCCGGAAACCATATATAAAAACATTCAAAATCGTTCTTCTTAACTAAACAAAGAAAGTTAACGGTTTCAAACAAAAGACTTATAAAATGATCGATCGAGAAAGGTTTGTATTTAAACTGTGAAGTTTTGACACTTTTTGTGTGGGTAAACATCTTGATGTTTTTTCGTGAACTTTCAAGGCTTTGTTTATCTGTCTTGACATGCTTTTTACCCCCGTGTTCTGTTTTGTTCTCTATTGTTTGCTGATCGACATGTGATCTGATTCATGGTCGTTAAAATTCAAACCTTTATCGATTAGTTTTAAAATTTGAAAGTTGGGGTTGTTTCTCGCAACGTTCATTTTATCGAGACTCATAAACCTTGATAGAAATGAAATTACAGGGTGAAAAATTGCCGTAAAACAATTTTTACGAAAGCACCATGTTCCTTACGCAATGTTACATGATAATGATCATGTAGATGTGAATAATCGTATCGTAAAGGCTTGCCTACAGTTTGAATTATTCTACAGTGTTGATTACACCAGCGCTCTGCACCATATTACTGAAACTGCCGGGGATTGTCGAATGGACTACAGTTTTAAACGATCCAAGGTGTTATTTCCGCTTAATTCTACAATTATGTTAATTCAGCTTCACGGAAATAGTTGATAGTTGCACAATGTTGTTGCAAATGACCGTTTAGATTTTGCCCAGAATTTATATTAATGGAAATATCAGCTTCAAATAGAAACAATATCGTATTCTAAATTTGTCTTGGTTTAATCGTGCAAAAAAGTCTCAAAGACTCAAAAAGACTCAAATATTTTAGTTCACATTCAGGGTGTTTTAAAGCTGAAGAAAGCTTTCGTGTATATGTAAGTTGTGCTAAAGGTCCCCGAAATCGACGTTAAGTCTATACCCATTTAGCGTGACAAATATTTGGTTTCTTCAATTTTTTTTAACGTTTTATTCTGTAATTTTAATAATTCGATTTTGATAGCTTTGATTTGTATGTCGTAGAAGGCAGATTGATAGTCTAAACTTCGTTCAAATTTAAATTATATCTGTGAGGCTTGAATAGAAGCGAAACTGTTGAACCTGGTGGAACGTGGGTGCAATAAATATACTCAAAGAATCCTTATTAT